ATTGTGATCACTCTTCTCTAGTAAAGAATTGATCGCTCTCTAAAGAACTATCTTCCTCAACCTACAGTGCTGAGAATTGGTCATATGAGCTGTGAAAGATCTAATAATATATCTGATTGTCTTATATACTTGTGCATTTAGGATGCAATTTTGTGCATGTGATACCCTCTTTATTAAGTAGTGCAGAAAAATAATTGTACAACATGTAGCAAGTGGCTTCTCTATGTTGTAATTGCTTCCTGATTGCTTTAGTCAACAAACTTATTTAACCGAGTTGTTCTCACATCAGTGTGCGATTGTGTGCCTCTTTTAGGTGTCATCTCCATATGGGAACAACCTCCATCACAAGGAGAATGCTACACATGGTCAATTTGCATTTACGACTCAGGAGGCTGGCAATTATCTTGCATGTTTCTGGGCAGATGCGCATAATCCAAGTAAGGCAGATGTGAGTGTTAACCTTGACTGGAAAACAGGAATTGCAGCAAAGGATTGGGAAACAGTTGCCAGAAAGGAGAAAATTGAGGTAAAATGTTAAAACCATTTGCAGTATGGCTTTTAATCCGAATAGAATTTATTACTTCTCAGTGCTTAGCTAGGACGTTTCTTCAGGCTTGTAAAGATGCTCTTTGCCAAACATGGACTATGTTGACCCTGTTGTTGAGTAACCAATATAAGACTTTAAGTTAAGATTCTCGCAAACCCCCTAATGAAGGTGGGAGGCTTTTGTTTTCTGATTGTACTTTCTCTATATCTAAATTCCATAGAAGAAGTTGACCACTTAGGTTTAAAGTTCATACATCCACTTGAAAACCATATTCCCTGTTGTTTGTTCCACATCTATCCTTTTCCTATTCTCACACTTGGCTATCATCCAAATACAGGGTGTTGAACTTGAGTTGAAGAAACTCGAAGGAGCAGTGGAAGCTATCCATGAGAACTTACTTTATCTCAAGAGCAGGTACAAAACTTGCACCACCTCTTCTATGGATCTTTCATAATTACAATGCGGCTATTAAACTTCTAATGAACTCCCTTACTTGCATTGCGATGCAGGGAATCGGAGATGAGGATTGTGAGTGAGAAAACGAACTCTAGAGTAGCTTGGTTCAGTATTATGTCATTGGGTGTCTGCATCAGTGTTTCGGTTCTCCAACTTTGGCACCTGAAGCGATTCTTCCAGAAAAAGAAGCTCATCTAAACCTCTTTTACAGGTTAGGTGCCTAAGCTTGGGTAAAAGGCGGAAAAGAAAGTTTTGAAAGGCTTCCAAAGTCTATTTTCCCCAAATGTTGCCAAACAAATTTTGCAGAGTTCATCGTAGCTAGAGACTTGTTTCCGCTTGATTGAGCTAACCTTAACTAATCCCTTATCGATCCACAATCCATCCACATCAATTATTACTCACTAGGATTTGGTTATTTGCGGGTGGATCGATGTTGTATCGTTAATTAACCACCAACGTATCATCCCAACATAAGAGTGGTATCAATCAACATGGTTTTTCCATTGAGCTAATTTTGGATTTTATAGATAATTATACATATTCTTTGTAATATTTATTTTATGGTTGTCTCTAGTATCTCGTATTTCCAATCATAATCAAGATTAGCCCAATTCATGTATAAATATTAAATAGTCATCGGTCCCTTTGAGAATTCTTTTAAAATATGGTGTATCTAAATGCATATATTATATATAGCATTCTTATGTGGAAATGCAATGCGTGACTTGTTCACACCAATTTTCCAAGAATTGTGTATATCATTTGTATTAACTCTCAAAGTTGTTACAACTCTTGCGTGCCAAGTCATATCTCAATAAATGAATGAAAATGAAAACCCTCCTCAAATGCAATTTTGCAACTCTCTTCATTACATAGTATAACACATCCCATCTTCATTACTCGTGAAATGTACACCATCATGTGGCAGAAGGATACACCCTAGTTTTTGAGAAACCTAGAAGTTCAATGACCACTAATTTTCACAAGTTTTTACACTGTCATGTAAAACTTGAACATCTTTTGTGTCATATACCAGAGACAGCGAGTATTTAACATGTGCTTTTGCAAAATTCACACATCTAAGATAAGGAAATCTGCAATTCGGAAGGGGGTTTACCTAGCCATCATTGATGAGAGGTATGTTTGATAGCCAGATCATCATTCTCTCTGACGACTGCTAAATGAGATATGTATTCAGCACGAGCATCATACATTCTTTAATCTCTTTTATAGCTGTCAACAGTTTGTGGAAGGATAGTGCGTATCCGTTACCATGCTCTAACTATTACAGAATGTATTTATATCCATACACCGATACACGTACAATATTGGGGTAGTAAGTTAGAATCATACTCATACACATAATAGTTTTCTTTATTGTTTCATCTATTATGCTACTATATACAATTATATCGCATTATACAAGTGAAAACTTACAATTTTATAAGCCATCAATCTTAATAGAAATCCATTATAAAAAATCAATCTTAAGAGAAATAATAAAAAGAGTAAGGGCTCATTGAAATTTTGAAATGTTATATATGTATTACAAATACTAAATAATTTAAGAGATAAAAATGACGGCATATATAATTGGGCGGGTTCAAGTTGGATAATAGGAAAATCATGTATGTCCACTGCCCATCACCTATAATATTCAAGTTCAAAAATTATCCATACGATCGAGTAATTGATTTAATTCGAGCTTCACCCTATTTAACCATATCGAGTTCATTAGTTAACCATGTTAGTGAATATTATTGCCACCCCTATTCTCTTCCAATTGGAACATCTATCAATGATTTAGTTCAAGCAATCGACTGCTGTACTGCCTAATGTCATCACCATTAAAAATTTGGGAAATCTAGAAATGAGTTCGTTCAACCATTTTAATTAGGGGTGTTCAAACGGTGTGGTTACCATGGTAACCGTTTTAATCAGTACTATTTGGATAATTTGGATTGGTTAATTTGGAAAATTGGTTTGGTTTGGTTGAAGTTCTTAGCTTGTTTGGTTTAGGTGGTTTGGTTTGGTTTCAGACACTCCTAACCAGCCAAACCAAATTAACCAGATAAATAATTAGTCATATATCTAATATATACACATACTTAATACTTTGAATAACCACTCAAGACTCAAGAGTTAAACGTTCATCCCTTTTAGACTCATAAAATATAAAGTTTGATATTGTTCCTATAATGTATATTTGTATATGTAGAGTGTAGACCACAACATATGAACGCCTAATTTAGATAAATCTCATACATTATGTTGGATGAAAACTTGAAAGCAAGGTCCTTTTCAGCCTATGAAAATTGCTAAAAGCCTAAGTCAATTCAAACAAGCACAACAATTCATTAACCCATACAATTGTGATAAATTTTTGTTAGGTGAATACTTCTATACTAACCGTAAGATAATTGTCTTAGTTGCATGTATTTATGTTAAGGGCCAACTATAACTATATGTTGATTGTTATGTTTTATTCATTATATAAAGACACATTTGGTCACTGAGATTACAAAATCGGGACATGTTTAGTCACTAGAAAAAGTTAATATCAAATTTGGTCACTACAATTACTAAAACTGGACGCATTTAGTCACTCGCCGCTAGTCTCCGTCCAACTCTGTTAATGAAGTCCGTTAAGTGCTGATGTGGCAAACAAAATTGTCTAATCAGCCGGATATGACCCAACAAAAATAAAATCCGACCCGCCACATCATTATAACCCGCCACCTCATTAAAACCAACCCAACCCATGACCCAACCCTACCCAACCCTTCTTCCTCCTTCCTCCCCAACCCAATTTAGGGTTTTCCCCCATCCCATCTAAATTCGTTGGGCGGGGAGAAGATCTCTCCGCCATTAATCTGCCGCCCTTCCTTCATCTTCTTCCTCTGTCATTCCCAATTCCAAAAAAATCTTATTTCAACTCTTATTCTTCTTTTCTTTTCCATTGATTCAATGGCGGCTCCTCTAATTCCTCAATTGCAGTCCCTGGCGTCCAGAAAAGAAGGCCCACCGACCCCTCACCTCCGGATCGCGGCCCTGTCCCGCGGCGGGAGCGGGGCCCATCAGAGGATGTCGATCGGGACCGTGCAAGAGACCGGCCGGCGGCTCGTCGCCTTCGCGGCGTCGATCGGGCAGCCGTTCTCGTTCCACCAGTGCTGGCTCGACTTCGACGAGACGTTCCGGCCGTCGGCGGTGAAGATCGTGAGAGGGGAGGCGTTGGTGATGAACTGTATGCTCCACTTGCCCCACTTCACGAACCAGGCGCCCGAATCCGTCGCGTCGTTTCTGAACGGGTCGGGTTGTTTGAACCCGAGGCTGGTAACCGTGGTGGAGGAGGAAGTGGGGGCGACGGAGGAAACCGGGTCGGGTGGAGGCCGTGGGTTTATGGGTCGGTTCATGGATACCCTGCACCACTACTCCGCTTTGTACGACTCGCTGGAGGCTGGGTTTCCGATGCGGCTCCGGCAAGGTCGAGTGCTCCGGCGGGAGGAGGTGGGAGGCGGGAGGAGTGGGTGGGATGGGGAAAACTCTAAATTGGGTTGGGGAGGAAGGAGGAAGAAGGGTTGGGTAGGGTTGGGTCATGGGTTGGGTTGGGTTGGTTTTAATGAGGTGGCGGGTTATAATGACGTGGCGGGTCGGGTTTTATTTTTCTTGGGTTATATCCGGCTGATTAGGCAATTCTGTTTGCCACATAAGCACTTAACGAACTTCATTAACGGAGTTGGACGGAGACTAACGGCGAGTGACTAAATGCGTCCAGTTTTAGTAATTGTAGTGACCAAATTTGATATTAACTTTTTCTAGTGACTAAACATGTCCCGATTTTGTAATCTCAGTGACCAAATGTGTCTTTAACCCTGTGATTTTATATTGGTTAATCTGGTTAACCAATTAACCAAATCGATTAAACTTTAGTTTGGTTAATTTGATTGTTGTATTAGTTTGGACGGTTTGGTTATGTTATTGTATTCCATGGTTAATAAAATGTAGTCTTATTTGGTTTGGTAATAACCATGGTAACCATATGAAAATCATTTGAACACCCCTAATTTTAATGAATTAAGAACTCAATCCTTACAAATTCTCAGAAGTTGGATTATGCAATGACTATGTAATGATAACAGAGAATGCTCTGCAAAGCTATGAAATGGGAAAAGCGAGCTGAATTCAGTCATAGTTCAGTAACTACTCGAAGTCAAGAGAACAGAGATTACTACAAAGTAGTAGTTTTCCAACCCCAAGACCTCTAAAAGTAACAGAAAAGAGTTTTAGCTTGGTGAATCTAAAAGTAAGCTAGAAAGGTGGAAATGATGAAGACACCTACTTTCAATGAACAATTTTGGTCAGAACAAATAAATAATGATTAATCATTCTATTCGAACTATCTTGTGATTTAGGCGTTGAAACCTGCAAATGTCGTCAAAGAAATCATCTGCACTACTATGGCTGCTCTTCATCTGAAGGATCCTAATTGCCATTGTCTTCAAGTTCTTCCCATACTTCAACAACGACTCTAGAGTGTTGATCTTTTGTTCAGCTTTCAATGGTGACCTCACTGTGACCACGACCTCCTCCAGTGAAGGAATTACAAATCCAGAGTCCAGCTGCAAAACAAAGGAAAAGTTACAATCTGTCACAAAAATCATTCAGTATGAGATGTTGGGTAGAAGAAAGGTTGCATTAGGTTACATTTCTCAGGCTGTTCTTGTGGCAAAGAGATGCAAACATGGCTCCATGGATATCAAACTTTTGCAGCTTGGGATGGCTATTGAAGAAATCCACTAAATCAACCTCTGGGAAAGGATCAAGGGAATCAAAGTCCCCAGTGAACTCAACCTTCATGAACAGCTGCTTCACCTCACTTGCACATTGAAGCATTTTTCTGATGGCATCCCAACACCACTGGATTCCTCTCATAGTTAAGGATTCAAGCGCCGTGAGTTTGTCAAAGTCCACCATGTATACTCTCCCTGAAGCAATCACAGGAATGAGTTATGATAAAAAAAGACACCTACAACAGCGGGAAAAACAATAACAGCAGGTAATGGCAACACTATGACATCATAGAAAGAAGATTGTGTACCTGCACTGTTGGAGATGGTAAGATTTTTCAAGCATTTGGTCTCACGAACCCTAATCCAACTACAGCCTTGTATCTCAAGCACCTCAACTCTGGGGGAATTCAAGGTGAATGAGCAGTTCCCTGCACCATAAAAGTCCAGCTTGCAATGCTGCAAATGGGGCAAGTCAATATACACGTTGCTGCTCCCTTCACAGCCAAGGAGCACCAATGTTTTCAAATTAGGGCATGCCTGGAGTGCAGAGGACAATGCAGAATCCTCCAACCTAGCTCCAACGATTTCAAGGCTCTGAAGCTTTGGAAAGAGATCCCACTTGGGGGCATTCATCATGAGGACACCCCAAAGCTTGAGGGACTCAAGGTTCCTGGCATAACCAAGACAGTCCACCTTTGAGTTCAGGGCCTCACTGCAACCTTGTTGGTACTCGGCAATGTTATCCATTCTAAGCTCGAGCTGCCTGAGTGATGACCCAGCAAGCAACAGCCAGGAGGCCAGGCCTTTGCTGGTGAATGGGCTGTATACGACAAGCTCTTCCAATCGAACAACAGCAGCCACCATTCTCCACACGATAGTATCAGGATGGTCAACACCATTGTAGTTATCAAAAGAGCTTCGAGGAAAGTAGAGGCTTCTGATGTAAGGCAATGAGTCCTTCCAACTCTTTGACACAGAATTGCAAGTAGCTACATCCTTAGCATTGTTCATGTATGAGAAGATGGATTGGACAATGGCATCGGGTAGAGATTCCATTCTCTGAGACATTAAACAAACAGGTCACAAGCAGAGTCAGATTCACCCAAAAACACTTCGTGAAGATAACTAAGTCGATCAATCGATTTCAAACAAAATGAGGATGAGGCTAGTAAAACCGAATCTTTCCAGCACCAGGACTATCAGAACCATGTTAAAGATCTAAAGCTTCCCAATTTGTTCGTCTGTTCATGAACATTCACTTCCTCAAGATTACAACTTACATTTACCAACAATAAGAGGAGTCCATTCCTACTGTATCTTTCACATATACAAGAGTAATTCTCAGCAGAGAACCCTAGTCATAGCTACCAAGATGTCTAATTCCGCAAATTCACTCCCAATGAGAACCCACCATGTACTTACTTTTACTTAGCCAGGGAAACCCAAATCACTGAAATGGGAAATCTAATCATTTGAGTGTCACACAAGGTTCTGCAGGAAAAGGACCAACAACCCAATAGAAAAGGAAAATCAAGAGACACAGACGAAACCCACTTGGGAAATCAAAATTATTAACTCCACACACAAATCAGAATCACATGGACAGCCAATATTTTCCAAGAACTTCCTCTTCACTCGAACTCACAAGTTCAATTTAAAAAGAAAAGAAAACCCATTACTTCTGGATAATTCCCACCCACCCCCAACCACCACACCCACAAGCAAACGCACGAAACCTAGTACTGGCAGCAAAATAAGGATAGGAACCACTCTAGTAGAAAGAAAGGGGGAACCGAAAGAAGAAGCTAAATAGGAATACGATGACGTACGAATTGCGAAACAAGGAAGCAGGCAGTTATTCTTGGTGATGCTTGAGAAGAAGAAGAAGCCGCTCTGGACTCTGGAGTAGAGAGAGGAGGGAACTTCGAACTGGAGGCTGGGAGTGAAATGGAAAGAAATGGCGGCGAGAGTAGCGAGATCTGTGTACAGTGACGATGAGTCTTGCGGCTAGGTAGAAATGGGGGAAACCCAGTAAAATATAAAAGAGCGGTGAAGCAAGCGCGGATTGTTCTTTTCGGGAGCTGGCTGCGAGCGGGTGGGTGAAGTTTTCAAAATTTGAAACTTTGAAATCCGTTTCCATTTTCTTATTGTTTTCCGCCCAAAACGAAAGAAAAGATTTTAACGGTATAAACTATAAAACTTATTAGAGCTAAGAACTCAAACGCAGCGCAGTCACACTTCTTCAGATTTCCATCGGCCGGCCCGCCGCCGCTCAGATTCCCTTCCGGGCACTTCTTCGTTTCAAAATTGGGGACTCTTTTCGGATTGTATCTGTTTAGTTTTTTAGGGGTGTACCGGAAATATGCATCATTAGGATGGCAATGCATTGAAGAGTGACGGTTGAGTATGGAGTACCAAAAATTGAGATTATAATGTTAATGGGAATTCTTTTAAGATATTATTGGTAAAAATAAAGGAGAATGTTCACAAATTTAGATCTTTAAGACATATTTTTCGTAAATAATCTGATACTATAAGTGCATATACTTAAAATACAAATCTTGCACTACTTTTCATTGGGGGAAAATCTCTCTTAGTTTTGTATGTTAAGGTTTTTATGAATGATTACCATATTAGTTTTGTATGTTAAGGTTTTTATGAATGATTACCATACATTTTTTTTATAAAAGTGATATTGGTTTAATTTTTTGTGATTAAGGTACTACTGGAAGGATTTGAATAAAAAACATACAGATTCTAGACTAATGGTATTACTACTAGGTTACCATACATTTTTTTGCACTGTGGCTAATGCATTCTACGACAAACAAAAAAAAATAAATGAACACCATTTTTCACATAATTTCTACAAGAATATGAAATCAAGAACATTTTCAAATGGTCATATTCCTCATAAGTTAAGGGGACACTCATTTCTCATCCTACTCGCTCATAAAGAACGAGCATTTACAAATGTCGACTTAATAGAAATTTACATTTTTCGTTAGAACAAAATGATTCGTGAATTTTCATCAGCAAATACGACATTTGATATCAAATGGATCAATGGTTTAGAAACTTGAAAAAGCCTTTTGTCGAAGTTTGTTTTTGGGTTGTGCGCTAGCACTCGCATTCATTCAACCCTCACTTTCTCTTTTGCCTTTGCTTCTCCTCAACGTTGGGTAGCCTAAAAACACCAATCCCATTCCTACTCACTACTTCCATCCTCCAATCAAATAAATACAACGAATAAAATAGTGACAGATATTTTCCAAAATATAAAAAAAAAGGGAGATAAATGATACATAAATGAAGGAAAAAAGAAAAGGAAAATTCCACCGCTTTTTCTTATTCTGGTGGAGCCCACCCCTCTGTGATCCAACTGTCCAGGAAAGATCACCAGAAATGGACGGCCTGGATTGGTCGTTCCGGGATAAATAGTTGAAACTCGGAAGAAGAAGAATAAACTAACAGTGAAGTGAAGATGAAGCTGGAGAAGATCTGATGGAGGAGAAAGGAAGGAAAGGGAGAGTTGAAACTTGGACAAAAAGATTAACCCACAGCAAAATTAAAAATAAAAACAGAAACTTTCTCCCTTTTATTTCTTTCATTCTCACACAGACTTGGACTTGCGGAGTGATTGGTGAGAGTGAAAAGAAAATTATACGGGAATTTTCCAGTAAGAGAGGGAAAGTGGTGGGGAAGAAGAGGGAGAGAAGCTCGTGAAACATTTTTTTTCTTCTCTCTTTTTCTTTTTGTGGGAGTAATAGGAGTAATCTATTGTTGTGTTATGCAAGAGAGAAAGGGAGAAGGAAGGGAGAGAGTATAGAGACAAATGCCCACCACCATTAACACTTGTCTCTCATCTTTCACATGAGCATGACCCATCTCCTCTCTTTCCCCCACCATTCCTTCCTTCTTCCCCTTCCGCCTTTTCTCCTCCTTCGTCCGCTTCACCGTCATTTATTGTCATCATTGTTGTTGGGTCTTCGAAATTTCTAGCCCCAAGAGCGGAGGGAATCGAAGAGGGGAAAGCAAATAAGGAGGTGGGTAGTCGGTGGAATTCGAAAAAAATTTAACCTCCGGGGTTCATCCCAGATGCTATGCTATTTCAATGGGTAATAAAGACGAGCACCAGCAGAATCAGCAGCAGTTGGAGAGCGGCAATGGGGGTGCTCACGGCGGGAGGAGGAGCTGCTGCTGCTGCCCAGGATGTTCGATGGCTATGTCGAGAATCGACTTCAGTTTTAGATGTGTTTTCGTTGTGATCCTTTCTCTGGCACTTGTACTCTCCGGGATCTTCTGGATCTTCCCTTTCCAGACACACAATTCAAATGGTTTTGATGCCAAGGAGGCAATTAAGCTTAGTGGTGAGCTCCTCTTGAACTTTTCATCCTGGTACTTGTGCTTGGCGGACTGCAATTAGGGTTCGGTGTCTATTTTTGGCATGAGGATTTTAGCCGCCGAAGTAGTTACTGTTGTGCTATTAGGGTTTGGCTGATGCTTTGGGCAGATGTGGATTAGTTCATTTGGGGCTGCGATTAAGCTTTCTGGTTGACTAGGCTTAAAATGCTGTTGCCTGTTTGGTAAATTTTATTTGCTCATATAGGCACATATATGTGCCATTGTGTTGTCCCTGTTCTAATGACCAGGTGGTTTTTGTTGCATTGAATCTCAGCTCTGCTGAGTTCCCTGCTAATTTGACATTTTAGTTCCACTTGCTGGCTTCTACTTGTGTTTGTGCGTATGTGATCTAATTTTCGCATTATTCTTTGTGGTTGAGGAAACCCCTAGATTAATGGGCATCAGGCTACTCTGTGTTCTTAACATCTTCTTCTGGTAGTGGCTTTCATGGGTGATTTATTCAAGTATCATTGATTCTCAGTGAATAGCCCATCTGCTATTTTGAGGGAAGACAGTTTTATCCAGCTGGCCCCCTCTCTAACAACTCAGACATTAGGCCTCTATGGGTTCGTTTTAGACTGGATTGCTGGCAATTTATTCTTGGAGGAAGTTGTGGTAAATACAGTTCACATTAGCACTAAAGTGTACCCTCCGGTTCAGTTCATTTGGACTGAAATTTCTGTTGACTCTTTTTGAGGAATTTGTGCTAAATATGGCTGACATTATTACCGAAGTGTGTCATGCTTATGGCTGCGAAAGTTATCTATAGCTCTGATTCAGTTCATTTGCCAGATACCATATATTGGTTAAAAACATATCATGAATCCTGTTTGATATCCAGGTATGCCAGTTTTGCATATTTTGTGCCCCAAGACGCCAGTTGCCATCAAATTGTTTTGATGGCTTTCCGCTAAGCCTTTTCTGCTGTTTGTTACGTGTCTGGATTTTCTAGTGCCACTTGTTATATTTGATTCCTTTTAGGCCAGCTCCCTGTGGTTTCCAATGTTCCACCAGCCCTTGTGTTAATTCTATCACATTTTTGTTTAAGGATTTCATTAGGGAAAAAATGAGAGGTTGTTCACGTGAATGGCTAGATATTTTGATGAAGTTTGTGTACTTTTGATCAACTACAAACACTTCATTTGACAGCTACTGTTTGTTTGAGTGATGAAATGGAGATGTACTTGTAAACTTCCATGTATCACATGAAATGTTTGAGTTCATATCTGATTACCTTGCATCTAGGGCATTGATATTCTGTAGATAAAGTAACTCATGCTGTATGTCTGCAGATAAGTCTCGTGTTTTTTTATACTTTTCCATCCACAAATATTCTGGAGCCTTACAGTGTCTCGGACACTGGTAGTTCAGAGCTTGAAATGTAAAGTTGGCTGGTCATAGGGTAACTGTTATTGACTCGCCCTTTCCTCTGCTAGTTGAATGTTGGTCCTGAAGTTTGAACCTAGGTGTGTTAGATATTTTTGTTCTCTTTTACAGCTGGGTAAGATTCCCACCCTCTGAGGGAACTTAGCCAATTTAGCAGTAAATGAAAACTTTCTTGAACTTATTTGGTGTTATGTTGTCTTCTATCATGCTTGCTCTCATGTTCCTGAAATAATAAGCCCTTTCATCTGAGATTGGCTAAGTATTTTAGGCCAAAGGATTGAACTGTATTTCTGCAAATTTTATAAATACCTGCCATGTTTCTTGGCTCGCTTTTTCTGCTTTTCGAGGAGGACAAGTGTTGGGGTGCAATGGATGACTCATGGTTCTTCTATGGAGAAAACTGTGAATTTCTGGTGTACTTTATATTTGTGCGCTTTCAGATGTGAGGGTTTTGGGCTGCTATCCTGTTGCTCTCTATTTTTCTGTTGTTCTGGACTGATCATTTAATGTATGTGTGGGTTGACATCTTACTCCTGTGTTAATTCCGTTATTGTTTTTGTTTTCAGCCACTGTACAGGCATGCTTCAAAATTCCAAAGCCAGTTTCAGAGGTTGTTCCACACATTAATTCATTAGAAGACGACATCTTTAATGAAATAAGTATTGATGATATGAAGGTATTTTTCAATGCTTTAGTATTCACTTTCAATTCATTTATCAATAAGCTAATAAAATCAACCTAAAAGGCTATGTGTACTTTGCAGGTGGCTATGCTGTCAATGCATCAAAATGGCACTTCCAACTGGACAGATGGGGTTTTTGGTGTGCTTTCTGATCATATGAATACTCCTCTGAATCCAGCACACCTAAGTGTGCTGCGGTCCTCTTTGGTCGACCTCTTCCTGAAGCAGATGAATCTCTCCGTGGCAACCTCTGTTTTTGGGCAACCGTATGATTTTGAAATTCTCAAGTTTCCTGGTGGAGTCACTGTAATTCCTCTCCAGTATGGCTCGATTTGGACACCCCGCCAGCCCCTTTTTAATTTTACCCTCAATAATTCAATCTCTGAGATCCTTCACAATTTTGGTGAACTGAGGGACCAGCTGAGGTCGGGATTGCGTCTCAGGCCATACGAGGTATGATTTGTTAAGATAAGTTATAGCCAATTTTCTTCTGCAACAGTTACTTTGTTGTCGCTTATGCTAAGCTCGAAAATAGGCTAACTAAGTATCATATTCTTCCTGCTAAAATGAAGGAAAATGCTCTTTAGATGCCTCATGCATTTGAGGTTAATACGATATCAGCTTATTGATTCTCTATAATTTGAATCTGCAGAATCTATTCTTGCAAATAACAAACTCAGTCGGTTCCACAATCAACACCCCAGTTATATTGGAGGCCTCAGTCTCATCAGAGTTCGGAAGTATTTTGCCACAAAGGTTGAAACAGTTGGCTCAAGCCATTGCAGATTCCGATAGCAAGAATAATCTTGGCCTGCATAACTCAGTCTTTGGTAAGGTGAAGGGTGTTGTTCTGTCATCCTACTTAAATCGGACACTGAATCCAAACACGCCAACTCCTGCCCCTGCTCCATCTCCTAAGCCCAGTGATTACGTTGCTGGACCATCAGCTCTAATAAACCCTCCAGCTGTCTCTCCAGCTCCCTCCCCACATAAACATGCAAGAAAAGGTCCCAAAAGGAAAAGAGCACCTTCCCATTTTTTCCCTCCTGTAAATTCTCCTGCACCAACTCCTACTGCTCATCCTCCTCCGGACCCTTGTCCATATCATGGTCGTAAAGTTATTCCGCCTAGCAGATCACCATCGCCATCCAATGAGCAAAATTTCTTCCATCCAGATGCACCTCTTCCAAAGTTGCCCCCAGCCCCGGCTCCTTTACCTGCAGTCTCATATGGTCCAACACCCTCAGAAGACTTGGAATCTCCGTCCCTGGCTCCTGTCCCATCTGCTCATTCCGGATCATGTAAGTTCTATTCTGACTTACTTTTAGATTTTAGTATTTGTGAGGTTTGAGAGTTGTTTTAAAAAGTTAGAGCGAATAAGTCTGTGCACCTTTCAAGCCATTTTTTGTGAGCATAAACAAGCACAGTCTACAAGTCCTCTTTCATTAGCTGACTGCCTGGTATTTCAGCTGAAACAATAACACACCTTCACTCCTGCTTGCTGCAGCTTTTGCAGGACAACGGCGGTCAGTCGAGGAGGTGTGGTTGCTGGGATTATGGTGCCTTCTGATCTCTTATCTTCTTTGTTGGCATCATTGATAGTTGTCGAGCCTGCTCAACATCATAATGCAAGGAGAGACGATTACCGAAGAGATCTCAGTAACCAGTTTTGTTTCGAGGGCGAGGATGGTAGGAATTTGTGCAACAAAAAGTTGCAGAGTTTCTTTCTTTGTCGGGTATTCGACAATGAAACAACCAACAAAAAAACAAGTGTAAATTCTATGAAATAGGGGGGGAGATAATGGCAGGTCAAAGCCAAAAGGTGGCAGGCCTCTCTCATCTTCACTTTGTAGGTTTTGTGGATGCTGCTACTACTGGAGAAGTCTATTGTTCCAAAGGGAACAACAGACAGCAATGTGTGCCAGCCATAGTTGAAGCTTTCTTTCCCAACTTGGAAAGAAAACAGAACTACTGTGAAGGAAAAGAGTATTATTATGAATCTAAAGAAGCAGAGCAGAACATTTGGATTTGCAGAGTTCCGAGAAAAGAACCAACAAGTTGTTACTAATGTTTCGTTGCAAGTGTAAAAATTTCTGTTAGGGGCTGGTTCTTTCCTTTTGAGCATCTGCAATCCCATATGAAATGCTAAAAAAAAAGGAGGAAAAAAAAAGTGTATTGCAGAGTATTTTTCTTTTCACGTACGAGATTGATTGAATACGTGGTGATGGTTTTAACTGATTTAATCTCCTTTATAGTCTCAGGCTTCAAAACTTGAGATGTCACTGCTTGTCATCGTGGCGAAATCTGGCTGTGTGACAATCAGCTTGTTCGTAACATGTTGATGTTGGATAATTTTCTTTGAATTTCGTCGTCTCCTTCGTTAACATACTGATATCTTTGCATATTCGTCTGCGTCAACACATGTAGCAAAGATGGAAGGATTCAACCATTGTTTTTGGACTGACAACAGTTTCATAATCTGGTCCAACCACCCATTGATGTAGCGATCCCACCAAGCAACCCTACTTCCTAACTGCAAATGTTATTCATGCCCAACACACCATCATCAACAGATATAGCAACATTTGATAATGAAGCCAAACTCCAATATTTAATGGTGTCAACTTGACCAAAGGATCCCCATTTCTTCACAAAGATCCCCACTGCAGCAATTATCTTTTGTTGGCACAACAACATATGAAATCTCTCATCTAAGACCCCTTTTAAGAACTTGGCAATTGGACAATCTCTCGTTATGTGGAATTGTAGCAAAAAGCTAGTTCTGGTAGCACAATTCCTAATCCAAATGACCCCTAAAAGCATCAATATAAGTGCAATTGCATGAAGTGTCTTTATAGTTTATTGTCACCTAAACAATTTCATCATTCCACTTCTAAGTCATGTTAGTGCCATTACATCTAAATAACTGCAATTCACTTAGCAATTGCATATATTGTTTGTTAAACATTATGCTTAAATTATGGTAACAGAAAAAGGGAATCCAACTGCAAGAGCCCATCATCCTCATTTTTTATAATTTTAGCATGTTATACCATATGGATTTGTAAATTTTTGTAGCATGTTTTACCACGTTATACCATGTGATATTGTATGGTAGTTAAATTTGTAATTTTCTTTAACATATTTATCATGGTTTACCATGGTAGTAGAAAATGATAATCATATTTATATTTATAATTACTGTCTTTAGCACTTGTTTATTGAACGAAAAAATCATCATTCAATTCAATTTGGAATTAGAGCAGAAATAGTTGAGATTAGATTTATTTTTGTTATTGATTGGAAAGAGAGAAGAAATTATATAATTTTTCTTTTAATAATAAAAGAAAGAGTGAGAGAGGGGAATGCGTGTGGGGGACGGGGAGTGGGGTCTGCATCCGGTCAAAAGTCAGCGTCAGCAATAAATGTGGGTGGGTCCAATTTTACCCTACCGCCTTTCCGCATTTGATTTAAATAAATAAAAAACTTACACGTGGGCACAAGGGAAGGGGTTACTGGCCCATTAGAATGCTCTAATCATGAATGGTTTGGTTTGTAATTTAATATGTAATTGATCTTACCAGTAAAGTAGCACATGTTCCATACCCTACTTGTTTTCCCAGATACGATCTTCTTTCACCAGCCCATCAAATCCTGCACTTCTTCATCACCCGCATCTTCCTTCCCAGAAGAGGTTCACCCGACCTTGTCCTCCCCATTGACCTTTGGATTCTCCACAATACTACAAAGAACCAGAGAGTCGATCATTCATCCCTCATTTTCAGTGAAATTTACTAGTGCTAGTGACGAAAACTATGGGGGACACCTTCCATATGGTGGACTCATCAACAAGCTTCTCCAAAACCTCAAAGTTCGTATCTCCGAATACAACATGATAAGCTCCTGCCTGACCATGAGTGCTAGAAACGTCCTCGTTGGCCTTTATCTGCTTCGTCATGATCCAATTCCTTCGGAAGCCTCCTCTTCGCGTGCTTGTGGACTTTCACTGCCTCCTCCACATGAGATCGTGGTTAAAGACTCCTACGACGAAAGCGACGATGCTGCCCAAGAATTCGCTGATGCCCACGGTGGAACTCATGCAGCTTAATTAAGGAGACCGTCCGTTGAAGTTGAACGGTAAAAGGAGGAATGCTTAAGGTTAGGGGAAAGAAATAATGAGATCACACAAGAGAAATAAGGCAGATTGTTTCCTTAGGAAGTAGAAGTAGTTGAAAAGTCCACTTCACACACACATAGTTGGAGGTAAGTTGTCCAAGAATAAATTGGATGAATTGTGATTAGCTGTGATAATTGGTTTGAAAATTTGAGTTGTCAAAAATTAAAGCGGTTAATATATATGAAAAATATGTTACTTGTTATTTACATTGGATTGTTATATAACCGATGAAATTGGATTGTTATATAACCGATGAAATTGTTATACAAGCGAGGTTTTCTATATTTGTGTGTGTTTTCTATTTTATATAGAGGACAAGAGTGAATGTCGCGCTTTGATACACCCTGCAAACTTACTTCGGACTTCCATTTATATGGGTTGTGGCCTTGTGGCAGTACTACCGCACCGAGATAGAGATTTAAGAGGGAAAAATGCAATTGTTTTGTTTTATATAGTCTTCAAATGAAAAGTGAAAAAACCAAAAGGGATAATTCAAAAGAATAATTAAAAAATTATAATTTCAATTTTCTTTTTATTTCATTTTTCTTTTTTCATTTTTCATTTTTCATTCTTCCCCAACGAGCCGCCGCCTCCGAGTTGCGTAGGAAAGTGGCGAGCTTGGCGTTGTCGGTTCCGGACCGATTTCCGGCGGGGGAAACGGATTGCTGCGTGTCGAGGTTCTATCTCGTGAAGCCCGAAAGCGACGCAATGCCGATGTTGGTGGCGCGGATCGTAGGCGATTTTGTCGATGGGGAAGGGAACGTGCTGAGCGACCCGGAGATGGAGCTTGGTCGGAGGAACTGGGTGAGGACGGCGAATTTGGGTGAGGACGGCGAATTTACTACACGGACGACTACTGGGCGCGGATGGATGAGGATTACATGTACGGAGGGCACGATAATGGTGTGTTTCGTTTGAGCGACGGCGGCATGATTACAAGCAGGGGCGTAGCCAGGATTTTGTCGAGGGTGGGTCCATTTAGAAAAAATACATACGATAAAATAATTTTGTTAGCTTTCTAAATTGTTCATGATATAATTTTGTATTTGTAAAAACTTGGTATATTAAATTATATGTCAAAACTATCAAGAATATCATCATATATGTATCAAATAATTATTTATGATTTAGTTAGACATTTGCTTTTGAATCGTGTTCTTCGTCAAGACCGTTTAGTATCATTAACTCGAGTTGTTAGGAAAGATTTAATAATGAATCTAATACTATTTAGTATTTACTAACACTTTCCTGCTTACTACAACCAACTTATGCGTTCTTAAAGTTTACGTAAATCCGAATATCATGTGTTTAACAAATGGGATTACAAAGATTCGAACAAATGATATCTCGGTCAACCATTCTCAATTAGAAGTGCCCTAAATTTTCATTCTCAATTAACTATTATACTAATTTACTCATTTTCGTCCTTAGGAAACACATGTTACAATCTCCCTATCGCTGATTGAAATAAAATTATTTTTACAAATGAATTATGATTTGGTGGAAATTTGTTGTAAATATTGAATACATACATCTTCAATTTTGGGCGAATCTATACATCATTATCATTTGTACATAGCTCGTTATAAATACATTGAATATGTCAACGCTCGTTATAAATCATACATCAAATATTTCAAAGGTCTACCAATTTCATTTAAATACGTATTATTTTTCATACCCGATTAACTATTGTACCTTATTAACCATTTTCTAACCCGAGCCAGGGTGGGTCCCGGGACCCACCCTCTAACTCTCTCCCTCCGCCCCTGATTACAAGGCTTGACGGCGAGTTTGAACAAGATAGATTTGACCCGCCGCCGAGTTGGCTGCTTGGAGGATGCAGGGGAAGAGAGGGAAGCGACGAAATCGGAGACGATGGCGCGCTGGGAGGGCTTGAATTTGCCGTACCAGATTAGTTTGACGGAGATTTTCCCGGTGAGGAGAGCGCCGTTGTGGTACTGAAACGCCAAATTGTCGCCGCCGTCGGCGGATTGGTCGGCGGGATTAAGGGTTCTGGCGGCAGAGGAGCTCCAATGAAGCAGAGTGCAGAGGATTAGAACGTGGGGAAGGAAATGGGTAGTGGGAATCGCCATTGTAGTTAATTACTAATGGAAACCCTATGGAGGCGGCGGCTCGTTGGGGAAGAAGGAGGAAGAAGAAAGAAGATAGGGTTTGTTTGGGTTGGATCGAAAAGGAAAGAAGGTGAGGGGATAAGGTGGAGATGGGTGGACCAAAAATTTTTGTTTTTGTTTTTTTTATAATTATTCAATTTTGTAAATGAAATAAAAAGAAAAATGAAATTATAATTTTTTTATGCTGACATGGCAGTGACCTGGACAGTTGACTAACGGTCAAAGGTGTTGACCGTCCAAACAAACGGTCAAACCACGCTCCAGGCCAATTTTGTCTATATGCTGCATAGTTCGGGTCAAGATGTTAATTTCTCAAACCACTGACCAAAGTTGATTACATGATCATAGTTCAGGCCATAACAAGGTATTAACCCATTGATTTCGTCCTCTCAATAAGTTCGAATCACAGACCCGAGATCCACGGGCTAAAGCCCAAGAAAATTACAGGCGTAAGCCCAACTAACCAAATTTAAAATTTAAAACCACTACGACATAAGAATGCTTTTAGGGACAGTAAATATGATTTAGACATATATATATATGTGGAGTTCTACGGTGCCCAGGGTGAAATCCAGGGTACCGCATACCCTAAGTAAGAAAATGCTATCCAGAACTTGAATTGACTAATCTTTCGGACATGATACGATACTCTAACCCTTAAAGATCAACATCTAGGTCTTAATTCTCTAAATCTTATACCCCAAGATCAATTTAATTAGAAACAATAATCAACGGTTATGATTCGTCCAAATATAGGCAAAAAAATCAATGCACCATCTTAGGGTTTATACTTTATGATTTAGATATTTAGGACCTAGGGTTCACTCATTAAGGGTTAGGGTATAGTATCATGCCCAAAAATCCTGGTAATTCGAGGTCTAGATAACGTTTTTCTACTCAAGGTATGCGGTACCCCGGATTTCACCCGGGGTACCGTAGAAGGCACCATATATATATATATTAACTTGAGACAAATGATGAAGATGATTAAGTGGATATACATGTCTAAATTATGGTGCTTATTATGTTTAGGTTGCTTATTTATGTCTAAATCAGCTGGCAATTATCTTCACTATAATTCTTTCATATCCAGGATTGCATATGCATACCCCATGAGGGGATTGCCGGTGCTTCTCCCCTAAGTACCAAAATTTGATTATCACAAAGAGAAAATTGAAAGATCTTAAATGAGTTGTCTGCTTTGGGTTTACCTCTGCACATATTTTATTTTTCGGTATACTCCTCAAAAGACCTATTTGGATTTTCTCATAACAGTACTAAGTACGCTAATTGAAGAATGAATAAATTTTAGTTTTATGTAAGGTTATGATATGTAGGTTGTACAAATTATATATTTTTGAATACATACATCATATAGATTAAAGTATTGTTTAAATGCATGTACGTGTCTGAAATTACGATGTTTAATGATTGTGATTATTGTTTTAGGAATAAATTTGATCGTCACAAAAGAGAACTTTTTTATTTATAGAAAAGTCACAAAGAGAAAATGAAATATCTTAAAAGGGGTTCCCCTTAACCACGATTTGTCCCGGTTCCTTGCATACGAGACAAATTATTACACGTTTACAACAACAAAAAAAAACCAGAAAATTTCTTTTTCTACCACAATACTTCCAAGCTCTCTACTTGCAATGAACTTGGATCTTCCTTTCCACTTGTAACTTCATGAACCAACAACAACTAATTGACGGCGGAGCAGACCCGGCGAATCTCCCCGTTGGTCCCCGTCCTCACTCCAACATTGCCCATTCTAACCATGGCCCGCCCGAACTCGACGTTGAAGGTCAGGCCCAACAGCCCACTGAGGCCCAAGTACCGGCGGACGAAGTTCCCGGTCCGGTTATCCGACCACAACCGCTGGTCCGACTCCAGGACCCCACGCCCGTTCCTGATGTTGGTGAAGTAGGAGGTGTCGAACCGGTTCTGGCTCCCCGTGTCCATCGCCACCCGCGCCGCCCCGTTGTTGTTCTGCGGGCAGAACGACCGGAGGGTCGGCAGGAAGTCCGCCGCGATCGAAGGGTCCGGCCCGCCGGTTCCCTGGTAGTTGAACAGCCTGTTGTTGAACGTCGCGCACGACGCCGTTCCTAACGTGTGTCCTCCTGCATGTTCGTAGTGTATGATCCATAAATAACTGCCTCTCAAATAATTTGAGTTATTCGGATAAATTGATTTACATGATATTAAATCTAGTTTGACCAAGTGGTCGCGCACGTGTGTTTGAATCTGTACGATTTTTTAATATTTACAAGATATAATGGGCAAGTGCAAATTTCAAACTCGCTTTTTCTCTGTTCATTCGTAAATCACGTCTCCTTAAGTCAGGTTAAAACGATTTTTTTTTTAATCTTAGTCTACGGGTCTTTAAAAAAAGCACATGAGTTGATATTCGTTTTAGTGGAAGTGTAAGAACATAATATATGACTAATAAATAACCATATATATCCCTCTGACTCGAGTTATTGTCATGAACCAGTTGATCCCAATAACTCGAGTTATTGGGAGAAGGTTATGCTCGATCTTATACCACTCTCTAACACGCCCCCTCAAACGAAAGCCAACCCATGGGCTTGAAGTTTGCACAGGCCCACCATACCATGTGCTTGAAAGACAACAGTTAATATTGGGGGTCGTGGAGATTCGAACACGTGACCTTTTGGTTCGAAGCTCTGATACCATGTCATGAACCAGTTGATCCCAATAACTCGAGTTGTTGGGAGAAGGTTATGCTGGATCTTATACCACTCTCTAACAGTTATTAGGATTTAATACTAGTTGGTTTACGACAGTTTCAAACTTTTTATGGAATCTGATTGTAATTACCGGTGAGAGTGACAAGATCCTGAACGCTGAGATTGCGGTCGGTGAACTTCTGGATTTGGGAGTCAACGGAGTCGGAGGGTCCGGGCAAGTTGTCCAAAGCTTCTTGTGCCACCGAAATTCTCCCGTCCCGCCGTCCGGTGGGGACCGCCCAAGTTGGTCCATTGGCCTGAAAATTGCCATCAACACCCTCTTTAACTCAACATAATTATTAGCTAATGACGAACTAACTAATTATTGACTAATTAATAAATGAAACGGTACCAAAACGACGGCGTCGCGAGCAGCGAGGGCGAGGATGTCGGCGCATGAGACGACGCCAGGGCAGGCCGCTTCGAGCTGGGTCTTGGCGTCGTCGATGACGGTGAACCCGTTGAGGGAGAGGTTTGGGATGGCGGTCCTCTCGGTGCCGGCGCCGGAGATGAGGACGGAGCCGTCACAGCCCTGGACGAAGCAGTCGTGGAAGTGCATCCTCAGCAGACCGGCGGCCACGGTGGAGTCGGAGTTGAACCGGGACTGGACCGCGGACCGGACGATGGTCTCGACGCGGGGGCAGGTGGTGGAGTAGAACCCGACCCGAGTTCCCTGCCCATGCACCGCCGCCGCCATTATTGCTAGGAAAAGCGCTGCCGCGCTGACTATGTTGCTACTGCTGGCCATGTGTCTATTTTAAGACTTGTTTGTTACTACTTTTGGGCTTGTGTTGGGTGGTTAGTATGGGGAAGTGAAGCGGGCTATTTTATAGGCGGGAAGTTCGGCGAATGTGGAGGTTTGCATTGCATTTGCATGAGAGGATTGATTGGTAAAAGATGACGGCCATGTACAGCGAGGTTTGTAAGCGTATAGCGGGAAAATTCGCGGGGTGTTAATGATTTAAGTAAATTATTGGAAGCGAAAATGGAACTCTTTTCATTGACTATTATGTTAGCTGACTTTTGGTTACTCAATTAGCAGCTGGTGGCGAACACTAATCAGTAATCACCACGTTTTTTTTATATATGTAGAAAAAGAAAAACAATCTATAGTAATATCCGAACATGCATGCAGATAACTTTTATGAGGAAATGAACATGCAGACATGAGAGATACCAATTCTCGAAATGGTAGCTTTAGTGCTTCAATTACGTTGACTTTTTTTTAACGGGGTAGGGTAGAGATTCCTCGATTCGTTCCCTAGCCAGGGAATGAGCAATAGGCAATAGCTAGGAGCATAGCACTGTCGTTTCGTCCGTGGAACGCGCTTTGCATTTGCAAAATACTTCTCAATGCGACAATTCCCTTTCGTTTTCAGAATGTGTTTGTTTGACGAAAGGATGAAATTAGCATGATGAAGAAGAAGAAGAGGGGAAACTATGGGAAAAGAAGAGTCAAAACTACTACTACTAGCAGCAGCAACTAGTAGTAGTAGTAGTTATCCATCGTTACCATAGTTTGTCGCGTACGGAAAAATATGAGCTTTGCGTTGCATGCATGGGGGCCGCACCTATAAATGCTTTAGGCCATCGCCATATTTTAATATAATCAATAATTTTGGTGATTTGTCTAAATCTCCAACCATACCACACTTATAAAAAGTCTTATTTGTTATTACTCCAGATGCTGACTTGCAATAGTAATATGATATGAACATAATAATAATGCTATTTAAGACAACAGTAATACGAAAATGAACATAATATATATATACATATATATATATATATATACACCATTCATTTTCTTAATAGAATTAAAGTATATGTGCTAACTGCTAATTAACAAATTAAGCTATGTGGTACCGTTGATAAGAGATGAAGAATCTATTTCACTCGTGGAGTAATAGCCTTGGCATTTCGGAAAATCAGATTGAATTCGAAATTTCTTTTGAGCTATTTTCGAGGTATTCGGAAATATTGATTAAATAGGTTGTGATCAAGATACTTAATTGGGAGGTCAACAAATGATCTGGTTGGTAATCGGTAGATCTTTGGTCTTTTCAAAGTTGTTACAAACACATTCGGATTTCCAAATTTTATGGAGAGGCAGATTCATATTGGCGTATGTTCGATGTTAGTTCTTAAATGGTTTTGCTTCTATTGAAAGTTTGAAGGAAGAAGAACGAATATTCTCGAACAAAGTGAGAAGTTATGCAATGTACTTGAATGAAAGGAGAGAAACAAAATCACTCGGCCCTCCAAAAGAATAACGATCGACTTGCATATGTTAAGCATGTAGCTAGCGTTCCTTCTGACGGGCCGACGTCTGGTAAGTATATATTGTTACTTATCCTACAAATTGATGTTACATGTCCTGATGTCCAATATCGATCAAATTAAGGGAGAGTGTTAAAATATAATATCCAAAACTCCATTTGTAATGAGGGCTTATATCTATCGTGGATTGATCGTAGCATTCAGGATAAAGTCGGTGTCCTTTTCGTTTATAGCTTGATTCTTTGACAAATACGTACTTCTATTAATTTAATGTTATATACATTCACTCGTTAATGTTCTACATACATATACACAAATCTCGGCCAGAAGCCCCCGGCGGGCATCGAGGGGAAATTTCAGCAGCCATCATAAATACGATGTGTATTGGTTAGTTGAAGAATTGCTAATCAAATCACTTCTCTTCATCAGTCATCGGTTCCTCCAGTCAAATGTGAATGACAGCTCTCCGATCCCCCTGTCTTCTATTTTATAAAATAAATTAATGGATGATAGAGAAATCAAGATAAATTAATCATGATCAGTGTTTAAATAACATCTATTTAGTGAGTCAATATCATGAGCACTATACCTGCAGTGCCTTTAAAGCAAAGGAAATTATCTTACAAGGCATCCCATATTCACAAAATGAGCCAAGATGGCCACCACCGGCCGCCGGAGTCGCCAAGTTCATCCCCTACTTACAATGACTTCGTATTAGCATGGTTAGTAAATACTCCGTTTAATATGCATGTATATATATATTCTGTGCGTTTAGGACTTCCATTTTTGTATATAATTATCAAACTTTTTTTTTTTTTGTCCATTTGATGGCTCACATACTAAATATGTGTTAAACCAACATATCACATTTAATTTCATATATTTTTATAACTACCAATGTACTGCTAGACGTATTATTGATTTAAAAATAAAGTAAAATAACTGTATGTATTTTATACCTAACTTATCCGTTTCGTATTTTACTAACTAAGTAACTATTATTCCAGTTCCCATGATGTAAAACCTACTGAATTACTAATTAATTTTCTGCTGGAAAACATTAATGGCTACATATGCATAAGTTAATTACTCACCTTCGCGGGAAGACTCGGCGGTGTTGATTACGCTAACGATCCTCCTATCCAACATATCCATGCAGAGAAGGGTCCAGTCCGAAAGCACACGAATGGGCCTCCGGCCCACTGAAAACAGACGATCCCTAACCCAATTCACGCCGTTCAAAGTCCACTCCTCCAAATCATAGTTATTATTACTACGAGCACCTCCATCAGGACGCTGCCGATCGCCGGCGCCGCCGCCACAACTCGGCAGCGCGTACCGGCAGACGGGACAAGTGTTGTGCATGGCGAGCCAGGGGACGATGCATCCCGTATGGTACAAATGCTGGCACGGCATCTCCTTACCTTCTTCTCCCGCCTCGAACTCTTCTTTACAAACCGGACACGAGAAGTTGGGGTCTTTCGCCGTGATTTTCACCGTCGGCAGGGCTTCGATCGCCGTGGGGGAGGCCGGCGGCGGGCCCGGCCTGTCCTCGTTCACAATAGCTGTTGAAAATGTCAATTTGTTATTATTAGCAAGAAAGCGAAAAGCAAATAATATATTAATTTAGGTGGCTTACTTAGTTAATTCACGAATACGAGAAATCAGTTTCATTGTATTTGAGCAGATATTTAAATAGGGTAATTCTAATTTAATATGAAAAGAAAAGGTTACAGACCATACTCGAAAACGGCAAAACAAATGTGTATATAAGCTCATATAGTACTATGGGTTGCGCGTACGAGATCGCGTGACCTATAGATAACAACAGATAATCTATTTTCAAATCATAGCAACGGTGAAAGAATTAAAGACAGACTTTACCTTGGTGAGGAGGCGGCGTCGGAGGGAAATGGAGGGTAATCCAGCGATCGGCGAAGTGTTCTTCATTTCTTGACGGATGGTCGTTATAATGACTCATTCTTCTTGGATGGATCATAAGGGAAAGTGATTCTAGCAACCTCTCCGGCGCCGGTGCGGGTTCAAACGGCCGGCGACCGGCCAGCCTTGGACTTGACATGTCAAGCTCCGGGCTTAGGGTTCCGAAGCAATGGGGGCAGAACATTTCGTGTGGGCTTATAGAGGCGAATCTCAACGTTCGTCCACAATGGTAGCACCAGAAGTAATGGAAAGTTCTCATTCGCCGGACGCCATTGACCGTGACTCGAGGGCGCTGGTGATGATGGCTCAAGGACATGATGATGGTTGGTATAGGAAGCCTTTTAGGGGTTTGATGGCGAAATGAAGATTTGACTTGGAAGGTGGTATATATATTGGAGAGCTAGCATTGCCATTGTGGGAGATAATTAGGGTATAGCTTTTGGATGAAGGGAAGGGAAGGGAGAAGAGAGAAGATTCCTTATTGTTCTGTGTTTGTTTAGGTTTAGGGTTAGGATGAAGGGAAAGGAAGGGGGAAGTGGAGATTCTTAATTGTTCTTTTGTTCCTTCTAGGGTGAGCTAGCTAGCTAGGGTTTCCTTTGTTCATGTTGAGCAAGTTTATGGTACCTTGTGGTTTGAGTTAAAGAGACGTATGAAAGGGGGCAATGATGCTTGATCGGTAGACATGATCCAGAGAAAAGCCAAAACATGGCATGGCGCCGGGGAGAAGGAAGGATGGTTGGCCGGATATAAGGCAAATACATAGATCTTACACATATCACTGGAAATCTGGGATAGCAAATAGAACTTGTACTCGCGTTATCAATTCATTTCAGCTCAGTAAAACTCATGTTGATGATTCTTGGATGGGGGTGCGGTAAAACTCGCTCTTGGAATTGGTTAATCGGATTATATGCGCGTTCAGCCAAATCACAACACGTTGTCCACTTGAACCTTTTTTGAAAAGAAAAATGATGTAGTTTTGTATATAACATAATAATATGAACAATTTATCAGTGTAATTATTAGTCTTTATATTATAACAATAAAATTCTAATAACATGGACAGATATTGATGCTATTAGTCTTCACATCAATATAGTTATAGAGTTTTATTATAATATAAAGATGTACGTGTTCGGATAAATAATTCGTGAACTCATGTTATGAGTGCACATACACTCAGATGTACGTGTTCGGATAAATATTCGTGAACTCATAATGTGTCATACGAAGAACATAAATCGTTCCTTGCTGAAAAAGAAAGAACTCAACCCAAAAAATTACTGAAGGCCAGGCATATAGTAGGCATTGTCCATGCGACAGCTCGAATCAAGGCTGGAAGGCCCAAATACTTGTTTTCGCTAACTGATCCAAATCAACGGCCCAATAGTATCGAAGGGCCCAGACGAAGCCGAGTTGATTCAAACTCGGTCCAACCCGTCACTCGTGCTGGGTTGTCTTGTGTTGTCAGTTAGCAGGCGGCCGCTATCCGCCCTCCCACACGGCGTCAAGAAAACCCCCCCAACCAATCTCCTTCGTCTATCCTCTTTCCCCTCTTTCTCTCACTAGAAGAATTTTCCCCAATTCTAGAGAGAGAAAGCCCAGCTCCCCCCATCCCTCCAATTGGTATGAAGAACCCCAATCACCCCGCTACTTAGTTACACCCAACCATCCGCTCAATTATTTCTCGGCATCCAAACACACTCCCAGCAGAGAGAAAGCTATAGAACCTTTTCCCCTTCTTTGTGGCCTCCGTCGAGGAAATATGTCCAACTTGTTGTTGAAAATTCCAGCGGCGCAAATTCCTGCCGCCGCTCCCAACCCCTCCTCCGCCGCCGCCGCGGCCAAGTCCCTGCCCCGCCTGCCGCATCCTCAGCTGTTCCCCAGCCTGCAGCCGCTGGTCATCGTGGGGAGGCGGGTGCCAAGTCTATCCATTTCGTGCTCCTGTTCTTCTTCGTCGTCGTCGTCTTCTTCGATTATTGACGGCGGGGGCGATGTGGCGCTGCTGGAGCGGTGCTTTGTGGCGCCGCCTGCTCCGGTGGAGAAGGGTTTGGGCTCGAGCTCTGGAGGGGAGTTCGGCCCGGTTATGAAGGGGAAGTTTGGCTCTCTTGGTGCTGTTACTCTGGAGAAAGGGAAGCTTGATCTTTCCCAGAAGCAATCCCAGTCTGCTCCTGAGGTTTGGCGTTTCTTCCCCCTTTCCTTCAACTTTGTTTTCGCAATTGAATCGTAGAACTGGTGTCAAATATGTAATCTTATGAACTGGAAAATTCAAAGCGATGAACCTTATCTTCAGAAATTCTATGGTAATCGAGTAGGTGAATTCTTCAACTAAAAATTGGTACTGGATACTGGTAGGTGAGCTGGTGTATGTATCATTCATGATCAATTGTTATTGATGTAGATAACCATTTCCAGTTGGATCACATTCTTTCTTGATAATTCTTCTCATGTTAAACTTTTGAGTCCTCTTCAATTATTTCTTTAATTCAGTGAGGAAATGGAAATAGGAAATGGCCGTCGTTTGTACTGTGATTTTCTGTATTCTAGAATCTAGACAACTCGTAACAGAGACTAGAGAGAGAGAGAGAAATGGTTGGAATTCAGTCGACGTTGGGCTGTTGCCAGGCTCGTGATAATGCACAGAGCATTCTTAACTGTTTGCACCAGAGCTTTGTTGAAGCCCTAGCAATCTCCTTCATTTTTGCATGTAAAAATAAATCATGCCAATTATTTTCTGATATGTATCCTGGTGGCACTTGCTAATGGTGAAGAGACAGATTAAGTTGGTTTATCAGCTTTGAGTTTGGAGAGTAACTAAAATCTTGTTGGATATTCCAGTTTAACTGATTATGGTTACAAAATTGAGTACTTGAGAAAGTACCTAATTCTCCGTAAAATTGCAGGTTGCACTTGGGGGAGGTGGCGGGGATAGTGGTAAAAAAATCAATAACGGTGGTGGAGACGGAGGTGATGATGATGGTGATGATGATGACTACTTCGATGACTTTGATGATGGCGATGAGGGTGATGAAGGTGGCCTCTTCAGAAGGAGGAAAATCTTTGAAGAGGTTGGAATGCCCTAAGTTACCTCCGTGGACTTAGATATATAGATAACTGATACCAATACTGATATCTCTCAATGGCTTCTTGCAGCTTTTTGATAAAAAGTTTGTAGATGCTGTGTTGAATGAGTGGCAGAAAACCATGATGGATTTGCCTGCTGGATTCCGACAAGCTTATGAAATGGTTAATAATTTCTTGTTTTATTCTTGTATGACCTTTAGTTTATGAATCGCTGTCTTGTCTGGCCAACTTAAGACTATATGCTGATTTTTAACTTGTAAAATCTGCAGGGCTTGGTGAGCTCAGCTCAAATGGTAAAATTCCTTGCAATAAATGCCAGGCCAACCACCACTAGATTCATTTCAAGATCGCTTCCTCAAGCAATTTCAAGGGCGTTTATTGGAAGGTATTTTCTTGATGATTTCTATAGGTCCTGTCAACGATCAATTGCATGCAATCATTTGTGCAGAACACAATAACATATAGTGCGTGCTTGTGTGTAAGTGTAAAAAAATTTACACTATTAGGGCATTCATTTGTTGATGTTGCTCGCATCGAGGAGTCTATTTGGCGGAATAATTTCATGCTATAGCTGAAGATAGTAGGTTATACCTTGAAATGCATCTCCTTCTCTCACCTCAGAATTTAGATTTAAAGACTTATCATGGCCCTGAGGGATGGGTTGTGTTGTTTCTTGGTGTCAATCCAATGAAGTTACTCATTTTCTTCGTGTGTTTTTCACCCACTTCTCTTTGTGGCCCTTTCTTTCTATGGATCCCATTAGGTCCTTAATCAACGTAAAATTAATGTTTTGGGAAATCTTGAATGGATATTGAATTCCTAGGTTTATGGATCAACAAGGGGTAGACTACTTCAAGTTCAACTTGCTACTTGCACAAATACTTAACACAAACCAATGAGATTTCGAGGAAGTAAGTTGTTTTGCAGGGATCTGTGCTTGTGTTAATTACTGAAACAAATCAACTTAGATGTTATCCCTCAGCTGGTGTGTTGGTGTATCGATTAGTTTCTGAGTTGATCTCGGAGTTCTTGGGATCTGTACTCCAGAATTTGGTGCATGGCTAATCAAATCAAGTATCTGAAATTTGGATGTGTGTTTTTGTGGTTCACAGGATGCTTGCAGATCCTGCCTTCCTTTACAAGCTTCTCTTAGAGCAGTTTGCAACACTTGGTTGCTCTGTGTGGTGGGAGTTTAAGAATCGCGGAGACAGGTATTTTTCTCTTTGCATTTTGTTTGCTGAGCTGGGAGTAAGTCTGACATTGGGGGATTATTGCTGAACTGGTACTCAATTTTCGCTGCTGCTGGTGATTATTATAGGATAAAGCAAGAATGGGACCTGGCCCTTGTAAATGTATTGACTGTGACAGCATGCAATGCCTTTGTGGTTTGGTCGCTTGCCCCTTGTCGTTCATATGGAAACACATTCCGGTTCGATCTACAGAATACACTACAGAAGCTTCCAAACAATATATTTGAGAAGAGCTACCCACTTAGAGAATTCGACTTGCAGAAGAGAATCCATTCATTCTTCTTCAAGGCTGCAGAATTATGCATGGTGGGTTTAGCAGCAGGAGCAGCTCAAGGCTCATTATCAAATGCTTTAGCCTCTAAGAAAAAGGACAGGTAAGAAAACAAGACTGCAATGAAATTGATTTGTCTGGACTAGTCTCTCTCCGGATGGAAATATCCGAAAAAGCTCACAGGGTTGTGCTGGTATCTGAATATACCTGGGTTAATTTTGACATTCCCTTCCCTTTTCTTTCTCTCCAGGGTGTCTGTGACAGTCCCACCAGTGAGTACGTACGCACTGGGTTATGGTGCTTTCCTTGGGCTTTATGGAAATGTGAGATACCAGCTGTTATGTGGGTTTGATAGAGCGGTGGTCAATCACTTTGATGTCATTGGACTGGCCTTGTTTCTGGGCACAGCTCTGAGGTTTGTTCTTCTTATAGAAGGGATTTGTGGAATATTCTGCTTGTATTGTGGTTTTCCTTACACTCAACGTTATTTTTATTTTTTGGCATGCAGGATAATGAATGACCAAGCAGGAGAAGTGTCAAGGCTAGCCTGGCTAGGGGTGGAGGTAGATCCTCTTGCTCAGTCAGAGAACCTTCTGAAGGCGTACAACAGGCCGACAACATCAGAGGATCTTGATGCAGCATCGTCATCCTCAAAGTGGTTCATCTCAAAGAAGGCGTTAGTTTCAGGGCTGGGCCTCCTCGGCATCAAACAAGGTAATGCAGAGTCTAGTGGCAGCGAGTCAGCAGCTAAGCCCCGCAGGAAGAGAGTAGTCCGGAAAAAGGTGCCTGCTGGTTCAGCATAAGCGATTACGCGTGAGTAAGTTGTTGGTCACCTCAAATCCAATTTTTGCCTCCTGTTAGACGCGACTTGAAGTTGCCATAGAGCGAGTCATGAGTGTAGGATTGTGAATGGGGGAGTAAGTAAAGCCTACCCATGAGTTTATATACTATGGTGGTGGTAAAATGATAATAGGCGTCTTGCTCATGAAGAAGAACCGAGGCACACACCTATTTGCTGCAGGACCGACTCTCAGCCTGATAGGCCAGTACTATTTTCCGGGATGAAATGTTGGTTTATATTCTGGCTCAACTCTTTCTTTTTCTTTCTGGCAATTCCCCCACCTTCTCTTCTCTCTCTCTCTTATGGTGTAGGGATATTGGCATTGTTTGTGTAGTAATGCATTCGTGATTCCTGGACTGCAAATTTTTGTAATATGGTAGAGATACTGGAGATTTTTGTTCTGAGTTGGCTGTTCATAGCTACTACCATATGAAATAAATAAGTGATGCTTATTGCTCTGGGTATGAGTTTATGCATGTATTATGTAGATATCTGTATCTATTTTGCAAATGTAGATTTTTAAAATGCAGCCCAGGTTTGAACTTGTACTGTAGATGGCCTTGGTTAGTCCATATTTTGGAGGTAACTGTTTCAGCTTTGCTGATCAATAATTGTGGATTGGACATCTGCAGTGATATGCAGATATGGACCAAATATCAAAATCATGGTGGTTTTTATTATTTTAAATGCTTTATTTATGGCACCATCAGTCTCATCTACCTCATTGAATGTTTGGTCTCTCTTCTATTATTGGGGTTCTTCTTGATGTATCCGCCTAAACTTCCTATCTTGTTGTTTATCCCAATTCCCAGCCAAAACTGAGCTGCTGCTCGTTCTGCAAAATCTCTCATTCTTGTTATCAATCAAGGTTTTCATATACTGTTTCATAGAGTGGGAGCTCCGCTGTTACCTGCCAAGTGAAGGTAGGAAGACGATGGCACTCATTCGACCAACCAACAAAGGGAGATTCTTTCCGTCATTCTATGCATCGGTTGAGTCAGGGTGTGTTTCATGCCTTCGTTTCTTTGTTGCATATAGGAGTGTACTAACTTGGGTCGGCTCTAATTGTTTTTAACCACCGCTCTAATTGTTTTTAACCACCCAACCAAGGAGTTATGGGTTGAACCATGTTAAATCAAATTCACCCATTAATTTATACGGGTTTTTTTAGTTATGGTTTACAGTTTACTTGTGCATTGTGATTTAGATTGCGATTTCTAAGTCTCTCACAATCCAGATCAAACTGTGCGGTATAATTTAGATTGCGATATTTCGTACGATTTGGTCTGGATTCACATCCTTTTTTTTTTACATAAACCTGTAATCAAATCATTAATCGAAATTGACTGCTACATCATCCGGCTTAATCTGATCAACTAAGTAAATTGACGGTCGATCCGGTCTGGATTCACATCCTTACTCGTGTTTCTTTGGTATTGGAATTATCAATTATGATTTCTCAAATCTGGAAATAGAATGTGGGCCGCTGTTTACTTTGAAAAGTCCATGGGGAGAGACATTTGTGCAATTGTGCTCAACCCAAGTCAATCAAAGCCCATCCTTAAACGACGACGTCTGGTCGACGGCTAACCACCAAGGGGTCGTTTGGATAAGGGAATGTAGTGAGGGATTTATGAGGAATTTTAAAACAATCACTCATTATGCAGGATTTTAAAACAATCCTGCGTTTGGATAGAATGAAGAATTTTACAATTAGAAATTTTAAAATCTCTCAAATGCAGGTTTTTGAAATAGCTGATGACTATCAGCTATTTTACAATCCCTCATTATTTTTATTTCTTTTCCATAATTATCCCTTCCCTTAATCCAACTATTTCCTTCTCGTTCTTGCCCAGTTCTTCCGTTCCTTCCAAACCGTCGTCGACCTTCCATTCCGTTGTTCCTCCCCAAACCCTCCGCCTATTTCAACTCCCGAAACCTCCTCATATGGGCGAAGGGCTGGTGGAATTTTTGGTCGTCGGTTTGTGATTTCTGGAAATCGAGCAGATCTCGTCGTCGGCTAATGGATTTTGGCGCGAGCATGCTTGCAGCGGCGGCGGCGACTGCTCTCATCTCTTCTTCACTGATCCACCGCTATGAAATCTTTTAATTCCCTATTAGCTATTCCATCAATCAAAGAAGCTGGTGGTGCAATCGATTATGGTGGTGGTGACGGGTTAGGAGGGGACGAAGGAAAGGTCGGATGGATGGGAGGGAGAGAGAGAGAAAAGGGCACGAACTGGGATGAATCAATTCTGGAGTTCTGGGTTCTTATTTCGTCGATTTAGTTTGTAAGAATCTGGATTCATGTTCCTCGATTTGGAATCTGGGATCTGCGAACCAGGAGAAGAATCAAACCGCTGACCAAACTATTCCTCATAAACCTCCAGTTCCGATCAATCAGTGGCAGGGGCTTCGATTTCGGGTAGTCCGGCGAAGTCGACACGCTTCAAATTCGCTACCCGGACGTCGATTGCTCCGTTTAGACCTCTCCCGTTGTTCTCTTTCCCGGCGTGATTCTTCACTAGCTCGATTTCTGGGTTTCCCATTATCTTCCCAGCTCGATTTCCTCTCCCATTAATGCTCTTTCCCGCTCCATTTCCCCGGCGTGGTTCTTCCCCAAATCTTGTTCTCTTCCGCCGATGTCAGCTCAATTCGTATGTTTTGGTAGCCAATTTATGGGTTTCTGTGTTTAGGGGAAGGATGACCCTAAATTTTGAATCCTCATTTGGCTGTTCTAGGTTCTACGATTTGGGAAAGAAGAAGGCAGAAAGTAAGTTTTGGGTTAACAGATAAGAAGAGGAAGGTAGAAGATGAGGGTAAGGTTGTAATTTGGCTTTTCTTATTAAAATCCTATGTTCACATCCAAACAAGTTATTTGATTAAAATTCTGCATCTAAAAAACCTAGGTTTTTGAAATGAGAAATTTGGGCACACTCCTGGGTTTTGAAAAAACCTCATCCAAACGACCCCCAATTGGGAATTTGCAATTGCGCAGAGAAGATCCAACAGTCTTTCTTTCTCTCTTCCACTTATCCTTCGTCTGGTAAACACAGGAAAAAAAGACCATTCCCCAATTCTTTCCACAACTCGCCGCCGGCGGCTAGTCCTCCCGGCCAACCCAATGGATCCGCAACCGCTGTCACAGATCCTCCCCACCCTCAATTACTGGCTCGTCGACCATCCCCAAATCCGCCACTTTACCTGGTCGCCCGGTCAAACCTTCGCCTCCACTCCCCAATTCGCCGCCGCCGCCGTCCTCACCTACCTCTCCCTCACCCTCCTCCTCCGCCGCCTCCCCCTCCCCGTCCTCCCTCCTCCGATCCTAAAACCCCTAACCGCCGCCCACAGCCTCGTCCTCTTCCTCCTCTCCGCCGTCATGTCCGCCGGCACCCTCCTCTCCATCTTCTCCCCCAACAATTCCCCTCTCCCTCGCCTCCGCCGCGCCGTCTGCTTCCCCCCCGACACACCGCCGTCCGGCCCGCTCTTCTTCTGGGCCCAGATCTTCTACCTCTCCAAATACCTAGAATTCGGGGACACGCTCCTCATCATCCTCAGCAGGTCGAACCAACGGCTCACGTTCCTCCACGTGTACCACCACGCCACCGTTGTCGTCATGTGCTACCTCTGGCTCAGCACGGCCCAGTCCCTTTTCCCGGTGGCGCTCGTGACCAACGCGACGGTGCACGTGGTCATGTACGGCTACTACTTCTGCACCGCGCTGGGGTCCCGGCCCCGGTGGAAGAGGCTGGTCACCGATTTTCAGATCGTGCAGTTCGTCTTCAGCTTTGGAATCTCTGGATTGTTGTTGTACTACCACTTCGCCGGCGGCGGGTGCTCCGGGATGGCTGGCTGGTGCTTCAATGCCGTTTTCAATGCCTCGCTGCTTGCGCTTTTCGTTGATTTCCACGGGAAGAGCTACGCTGCCGCGAAGAAGAGGAAGGCCGCGGCGGAGAAGATTGGTTCCGGTTGCGATAAAGTAAGGGATAAGAGGCAATGATTTTGTGACCTTTTTTTTAATAAGTGTGGGTTTTTGTCGTGGTGCATTGGGTAAGCAATTTTCCGATTAAGAAATGGCGAGTAATACAAATTGGAGAGGGAAATTGGGTTACGATATGATTTATGGCCTGTGTATTTTAAGGAACGAAGCAATTGAAAGCAATCACCAACCTTTATTTGTTTAACAATTTTTTGGGAGTTCTACAAGCAAGTTGATAAAAAAAAAAAAAAGACTGGAATGTGGCATATGAATAGTAAAAATGTGTTTCTCAATAGGTAAAATATGTCCCAACGAAGCTAAGTTGTCATCTCGAGTGCAAAGTTGTATAAAGATAATGCCAACGATGGATCTTAACCAAATGAACGTAGTCGTACTGTGGGCAACTTGATGTAGCAGTATCAATAAGGCTTTGGTTGTTTTGCGAATTTGTGCGCAAAACAAACTTTCTAACTTTCAGTACCTAAACAATCTCGAAACCATGGATAATTTCGACGAACTCTCATTGAATAATGAACCCCCTCCTCAAATTCACCAAAAAAATTGGTGAAAAATCTATCATTGTCTCCTGTTACAATACCGCCCATCATCATCATCATCATCATCATGCTATAAGGAAAGCCAACTATGAATCCAACAGTATTGTTCTCCCTTGGACTCCGTTTTTATATACAAGTACCAATATCAACTAAGCATTCTGACTTCTGGGCTGGGCTTCAAAACTGGTCATGAACGATTAGCCTTGGCCCATATTAAGTGAGAATATTATCCATGTTCACTACCCCTGGAAAGCCCATGATGGCATGATATAACCTTTCAGTTTGGAGACCAGGGCGAAACCCTGCACTCCAGCCTATCGAGCTGATTCCAATATTAACCATCCTAAGTTTGACCAATATAATTAGTTAGATTACTCTCGAATTAAGGAATCAGCTGATTAATTTCCAATACATTAAGGAAAACTATCCCTCTTCCAACTCCAGTCTTCACTACCCTGGACAAAACCCAATCCTAAACTCACCAGGGAAAAATTGTAACATCTGTTAGCCACCATTGATTCTGCGCAAATTAAATCTCGGAAAGAACCATTGAGTAACTCTCAAAATTATGTAAATTTAAATGTAAATTTTGTAATAAATTAGTAAAATATAGTAGTTGATAAAGCATTAGCCTGCCCTCACAACTGTGTTGAAAGGGAGTAAATTGGCGATGGGAGTGTCCTGGTTAGGGGTGGAAATCGGTACGGTATCGGTATCCCAATACCAAATCCCGAATACCGAATTACACCCTAAAGTCAATCTCAATCCCAATCCCTAAATAATTTCGGTATCCCAATTCCAACCCCTAAATATTTCGGTATCCCAATCCCAACCCCTAAATATTTCGGTATCCCAATCGGTACTTCGGTATCCCAATCGGTATTATCGAATACGAAATTAATTATCTTTGCAATTAATAATTAAATATATAAATAAGATTTTATTGTTTAATTTAGGGGAAAAAGACTAAGCACAGAGTTTTGAATTATGATATTATTAAGGAGAATGGAGGAGAGGAGACATCTCAAGTTCTTGTCATTGATAATCTTTAATTTGACGAATTAGAGGTTGGGAGACGACTATTAATAGTGATCGAATGATCTATATATAATTAAATGACACTTTTGGTGGTTGAGGGTCATGTAGTAGTAAATGAGAGAGTCTAGTTGAGAGGATAAAATACAAACTAGCTAATATTTCGGTATTGATCGGTATTTCGGTATATCCCGATCCCAATCCCGTAATCCCTAATACCGAATAACAATTGAAATTCAATCCCAATTCCAATCCCAATCCCAATCCCAAGAAATAATACGTGTATTCGGTAATACTAAATATAGACAAATTCGGTACGGTATTCGGTATATCCCAAATACCGGTACCAAACTTCCAGCCCTAGTCCTAGTCCTGGTAATGGGTCTGTAATTTCTTCTGCACCTGGCTGTAGTTAGTGCTGTAGGCTGTAGCTGATATATATATATATATATATATACACACGATTATATGATTGTTCTTCTCTTCGTGCGGTTGAGGCAGCGACAGTTGACGAGATGATGGGAGGCCATATGCCAACGGCAATGCCATGCACTCAGTCACTCCCTGGGCGCGCGTTATAATTACTACTTACCACCTTACAACCATCAAACTGCAGGCCGACTTCCCCACTGTCCCCCATCCTCTCTGCATATGCTTTCATGGCTACCTGTTGTTGGAGTTGAGCTGACCATGGAATAACTAGCAGGCATGTTCATCACAACCAAACCGTATATCACAGTCTTATTATCAAACGTGTGTTAGTGTGTGGTATATGATACACGATTCAACTTCTTCCAACAACTCGAGTTATTGGGACCAACTGGTTCTTGACATGGTATAAGAGCTTTCTGTGACCAAGAGGGTCTTGTGTTCGAATCTTGGTAACCCCCATTTGTTAAGCACATGGTATTCGGACCTGTGCAAACTTCAAACCCTTGTGAGTGACTTTCGTTTGAGAGGGCGCGTGTTAGTGTGTGGTATATGATCCACAACTGAACATCTTCCAACAACTCGAGTTATTGGGAGCAACTGGTTTATGACAAACTAAAATGGTTTATGACAAACTAAAATCGGTTGGTAGATGATCACCCGTATGAAAGCGGTGGTCGAAATCGGTAAACAAATCAATTGAAAATTTGAAACCGCGCGAGAAAAGAGTGATACAACTACAATGGTCAATTTTCGGGCCGATCCTAAACAAAACGTACCCCAATTGTATAGATCAGGGCTGCAAATGAGCCAAGCCGCTCGCGAGCAACTCGGCGTTCGAATCGGAAAAAACGCGTTCGACACTCGACTCGTTGTTTAACAAGCCGGCTCGTTAGTAAACGAGCTAAGCTTGAGCCAGGCCATGCTCGGCTTGATAAGCTCGTGAGCTAGCTTGACTCGGTGGCTTGTTGAGCTAAGCTCGCGAGCTAGCTTGTTTAAAAGCTTGTGGAAGGATTAATTATTCTTGTGAACAATACATGAAAAATTATCTTGTTAATAAGGATGTGTATGTATGTTAGATGTTATTTTTAGTTTCTAGTGGTCTTTTTATCATTTTTAATTTCTAATGTTCTTATTTGTACACATTTTTCCAGCAAGAATGGTTTCAAATCGAGCTTATCTTGAGCTGATCTTGTACTCAGCTTGACAAGCTGTTTTAATGAGCATTTACCGAGCTCTATCGAGTCGAGCTCGAGCTGGATTATTTTTAATCGAGTCGCGAGCTGGATGATCAAAATTCGAGTTTGAGCTAAAAAATTTATAAACGAGCCGAGCTAAAGTTAAGCAAAAACTCGACTCTACTCGGCTCGTTTGCAGCCCTAGTATCATATATACCACTTGCTAAATCGGACTGGTTTCACTTGTATAATGGATAAGCAGCTTATAATTATAAACTTATAGGTTGAAAGAAACCTTATCATAATTAAGAAGGTGTAAAAACTGGTCATCCCCAGACTGTACGTTCGTTATGAACTGTCTCTGTCACTAATACATCAATTGTTGGGGTGGGAGGGAGGAAGAAGAATGGGGCGGCAGAGCAGAGCAGTGAATATTGGCAGAGACTGGTTTCTGGTTCAAACCCAAAGGGAGAGGAGAGGTATATTTAATTTATGGGACAAGCTAGCTAGATCATCATGTGCATTATCGACTAACCATAAAAACCCTAGCTAGCCAGCAGTGGACGACTTTGCCCAACTTGCTAATTGCTACCAACTCAACTTAATTACTACCCAAATAAATGCACCCCACGCACTGCGCGCCTCGCTTCTAATATGAAAAACGATCAGGTCTGTACAATACTCCTACAGTACGATCCAGGAAATTTTGTGACATTCTTCAATCAAGCCTCCTTAATTCCTATATCAAAGACCTCTCATCTTCATGGATATGTATATGTAACGTAGGCATATAGACCATAAATAGTTCAAAGTCTCTTAAAGCTAGAGACAACGGACATACTTGACTAGCTATATATTCACGTTGATATTGTCAACAATCAGTTTATTTCAATAACTATAATAAGATAAAAAAAAATGAAATAAAACGATACACACGGAATTATTAGCTTTTAGATAGTATCGAATAATCCATCATAATTTTCTTTCATATTTACGCAACTAGCTAGGCTATCTTAGTTATAAATCATGCCAATTCCTATGCTAACGAATGAAGTCCACCTTAATTTCCATGATCAATGTCAAGAACGTGAGAGAGTGTCACTGCCACTCAATTATTTTGGATATAACGAAGAGTTGGTGGTGGGACTTTGTTCAGTTATTAATTAGTTGATATATATATATATTCTTTATTTTATTTGGTCAACAGTATTTTTTTGGACAAAATTTGGTCAACAAATCTCAGTTAGTTGTTTGGGAATAAATCATTGTCTGAGCAATATCCATGCGTAATTAGGGCTGTTAATCGGTGCGGTTTCGGTTTAACCGAACCGCACCGTCGGTTAGCCGACACCGAAACCCGCGCGCTTTCCCCAACCGAAGCCGACACCGACGCCGTCCTCGGTTAACCGGCAACCGAAACCGTCGGTCTCGGTTTGATAGGACGGTTAGTCGAAACCGCCAATGGACAAAAGACGGCGGGAGAACAGGGCAGACGACGGCGGGATTCCGGGGCGACGACGACTTCTGTTGGGCGACTTCTGTTCGGCGGGAGAACAGGGCAGACGACGCGAAGGTTGGGAGCGGGAGGAGTGACGGCGCTGCCGCTGCGACGGCCGACGGCCGACGAGCTCGACGGGGACGACCGGACGAGGCGACTGGCGGGCGGCGGCGAGGGTAGGGACTAGGGTCGCCGGTCGGACTACTGGGGAACGAAATGGGGAGGACGAGCGGCGGGTGAGGAGAGTGGAGACTGTGGAACGAAATTTAGGTCAGGGAGGAGAGGCCTTCCCCAATTTCGCCATTAGGTCAGGGAGGAGAGGTGGCCAAACGACGCTGTATTGAGGAGGTAAGTGTGGTCGGTTAAACCGACGGTTACTTTGCACGGTTTCGGTTTTAACCGCTAACCGCTCAATTTGCCCAACGGCTGATGTTAGCCAACCGCAACCGACAACCGCAAGCAACCGACGGTTTTCGGTTGGTCAGAAAACCGACGGTTTCGGTTCGGTTTCGGTGGTAACCGAAAAACCGGAGACCGATTAACAGCCCTATGCGTAATCATTGTGTACCAAAATGTATTAGTAACTAATTACTAAACTACACTTGTACTTTAGAGTTTAGATCTTGAGCCGCTCAAGAGTAGTTTAATGTACGACTTATTAGGAAAAAACTAATTTGACACTCTGATTCATTTTCTAATGAGAGCTGGTGACTAATTTGCTAAAGAATTGATCAGCTAGAATTGTGAACTGACTTGTCGATGAACAAAAGAACACAAGATGTGTGTAGTGCGGATCGAGGTAAAGATTGTGGTTGGGTAAGTAACTGCTGGAAATTGAAAGCCATAAGTTTAAATGAATGGGAAGGAGATAGATGGTGTGAAAATAAATGGGAGAGGTTGATCGGCAGGCAGCAGGCAGGACTTTTGCCAGAATGTTATCAACTGCACAACCCTTTTTTTAATATATATAAATAAATAAATGTCTCACCATTCTCTCTCAGTCCTGTTTCTGTTACTATTTATATACATTTCTTATAATTTCTTCTGCGTCTTCTTTTCCCTTTGTCACCCAATTCATCAATGCACTACTGCACTAGTGATGTCTCCCTTCCTTTACCTCTTCTTTCTTTCTCTCAATCCACACTGTTAAAATCTAAGTGTGGAACAGTGATGCAATGATTTATGTATAATTAAATGACACTTTTGGTGGCTGAGGCTCGCGTAGTATTGAATGAGAGAGTTTAGTTGAGAGGATAAAATACACACTGGTTTATATTTCGGTATCGATCGGTATTTCGGTATATATACCGATCCCAATCCCGTAATCCCTAATACCGAATAACAATTAAAATTCAATCTCAATCCCAATCCCACAAATTAATACGTATATTCGATAATACCAAATATAGAGACAAATTCGGTACGGTATTCGGTATATCCCAAATACCGGTACCAAACTTCCCGCCCTAACTAGAGGTACTATAATCTGAGCTTTTTCTATGCAATGGAAAGGAGAGAATAAATGTGAAATGAGAGGGGGCAGGTCAGTCAGCAGTAAACTGTATATTGACAAATCTCTTGAAAGCTTTTGCTCATAGCCAAAAAAAAAAAAAAAAAAAAGCCAGCCTAGCTAGCCACACTCTCTTCCATTTCCATTTCCATTTCCATGCCCATTCTCTTTCCCCCAAACATTAACTTCCCCCCTATCTATAAAATCTCTCCTCCCTCCCTCCCTCAAGATCCACCACCGCCACCGCCACCGCCACATCACCACCACAAAAATGTACAACATAACTGTCTTCATCTTCTCCACCCTCAAACACCTGGTAGAAACCCTCCTCACCATCTCCCCAACGTTCCAAACCCTACACTACTACCTCGTCAAACACCCACGCGTCCACAACTTCGAGTGGCACCAGGGTCAAACCTTCGGCTCCTCCGTCACCTTCCTAACCCTAACCATCCTCCTCTACCTCACCCTCACCTTCCTCCTCTCCCGCCGCCACACCTCCTCCTCCCCTTCCTCCACCGTCGTCATCCCTCCCTCCCTCCTCCGCCTCCTCACCGCCGCGCACAACACCTTCCTCCTCTCCCTCTCCGCCGCCATGGCCCTCGGCTGCACCCTCACCATCCTCACCACCCTCCCGGACGTCCACAACCTCATCTGCTTCCCCGTCGGCACCGTCCCAAAAGGTCCGCTCTTCTTCTGGGCCCACGTCTTCTACCTCTCCAAGATCTACGAGTACGTCGACACCTTGCTCATCATCCTCAGCTCCTCCGCCTCCCGCCGCCTCTCCTTCCTCCACGTGTACCACCACGCCACCGTCGTCGTCATGTGCTACATCTCCCTCCACACCGCCCAGTCCATGTACCCGGGGATCCTCGTCACCAACTCCGCCGTCCACGTCGTCATGTACCTCTACTACCTCATGTGCTCGCTCGGGAAGCGCCCCACGTGGAAGAAGCTCGTCACCGACTGCCAGATCGTCCAGTTCTATTCGAGCTTCGGGATCATGGCGCTCATCTTCTACTACCATTTCACCGGCGAGGGTTGCTCCGGGATCTGGGGGTGGTGCTTCGACTCCGTTTTCATCGCCTCGTTGCTCTTCTTGTTCCTCGACTTCCACACCAAGACTTACCAAAGCAAGAAAGAGGTGAACGGTGACGGTAACGGGAATGGAGTTGTTGATGATGGTGGTTCTGGTAAGGCAGTGAAGCAAGCTTAGGGACGACAGGGAATTTAATTTACTGCGGGTTTGCATGGAGGGCTTATCAACTTGTGGGGTTTGATTCGGTGTATTGGTGGTCCATATTAATATGGTGTCCCCACTTTTTTTTTTTTTTTTTTTTTTTTTGGGGTTCTTGTATTTTTCTGTTTTTTGGGTGGTTGGGAATGGGGAGATGGGGAGAGGGGGGAATTTAAGGCAAAAAGAGATTTTATTTGATGAGGGGCAAAAGGGGTTGAATAACTAAGAATGATAGGGTAACGGTGATTTTTTTTTTTTTTTTACCTGGCTTCATCTGGTTTGATGAAGTGTAATTTTTACACTGTGATTCATGTTGTTGTACCACATATGGTGTTTGGCGCTGATCCCTTATGGGGGTGACTTGTTGCATATGAATTTGCAATTTTGGTGGATTTCCAAGATTCGGCTCTTTCGCTGCTGCGTTCACGTTGCACCGGAGGTTTGGAAATCGGTCATCTCGTGTATGCAATGATGACGAAAAAAATTGTATGACGCGTGTGGTTTAAGTACTGGAAATGACGCGTGTGCTAATAAAATCATTTGTGACAGTAGTGTGTGTGTTTGACCAGATTAGGAGAGACTTGTCTCCTTTTGATTAGAGTTGAAAAGCTGGGGATTACTTAAATTAGAAAGTCAAACATTGTGTCTTTGTGGAATGAGATTTTGGGACGACAAAGATATGCCCTAGCTAGTTTTCTGGTAATGTATGTGAATGGATTGCTTGAAGAAGGGGGTCTTTGTCTCTTGATAAAAGGGTATTTTTCTATTTTTGTTACCTTTGGTGTGGACTGTTGGCCAGCAAAAACTTTTCTCATATTATGATACCCAAAATTTCGTAGAGGATGATGATATGGTCCCCGGGTTGCCAAAACCTAGAAGAGTGCTGAAATTCATCCACTACCAACACACATTGATGTAGCTATATTAATGTGTAGCTGTACCGGCAATAGGATAACGACGTGGAGGTCATTGGTTTGAATTCGACAGGATTTTCAATACGCTCTTTCCTCCTTTTAGATGTTGTTTATTGACAAAGTGGTTGATTGTTGCCTGCTGGAGTGTGTGTCATGTTTTCGCCATCGACGAGTACTGTTGCCGGAGTAAGTACTCGGATCCTATGGTATGTGTGGCGAAGATTTACTCGGAGGTGTTCAAACAAGTATGCCCTGCATCTGATTACTTGATCGCATTCTGTTCATCGAGGTAGAATTTCGAAAACTTGTAGTATGATACTCTCTTTTCAGGCAATCAGAAGTAACTAGTTATTACAACAAGATGATTCATTGTTTATGATGTGCATGCGGGAATCAAACACTCTGCTCCTACAACGACAGCAATGTAGTTTGCAGTAATAATAACAGTGCTGTTTCCTCCTCCAATGATCGGTTTGAAGTTCTACCTTTTGCATGGTGGGTTTGGATTATCGCTTGCATATTAAGATCCTTTATGTAACACCTATAACAGCATTCAGATATGGCAGAGAACTACTAAAACTGATAAACTACACAAAATATGGTAGGGAACTACAACCAGAATTTTCTGAATTACAAAACTATGCATGCAGATTCAAACCTGCATATCTGCACCTCTAAGCAGCCACTGTACACTTTTTTGTTTTAGTTCTTCATCTCTCTTTTTCGCAATGATTGACGACTATTCATCAGGCTTCTTGCCTTCATTTGCTGATCTGGACTCCTTACTCTCGAATGGAACCACGACTACCCGTGCAGCGGGGACCGTCTCCCAACGCTCCTTCAGTAGGGTTATGAACTTTTTCACCATTTCTTTGCGGAACTCGAGCTCCCGGGTGAAGAGATCGAAGAGGAAAATTGCGAGAATGTACTTGAATGGAACGATGAGAAGGACGGTAGCTGAAGACAATAGCACCAATGCGACCTCCATAGTCACCTGAAAGAAACAAACCTTGAATAAAAAGATTCTGATGTCTCACTACATTCTGTAAGCACAAAAACAAAAGAAGAACTAGTAGAAATCCACAAAGAGAGCAGAGTGTCTGTGACCCTCTAAGCTCTCTACTTGAGGAAGCACTACATTGCAAAGCAGACAAGTGTCTGAGACTGAGGGCAGCATACCTGTGGTTGACCTGAAAGAAAGATATTTCGTATTTTGAGAAGCGCGACATTGAGATTCTGGAGGTAGTTTTCCACATCTCGCATGGCATCTTTCACAGCTATAATCTTTTCAATGGTATTGGAAGGGGGTTGGTCACGGATAACGATTTTTCCAAATGACCTTCCCAAGCGGCCTTGCCGCTTTAGCCCCTTTAGTGTTAACATCCCAGCTGCCAAAACGATCATCATCGTCGGAAATATATATGACAGCATATTTCTGTAAAGAAGCAGGAAAGATTAAGCTTTAGATTTGCTACCACTGGAAAGAACAGGAACAACAAACTAGACAGCATAGTTCTGGTATTGATGGAGCACCTTATTAGCATTCTTCATAAGACATTTAAAAGCAAGAACAAGATGAACCTGATACCTGAAAATTATGGAATAAGCAAATGCAAGAAAAGATATTGTCAGGTGTGGTTCTTCCCATCGCATCAGCTTTTGGAAATTCTTTGCAGTCATGGATAGAGGGAGTATCAGTTCCTGCATGAATGCAAAATATCAGATAAGTTCCAACCAAAATGATCAGATACTTAGCTACTCGATAATTAATAGAAGACGGGAAACAATACAAGCATTCAAACCTTGAAAAGGTCAATGTTACTTGGTATCCCTTTAAGCATGGCAGCATCTATCGTCTCTTGTGTTTTTTCTGCCACTTTGAATTTTTCTCTACATGTTGAAGCTGCCCTCTCGACTAGGCTCCGATCGGCAACAACAAGATCTTTACTTAGAACTACACCTTGCCCTTTGGATGAGCTCTTCCAGAAGTTAATGGAAGCACTGGAAGACCAAGAAGGCGATCTCATCATCCACTGCCTTAGGTAAATGCTTCCATCTACGTCAAGCAAATGACTATTGAGTTTTGATACACCATCACTGGGTGGTGTTGCCCCTGGAGTCGGTTGAAAGTCATCATCATTTGTATAGGTCTTAACTAAGGGCCCACCCCAATAGTTAAGAGCCAGACTTTGGCACACGATCTCCCCAAAGGGCGCACTGCGCAAGTACGAGAACTGACCAAGTTTGAGAGGATCATCCACCAATTTCCTCATGAACTGAAGAGCCTGAAGTCTGGCTATGCTGTTAATTGCACCATTGATAGCCCTTTCCTTCCCTTTCTGGGCACCATATACTCGAGACAGTAAGGGATCACTATCCTCAGGTCCAAACTCGGATATGAACTTATGCAGTGAAACAACTTCAGAGATAAATGCATGCCAAGCATCTCGTCTCAACTCCCCTCCCAAGTCAACAAACTCTAACACCAATTTTTCTGATCTGACCCACAAAGGAAATATATGAAAAATGTCAGGGTAATGAAAACAAATAGCAAGAATAAATAAAAGTTATGAATCATTAGATAGAAGGCAACAAACTAGGGTGAGTCATGCGATATGCAGTGAATGCAAAACATTTGACTGGACACACAACTAATTCCAAAGAGAAGGCCAAGAGAACCTCACTCACCCAGAACTTGATCCAACGGAGACTGCAGAATCGAAAGCACCTAAGGGTCCAACTTTTGTCTTTTGAATTTGAAATCCATTTCTTGTAAGGTCAAGCCTTGTAGAGCTTTTTTTACCGAGTAGGTCAACAGCCTGCAAGACATGACAAGTTTCGTGAGAATATCTTAACATCCAGTACCACAAGCACCACTTGGAAATTCATAGTTAAAAGTTACATTGAGTCATTGAAATATGAAAATGGAACATGTTAGCAACCGCTGACCCAGTTTAAAAGTAAAGTACCTCAAAATAGAGTGCTTTGTCTGTCAAAGTTACTTTCCCTGGCCATGCCATATTATTTTCCCATTTCAGGACAGGCTGCTTCTTGCTAGAACCAATGCACAGGACTCTTTCATTCCGAATTGGAGAATCATCATGAGTCTGGTATGACATTCGAGCGTCATGCACTCTACAGTATTTAAATAGAAATAACAGAATTAGTAAAAACATGAGAGACAAAGTTAATATGCCCTAGAATTAGCTTTCCCTCTAGGTGCACATTTTTCTATTGGGGAGTAAACTGCATGATTGGCCACTGAACCAGACCTCTTACTGTATTTTAGATGAGTAAGTTTTTTTTTTTTTCAATTCATTTCAGATACCAGATTATACATTTAGTTCAAAACGGGTCACAATTTTATTGCCAAATTCATTTGGGTTACTACGTCATAAATTTGATAATGGATGGGTTAGAATCTACTTAGATGCACATATTTTCAGTTTTATATCCGAGTCATCCATGCCTATTACATGCTCAAACATAAGTATATTGATTGGCAAATAGAACTTCAAAATAGACTATAAACAGAAGTGTATATGTGATTTCGTACAATAAATACAAGTGTAAATTCAAATTTCGTAGAGCACAATCAGAGAATCATCACAACTATAAGATATTTGAAGCAATGTTTTAGATCTCATATTCAAACCATAAGCCTAATTCGTTTGTCATAAGTTCCTGATGAAGAAAACAGTATGTCAGTGACCAGAACTGAAGTATAGTTGTGTGACGAAGATGGTACTACAAGTAACTTAATGGCCTATGTGACATCAGATGTGTAGTTCAGCAACTGAAATCAGACCATAAATAGTTTAGTTAAGTAGATGACACCAGCGTTGTAGTTTACAACCAAACTGCAACAAAGTACTGTGCTGGCAATTTTCAATATTAGGAGTATTTGAAACGAGTGCATCCCTCTGTGATGTCAATTATGCTATAGAGTTTACGTGTTGACTGTTGTCGAAGAATTAGCATAAATGTACAAGAGCAGGAAAACCAAGATGACGCTTAAATGAGGAGCTTACTTGAGAAGTTCATCAATATACGTTAACCACACTTCAACTGAGATGCCTCTTTCATCACCAGCCAGGGCTTTGAAAAGGTTATGCACTGTGGAGTGATCAGCAACACCAGGAACAGCTGGAGCAATACGTATAAATGCCTCTTCCCCTACCAGCTTTCCCTTCAGGAAAAGAACAGCAGAAGTTAAAACTCTAGTAAGCACATGAAAGAGAAAAATGAGGCCTTGGAGATGCTATACCTAATAGCAAACTACTAAACTAAGTTTCCCCTGCTTATAAATTTCCCACTGTCCATTCCTGGAGAAAAGTATGAGTGTATCTTAAGCAAAGATATGTAACCAAAAATACTAAATCGAAGCCAAAAGCTAGAAACCCCTCTCTGTGAAAACAGACTTCCAGCAACACATACTGTCATTGAAAAGAAAGTGAGGGAAAAAGTGAATGAGTTCCGAGTTTCTGATTACAACATCATGGATCTAAAAGGGATTTACTAGGATGATGGACCGTCCATCCAGTTACTTGGTGACTTATGTTTAGTCCCAATAGATAATTTGGGGTGGATAACAACCACCACACCTTAAGTTCGAACCTTGTGGACAACAATCATCGAAGAAAATTTATGTCACGGATATATGAGCCTAGCTGTTGACTTGTTGCTGATTTCGGGGGATGTTTTCCACTCCCAGATTTTAACATCTTCTCAACAGCGAGAAATGTACACTACAAATGAAAAATGTAAACCTTTAATGAAGCTTCTTCGGAATGATTTGCTTTGCAGTAAGGATTCTCCCATGCAAGCATAGTGATGAAGATTAGCCTCTGAAATGCTGCTTCCTGTAGAAACAAACCAAAGTTCCCCAAAAGACAAGAAATTAATAAGATAAAGGACTTTGATACCAGAGCAAACATCCCTCAAAAATGACAAGGGAAAAGAAATGCAACAAAGCCAATTTTAGTTCAAAAGAACACGATATAACATTTTCAGTCATAAGAAAAAGGGGGAAGCAGAAATTGGCAGAGGCTAAGGGACACCAAAACTAAGAGTGCCATTGCACCTTCTAGTATGGATACATGGTGTTTGTTTTTTCTGAAATCTAATTGTCATATGGTTGCAATTGCGCAACCAACACAAAAATCCGCAGCCACGATTCCGGAACACAGAAAACTTTACCTAGTGGGTGAAAAACACATGTAGAGAGTTGGACACAAACTTCATATTCCAGTAGAAATGGAAGGCAGTTAATGCACAAACCTTGAGGCATGGATGGAAGGCAGAACTATCCTTGGACACAAACCTAAAGCAGCAATACTCCACAAAGTTACGAGCATCACTATAAACAGGCTCTGCAACAAGTGCTTTAAAAATCTTCTGCATTTTATATCCGGTCAATCCATTCATCCTGCATACCATAAATCCTTGATCAGTCTAACATGGAACCATAAAATAGCTTTTCCTCGCCCTTAGTAGTGGCCCATCCGCAAGGATGTTTCTACGACCAAAAAAAAAAAAAAACCAACTGAAACATGGGAACTCTAAGGATTTCCAGTTACCAAGTTTATCATTTGCTACATCATTGAACAAAAGAAAACATATCATAGTTCATGTACTCCAGAAACACAATGATAACTGTAATACTCTTTTGGGGATTGCTTGCCATTGATCAGAACAAGTTCATCACGAGGTTACATGGAACTTTTTTCTTTTTGCGCGTTGTTGCGTAGTAGCACATGATTCACAAAGGACGGTAATCATCTCAGTTAGGAACCAAAAACAACGAGGAATCTACCTGCTAAATTGCTCAATAGATACCAAAGTAGCCAATGAGAGAACTCCCTTCCGTGTATTTCTTTGAATCGTTGGCTCAACCAGAAACACTTCCTCCAGCTCTAGACTATCATTAGCTTTTCTAGAAATGATTTTCCCACTCGAACCAGACTTGACCAGCGGTGAAGCCACCTCAGTAATGAAATTTTGGGTCTTCGATAGCCATGAGCTCAACTGTTCCTGAACTGCCTCTGTAAAGAAATCAAAAAGTTGCACATGCTAGAACTCAGGAACAGCACAATTGAGAAATTGGAAAACAAGTACAAAGCAACACCACTGTGAAGTCGTTCATGGATGCACAAGATCATACTGGGATAATTCCCAAGAAAGGTCCAACTTTTATGGGAGAAAAGAAAGGAACATATGCATGCCATAGCAGACAGCTGCCAGCTGCCAGCATCTGCTTACCAAAGAATTTCCGCCCCCAATTGGAAATTCACTGCTAAAATCAAACCAGCGTGCGTGCAAAGTGCAAACCTCATGACCACTGCCTAATTCTTCTACTTCTAATGTTTTGCCTCCTAACAATTCAGCAACGCCTAATTGATCACTTCACAACGACGAATTTCCAGTAAAAGGGGAATATCACTATAAAGAAAGGAAGATGATAGTAAACTGGAATGAAAACAGAAGTCCAAAACCAGGCAGGAGGAGAATCTCACTGGTATCAATTTCCTTGAGCTTCCATTTGTTGTCCCCAGGAGACTGACCCACAAGCTTAAACCTCAACCTGCGGCTTCGGCAGTCACTTCGATACAAAAATAAGGAACTGGGTCCTGTTCCTCCTGGACTTGCAATCGAACCATTGTTGAACCAAGAAACGCTGAACTTGGAGAGCATCGTATTCTCGCGCCACTCCTGCCCCTTCCGCTCCTATCAAGATCGAATCTTTTTGCTTCACCTAACCCAATGAGAGCACCAGCTTGGCAACTAGAGAGATCGAAGAATCTAACGCGGTGGCCGGTGGCGGTACTCGTTGGTTGCTCTTTTGGTCACCGCCGCCGCCGGGACGTGAAATGCCACGGTATTTCGCAACCACTAGTTGCTGCCGCCTCTGTCACATCACTAAATGGGAAATTAGTGAAGTTCTCATAATGCGACAAGCGACATGTAAAATACCAGCACGCCTCTTCCATTTCCGATTTACGGCGGTAACCCCGTTCCCCTCCCTCGCGGAATTTCAGAAGAATTTTTGTTTTTTGTTTTTTTGGTAAATGAAGAATTTCTGTTCTGCCTTTGATATGATTTTAACCTGCAATGTAACAACTGCCACGTCTCTCGAGTTAGCAGTGAGCCAGTGACCACTCAGCGGTACAAGAATCCATAGCAACCACACAACACAATGACGCAATGTACGCCATTAAACCCCTCATTCACCTCCACAACCACCTCAGCAGCCCAGACATGGCCATGGCTTTATCTTCTCCGACCACCTCTGTTTCTGCCGCCATCTTTTCCGGCGACTCACCGCCTCCCCTGAAGATCCATCACCTCCTCACTGCCGCTGGCGCCAGTTTTCCCTTCTCCAAAAAATTGACGAGCTCCTTCGCCGCTGCCCTGATCCAGACCGGCCGAGATAATAACAACAGTAAGTGGAGAACCAATGTGTCTTTCCTCCCCGCATTCTTCAAATCTCCTGGGAAAGACCTCAATGCTCTCAAGGACGAGCTTCTTCAGGCTATTGCTCCCCTCGACCGCGGCGCCGAGGCTACTCCTGATGACCAGAAATTCGTCGATCAGGTGAGCAGTTTCGTTGATTACATCTCAATCTGAATATGGTTGATAAGAAGAGTGGTGAAATTTGAAACTATGTTATGAATTTGATGCATGCAAAATGGGTTTTGAACAGATTGCTCGGAAGCTGGAATCAGCCAATCCCACTAAGGATCCATTGAAATCGAACCTGCTGAATGGGAAATGGGAGCTCATATACACTACTTCACAGTCAAACCTGCAAACTCAGGTGAAATCAGCTTGGTGTTTGCTTTGTGTGAAATTAAGAAAGCACTAGTTGATCCTTTTGTTTGGAAGAAGTTGCTTTGTTCTTAAAGAAAACTGCTACTACTTTTTGCAAAGCAGAGACCAAAGTTGCTGAGGTCCAGAGCTAACTACCAAGCTATCAATACAGATACGTTACGAGCCCAAAACATGGAATCTGCCCCTTTCTTCAACCAAGTATGTGCCTTTCTCACTAATCTGCTGCTGCTGCTGCTCTCATTTTGACCACAATGCTGTGTATAGCTTTGTGATTGTGTTCCTGAGTGGATGAATGCAAATTAGTCAAATGCAATGTCGTTGTGGGATCACGTATAAGCTTTGTGCTTTAAGTCTATTAGTGAAATGCACCTATCCACATTTCATCTCATGTAAGAAAAGGGGCAATTCTTTTCTCTATTGGAAAGATCAGTTCCGGTACTCGACCTCCATCCACGTGTAAAAGGTTGAGTCGATGCAGGAGTCTACTGATAAATATCCTAGATTACTCTCTGTTGTGTAGGGCTTAAGATCATCAGGGATAAGTCGATAACCTTATTCAGACACATTGGCTTGGCCATATTTATTACTTATGGTTCCAAATTAGGAAGTAGGGTTTGTTTACCTTCATATGCACACTAACATTTTAATGGAATGTCATGTGATTGATTGATAAATTTCATGTCTTGTGTAGGTTACAGCAGACTTAACACCTCTGAACACAAGAAAAGTAGCTGTGAAGTTCGATTATTTCAAAATATTGGGTTTGGTAAGATTCTTAGTCGATAACACCATTTATAATTATTGTGGATGTACCAAAATCGAAATGGCGGTCAAACAAAGTATGAACTGATACCGCCAATATATGGCAACAGATACCAGTTAAGGCACCGGATACTGCTGTTGGGGAGCTGGAAATCACCTACTTGGATGAAGAGTTGAGGTTAGTGATATGAAGTATCTCCTAATTTTTTGCGCTCGGAATTTGTTGCATTTGCTTTGGAAAGATGAAATTCTTTCAAACCATATTGATTAAGATCGAGAATTCATAACGTAGTTACGAATAAGGACATCGTTCTAATCCTCTCTGCCTAGCTAGGCACCAGAGCATCAAGAAAATTCAATTCCAACGTCATTTACTCGAATTTCTCGGTATTGGTTTTGGTGTTTGTTTGATGATCATAGAATATCCAGAGGTGACAAGGGGAACTTGTTCATCTTGAAAATGCTGGATCCGTCGTACCGTGTCCCTGCTACCGGATGATGATGCGTATCAATCCCCATTTTTCAAGAGCCGGATTCCGAACTACTGCGCATCCTCCTCTGCTGCTGCAATTATTTTTTTATTCAGGGGTATACAAAAACAGCATGTGAGCACACAGAATAGATGTAATCATCAGAACACCATGCTCCAATAGTGTAATATATAGTTACAGGTATTCAATGAAACTATAAATTTTGAGCCTTTATAGATCTAAAAGTTTTGCTACCATCTTATGAATGTCTGTAAAGAATAAGATATCTTTCATGAGAAGAAATGAGTTATCATCCTCTTGGTTACTCTCTTTAAGATGCATTCTTAAGATATTTTATAGTATTTACAGTTGGACCCTGAAATCCATGGGTTTCTTGAAAGGAAAGAACATAAACTTCTCTGGTTAATTGTTTTCAATTAAAAAGAAAATAAATGAACTAACTGGTTGAAAGGGACAAAAAAATCTACCAGGCCTTCAATGTCAAAACTCTGCGGTCATAAAATCTGGAAATGTGGCCCTTCTTTAATCAGGTGTGCCTTTTGGTTCTTCAAATGTTGCCACTTTTCCTGTTTCTCAAGTGTGGAAGATTCATGGGAACCCAGAAGACTGTTAGAACAACAGAAGAGAAACTGGTTTGCTTCTGCTGTAGTTTGCCTGTTTCAATTTCATTCATAGTGTTTGGCTGTATGAATTTGATTGTGAGTTTAATGCTATCTGTAGGCAACAGCTAATCTAGAACCTCTAAACGAGTGAAGGCAACTTTGATTTCTTCAAGATAGCTGGCCTGGTAACGTATTAACTGACTCAAACTGCCTCTCTATTGTTATCCTGTGATCCATCCAAGCTAAGAATGTGCCTTTTCATGCTTTGATTAAGCACAATTTCTCCGATTGAATCGCCTGGAAGTGGGCGTGGGCAGCTGGAGATCACTTACTTGGGTGAGAAGTTGAGGTCGGACTCGTGAATCATCATCTCAACATAACAACAAAACTGATCTCATTACCTTGTGCATCTAATATATTCAATTGTTCGTCAAAAACAAAGCGAGAAGTCCCGGTTTACAGGACGTGGTTATATGATTATTATCTGCAGAACCTCAAGAGGAGGCAGGGGAAACCTCTTCATCCTGAAGATGGTGGATCCATCCAATACGATATCCCCTGTAAACTTGGACCTGTATCTGAATGCAATCTGATGAGTTAGGTTGAAGCAGACACAGGTGAAGTCCCCCCGGCAGGGAAGAGTTAAGTTTCCCCATTTGTATATAGTTTTGGTCAGATTCTTCGGATGCATCGCTTGTTGGATGGATCAAGTTTTCCAGTAGTGAACGCTGTATCGTGCTAATGGTGTTTTGTGTGAGCTACTAAGTTTCAAGGACTTGGCACTTTCAGTCCCAGAGAGCTGGATTAGTTATTACTTGCACTTCACTACACCGTCTGAAGCCTCTACTCTCTGCAACAGATCCAAGCTCTTGCTCCATTTGTCCAGTCAACTCTGGAGATCCCAATTTGCCTAATTGATTGAATTGGACTCTATTACTGACTAAAATCTTGGTCAAAGTATTAATGTTGTTCATGGGCTCCCCTATAATAGTTGACTATTCCTATGAATTTAACTATTTAAGTGAATAGAAGGGGGAATCGATAGATGTTTTGAATCGTCGTTGAATATAAACGAGATACATTTAAACGAAAAAAATGAACGAAATTATATATTTATGTCAATTTATTGAGCTCAATTTGAGTCATCATTCATATTACTTATTTAAGTTATTTACATAATAATTTATTTATCTATAGAGTTCAATTAGACGTCCAAATAAGAAATATCCCTTCCAAGAACCAGTAAAATAATCATCAGTTCATCACGATGCATCAATGATCAACCTCTGCATATTTTTAAAAAATTTCACACACGCACACACTGACACACACATATACATATTCATCCTGGAACAAGGTAAAATTAAAAGAACCTACTTTTCAGTTTTCACACGCCGGCACAAACAGATCGTCGTCTTCTTCAAATCTTTGGAAATGGCTCCCAAATTAAAACCTTTGCTTGTGCGGTTGTTGTTGAAAAACAAACTCAATAACACTGCCACCAACGCTTCTTCTTCGTCTTCTCCACCACCGCCACCACCTCCTTTGTCGCCTCCGATGGCGGCGACGCTTCATCCACCACCGGCGACGTCCTCCACCACCTCAATTCTCTCCCGCTCTTCGACCCACCACGCTTTCCCTTCTCCGAACCTCAATCCGAACCCGAGCCACGTCCCTCCCCGTCACAAAGTCCTGACCTTGGCCACTAAAAGCTCCTCCCACGAGAAAACCAACGCCACCGTCGAGAAACAAGCGAGTTCCCCGCTGTCACCGCTTTCCCAACCGGAGAAAAAATCCTTCGCGGTGGTCACGGGCGAGCTTTTCCTCGGGATTGCTTCAAGGATTTTGAGGACCAGCCAACAGGGGGGCTCCCCTCCTTCTGGCGCGGACGACTCCGATGTCTTGATGTTCGATAAGGCGAACGGTAATGTCCATTACGAGGAGAGGATTGGGAAGGTTATTGAGGACGAGATTCAGCCGGAAGTTATTTGGGAGCAGAGGGTTAAGGATGTTGAGGCGGAGGAAGATCGACGAGTTGTGACGAGCCCTGGTTTTAGTTTCTCTGCTGCTGGGTTGCTCTTCCCTTATCATTTAGGGGTCGCCCAATTTCTTATTGAGAAGGGCTACATCAAGGTCAGAACTCAGAACCCTTTTTTTTCGTTTTTGGATTGTTTACCTCGACTTTGATGATGTGGTGATGATGTTACTAGCTTTTGCTATAACATGTAGATGAAAAGATGTGATTTTTAGCTTCTAAACTCACAATTTTGTTAGTTTGGTTGTTCAGTAGAGTAGAAGCTTCCATGCTGCTGTAATCTGCAACTGATTTATCTAGGCAAGAATGAGAGATGTTGATGAACTGATTTCCTTCCTCATATGTGTGGATATATTTTTAGTTTTATGGTGAAGTGTCTTGTTGACCATGAAATAGAAGCTGGGAGAGGGAGTGCCTTGTTTGTGCAAGTCATCATGTGTGTTCCTCCAATCCAAAGCTTTAGATGATGCATACCTCTTGTCCTGCATAACCCCGGGCTAAGCGGGAAAAAAAACTTCGATCTTGTATACATACATGTTTTGTTGCTAAGCATGGGAACTTCTTGCTTTTGTTATTGTTGTCTGTCTTTCACAGGAAAGTACACCACTAGCTGGATCTTCTGCTGGTGCCATCGTCTGTGCGGTGATTGCCTCTGGTGCTACCATGCAGGAGGCCTTAGAAGTAACCAAAACCCTCGCTGAAGACTGCAGGCTAAGGGGCACTGCATTCCGGTTGGGGGTATATTCCTAATCCTACCCGATATTGTAATGACGATGCATTTGCAATGAAGTGCCTCCTGAAGTTTGCTACTGTTTCATTGCTTTGCTGTAAGTTGTGGTGAGTTGATGCGGTGTAGTGCTTTCTTAACAGGCAGTTCTCAAAGATGTGCTTGGAAAGTTTCTTCCTGATGATGTTCACATTCGGTCCAATGGGAGGGTTCGGGGTGAGGATGAGATTCATTTTGTATACTGGACTGGAAGTTTTCTTATTCATTCTTTAACTGATGTAGAAAATGGAAATGAACATAATCCCTGTGTGTTGGAGATAAAAGGCCAATGATGAAACTAATGGGCTAAGTGAAGTTTGAATCTTAAAATTAATTGCTACTTGTAAAAATCATTTCTCTGCCAATGATTGATGATTGTTTTCCTTCCTATGACAGTTGCTGTAACACAAATTTTGTGTCGGCCTAAGGGTTTGCTGGTAGATCAGTTTGACTCCAAGGAAGACCTCATAAATGCAGTTTTCACTTCCTCCTTCATTCCAGGGTAAATAGTTGAATACCAAGTGTAGTATTAATGGGACTTGAGCAATATTACTTTCAGATTGAGATTGATCAAGAACTTTATTTTTGGTGCAGGTTTCTTGCACCAAGGCCTGCCACCATGTTCCGCAACCGACTATGTGTATGGGGGTTTGACGTTATTTATGCCTCCAACATCTGCTGATAACACGGTAATTGCTTGATTATAGCGATCATGTTTCTTTAATATCTCATAGCATATTAGGAACCAAGTCATCCAAGTGAAAGTAAAGCATGCTGAATTGGCGACCTTAACCATCGCAGCTGTAGTTTTTAGTACATGCTGCTGCTAAGTTGCTTTATGGTTTTTAGGCAACTCACCCATTTTCACTGCAACAGGTTCGAGTATGTGCTTTTCCAGCCAGTCGAATTGGACTTAAAGGAATCGGGATTAGTCCCGACTGCAATCCTGAAAATAGGGCGTCTGCCAGACAGGTAGGTATATCATATGTGTCCATGTCCTTCACTTACATGTGAAAAGCCAAATAAAACTAAAACCTTTCATTCCGTCATATAATGATTGCAGCTTTTCAATTGGGCGCTAGAGCCAGCGGAGGATCACGTTCTCGACCAGCTCTTCGAGCTTGGATACCTAGATGCAGCCGTGTGGGCTGAGCAGAACCCAGTTGATCAAGTCGTTCAGAAGGACGACAGTTCATCCCCAGGAAGTGCATCTCCGCTATAGCAGCTTCTGAAGTGTAGTAACTTCCTGCATTTTGACACGGAAGAACACCAGAACAGGTGAAGATATGTGTAACGTTGTATAGTATAGACGACATCTCCGTAGGAAGGAAGACTTGAAAACGAAAACAACGAATGGCGAACTATGTAGATAACCGTAGCTGTACACTCCGAATTGGTTCTAGTGAGAAATGAATGGGAATTCTGGATGGTTTGGCCCTCCAGATTGTATGAAGTTATCTTCTGCGAGTCGAGTTTTGATTGAACACAAAATTCCAACTTGTCTCATTTGTGATTTTTATTCGAATGTGATGGTAAATGTTGATATAACCTATACGCAGTAGGTTTTTGGTTACATCATGAAAGACATTTTACTGATTTCATTGCAATGAAAGAAGACCAAAGTTTACAGACTAGAAGTCAGCGGAGACGGCCATCTTCAATCCGGCGCTGCAGAGCGACGAGATGCTGCAGATGAAATAATTGCCTCCATGCTGAAGTTCGATACGGTCATATCCCGAGTTATGTACCTCTGATCTCGGCGTCACGGTACACGTGTCGTGCCCTACTTGGTCCGTCACCACCACGTCGTACTTCTGGTCATCATACTTGAATTCTACAATCAAAAGAGCAAAGACTTTTTGGTTACACCTTAATTTTTTTTTTTCACGGAAGCTAATGAACTAATCACACAAAAATCAACACATAAACCTATTTCTTCTGATGTATTAAGGTTGTTGTTTATTTACCTAAGATATCACCGGCATGAAATGTCTTGCCACGAGGCCAAGTCTCCATGTCAATGGTGGGATCCCATCCAAATTCATCTCCCACCTCGTAAGTAGTTGATTCATTAACCTCCATGTTAATCACAATCAACATAATCAGCAGTAATCCACCAACGCCTAAACCACCTCTCCCCATTTCTATCACTCTTTTGTGTTCTTCTTCTTATTATTATTCTCTATCTTTTTGTTAAGTCTATATTATGACTTATGAGTTATGACTTCTCCATGGCGATTGTTGATCTATTTATAGAGGTGGGGTTGGTGAGAAGTTGGTAAAATATAATTGGAGCTTCAAATAAAAGTAAGGAACTTTATAATTAACCTCAAAATGAAATTGTAGAGTTGGTATATGTTATCAATATATGTACATATATATGCTCCTTAGACTAGCCCATTTCATTGATGTTTATACTATATATGTGTGCTTTTTTTTTTTTTGTGACCAATAAGGGAAAAGAAGTGACAATATTAATTGACACTATAGAGTCAGAGTGGAAAGAAATTTGATATATTTTCTTTTGCTACAATATCGCAATTACTAATTTTCATAACGATATTTGAGCTTTGAAAAAATGTAATTTTTTTATTATGTACCAATTTAGGGTAAATTGCAAGGTTGGTCACTGAAAGTACTAAAAAATTCATGTTTGGTCATTAAAAGTGTTTTATTCTATTCATGATCACTAAATGTGGTTAAACGTTTCACGTTTGGTCACTCTCCGTTAAGTTTAGCTGATGTGGCAGTGAACGTTGATAGTTGACCGTTAGGTGAATGACGTGGCAGTTAAAAATTAAAATTTTACTATTAAATAAACATTAAAAATTAAATTAAATTAATTTTCGTTGAGTTGCTCCATTTCCAGAATGACCATCCTCTCGTCGCTGCACACCCACCACTCCCTTCTCGTCGACCAGCTGTCGTCCCTCCAAGCCTTCCATTCAAGTCCCCCTGGCCGGCTAGCGGTGTCCCACCTGACCCCGTTCGTCCACATATGATATGGCTCCATGCTCCACATTCCTCCCCCGCCGCAGCGTCCAAGACCGTAGAGGAAGAGTCTGATGAGCTGGTTGCCTCTCCCGACTCCGTAATCAATGCCTCGGAGCTCATGGATCGCCTTGACGACGACAATGACAATGGCAGTGTCGATTTTAATTTGCGAAAATCCCAGCCACCAAGGAGTTCATTCCCAAATGAGGACTGGTTCGAGGAATTAGGGATTTCGGACCAACCGGCGAAAAAATTGGGTTCGCCATCGAAGTGGTTGTGGAAGCATTTATCGGAGGAATGGTATCTGTTGAAATTGGGTTTGCCATCAATACATTCCAACAGGAAATCTAGCTGCTCCCCTCAACCACTCTCCGCCGTCGACAGTAGCGGCAACGGGGGAGGTGGCAAGATTGGAGGTGTCGGGCTATGGTGGAGGTTTGCTTGGGTGGGCGGCGACTGTTTGGTTGGCGTCTTTAGACTGTAGCTACTGGTTCGTTGCGGGGGCTATCTGCAAGTTGGCGGCGCCAGTGGAAGTAAGGTGAGCAGCAGTGGCGAAAAGGAGGTCGAGGAGAGAAGGGTACCGACGAGGAGGTGGATGGCGGGGGGATAGAAAATGAATTTATTTTATTTTTTTAATAGTTGTAAAAATGATGTGGTAATTGTGAGAATTTAAATTTTATTTATTATTTATTTCTTAGTTGTCACGGTATTCATTTAACGGTCAACTATTAGAGTTGACTGCCACATCAGCTAAACTTAACGGAGGGTGACCAAACATGAAACGTTTAAGGTTTAACCACTTTTAGTGACTACGAATGGAATAAAACACTTTTAATGACCAAACATGAATATTTTAGTACTTTCAGTGACCAATCTTGCAATTTACCCTACCAATTTATATGGTATCGTTGGAAAGTTATCATATTCAGATACATACATTCAATGCTCTTTATTTCACAAAGTCCCATAAAATATCTTTGATTGTGTGATGAGCTAGGTTATCAAGCCGATCGTTACGGGTTTGATATTGAGATAATGAGATGATAAGTTGGCACCATATGATGAACTCTCCAATACTAAGTATGTCCCTTTGGTGTGTAAAGAGAAGTTCGCATCCCGTCAAGTTGAATAGCAAAGCCCAGCCAACAAGACCAAGTCATCGAGGTGGCTGGCAAGACGAGAGCAACAAAGAATGTAAGTACGGAGACACTTTGAGGCCAACAAAGGGGAGCAATCTAAGCCTTCATCTTTGATGCAAGACAAAGAGGCTTCAAGCACTTATCGAGTCAGGACATCAAGCGCGGTAAGACATGGAGTAAAATTCAACACAAACCCGACCTGACGACATCAAGGCTATCAAGCTGACACCACAACTAGCATCCAGACAGCAATGCGAGGACCCCGACGCAATTGAATAATATAACAAGCTAGAGGAAACCAGCACGGTTGCGTACTTTGCCTATAAATATATACTTAATTCTTTCGTTCAATATCGGAAGAGATTGAAACCCAAATTGCAATTCTTTTGACTTATCGTCGCCACATTGAGCTTAATGAGAGAAAAGCAAATGTTGGTTTGTGCCCCCCTTGAAATAGTAAATACGAACAAACTTGGCAAGTAGCCTGTGAGATCTATTCTTAACCAATCACCGTACCTACCACTCTCATATCATTTTGTCGTATATCATCGTCACTCCCCCCCCTTCTCTTCTCCTACTTACCCGTCTTGTCTAGCTTCACTTCAGAAACCCTCCTCCTACTTTATTTCTCATCCCAGACGGTCCCATAATTTCATCTTATTTACAATTTGCACCTCGAGCCATATTCCTTATAAATCTCCATCTCCATAACAGAAAAAAGTAATATCAGTAACAAAAGTTTGTTAAGCAAAGCACTCCCCCACACCAAACAGTCAACAAAAATACAAAGGAAAAAAAAAAATTAGCATGGCTTCGCCGACGGCGATCATCTACGGCGTTGCCTTCGCCACATTCGTCTACTTCCTCATCACCAAGCTCTTCCTCCGCGGCGGCGGGCGGCGGAGCCAGAAGCCTCTACCGCCTGGGCCCACGCCGTGGCCCATCGTCGGGAACCTTCCCCACTTGGGCCCGATCCCCCACCACTCCATCGCGGCCCTGGCCCGTAAGTACGGCCCGCTGATGCACCTCCGGCTGGGGGTCGTGGACGTGGTGGTGGCCGCCTCCGCCTCCGTCGCCGCCCAGTTCCTCAAGATCCACGACGCCAACTTCTCCGACCGGCCCCCCAGCTCCGGCGGCAAGTACATCGCTTATAATTATCAGGACATGGTGTTTGCACCCTACGGCCCACGGTGGCGGCTGCTCAGAAAAGTGAGCGCCGTCCATCTCTTCTCCGCCAAGGCCTTGGATGATTTTAGATACGTCCGGCAGGTAAAATTCATTTTATTTCTTGGCGAGAAACGGTTTTTGGATGCAATTAATCTTTCTATACCAAAAAATAAGATGGAATCCAGGCAAACCTAATCCTCCACATTTATAGCTAACTAAAATTGACAAGACAAAGTAAAAATATATATATAATATTTAATTATTTTATATTACAACGACTTTGAGCTCACTGATTTGATTGATTCAAAATTTTGTATTTTGCAATATTCTTGTGTCGATAAGTTAATCAAATACAAAGTTATAATCGTATGGAAATATGATGTGTTTTAAGTGAAAAATGTAGGATTATTGATGGTTTTGCCGCTAAATCGAGGCATACCCTAACAATTTTAAAAAAAAGTAAGATAGATGGGGAGATGCTAGTAAGGGTTAGGTTGGGAGTTTTTTCTGTGTATATTGGAGAAAAAAATTACAATTTGGACAGTAAAATAAAACTGGACGGACGGCTAAACTTCGCCCTAGTTTTACTATAATCGTCCTAAAATAAAATGTAAAAGTACTAAATTTTAGTTCATTCATCAAAACCAAATTCAACAAAACAAACACCTAATCCTCTTTCAAAAACTCATACTCCTCTCCAAACATCTCTGTCGTCTGTCATCCCTGCAATCCGGCCACCGTTACTTCTCCTCGTCGTCGCCTACACCCTTCTCCTCAAAAGAATGCACCATAACAGTTAAGTATGAGTTAGATAAATTATTTTTGGCTGCAAAATAACAGGCGGAAGTGGCGGGCCTGACGCGGGCACTAGCGAATGGAGGCAACGCGCCGGTGCAACTCGGGCAGCTGCTTGGCGTGTGCACAGCAAATGCGTTGGGCAGGGTGTTGGTGGGGAGGAGAGTGTTCGGAGACATCACCGGCGGCGTCGACCCCAAGGCAGATGAGTTCAAGTCAATGGTGGTGGAGCTGATGATTCTAGCCGGCACTTTCAACGTCAGCGATTTCGTCCCGGCGCTAGAATGGCTGGACTTGCAGCGGGTCGCAGCTAAGATGAAGAATCTCCACCGCCGCCTCGACTCCTTCTTGTCCCAAATCCTGGAGGAACACGGGAAGACCGCCCACGATGCCCTAGCTGGAGGACACGTGGACTTCTTGACATCCCTGTCTTCCTTGAAGCTTGACGACGACGGAGACGGAGAGGGAGGCAAGCTCACGGACACCGAAATCAAAGCCTTGCTTCTGGTACGCGCCCAATTCCTATTCCTTTTCTTTACATACGAAATTAGTAATTAATTAATTAATTAATTAATATAATTTGTTTTTTTGCAGAACATGTTCACAGCCGGAACTGACACGTCATCAAGCACAGTAGAATGGGCCTTAGCGGAGCTGATCCGACATCCTAACATCCTGGCCCAGCTTCAAAGCGAGCTGGACTCGGTCGTGGGCCGAGCCCGTCTCGTGAGCGAACAAGACCTCCCCAGGCTTCCGTACCTCCAGGCCGTCATCAAGGAGACCTTCCGTCTCCATCCCTCGACTCCTCTCTCTCTCCCGCGTTTGGCGGGCCAAAGCTGCGAGATCAACGGCTACCACGTCCCCAAGGGGGCCACGCTCCTCGTCAATGTGTGGGCCATAGCCCGCGACCCGGAGGTATGGTCCGGCCCGTTGAGGTTCGACCCGGGGAGGTTTTTGCCCGGAGGGGAGAAGCCCGGTGTGGACGTGAAGGGGAGCGACTTCGAGCTGATCCCGTTCGGGGCGGGTCGGAGGATATGCGCGGGTATGAGTTTGGGGCTCCGGATGGTTCAGCTGATGACGGCGGTTCTGGTCCATGCCTTTGATTGGGAGTTAGCTGACGGTGTTATGCCGGAGAAGTTGAACATGGATGAGGCTTATGGGCTCACGCTGCAGCGGGCCGTTCCGCTGAATGTGCACCCTAAGCCCAGGTTGTCTCCGCGGGTTTACGAATGTTGAGAATCGTGGATGCTTAGCTGGACTGGACCCGGCCCACTATATGTCTGCCTAAATAATTGACATCTCTTTTTTTTTTTTAACTGTCTGTCTTTTCTTGTGTCTTGTTGGCGATAGAATTGTTTAACTCTTGCTTGCTCCTTTGAAATCATATTTGCCGAAAATATGAAGCATCATTTGTGCACTTCACTTTATTAACTTGCTGACTTTCACCATTTTTACATAAACAAAGGGTGGTTTATGTTTCTGGTCAACTTTATGTTACTGGTGTTGTCTGTTATCGATTTGCATTTTATGATTTGATTCTTGAAATTTGAGTGAAACGAGAGATGCAGAATAATTTTTTTTTATGAGGATGATGAGCAACCCAACAAGGACGTTATGGTCTGCTTAATAACACCAACAACTGCTGCATAAGGGACATGTATAGGGTAATGCAGTGGTCATCGAGGATTGTTATCTAACTCTAGCTAGGGTTCCGATTGAACATTGATAGCAAGAATTCCGATTTATATGAACTCTCAGTATATATAGATGCGACTATGCGATGCGAGCATTCAATTTTTCTTGGGTAAGAGGGCGATGGATACCTCCAGGATCTAGGACTAAAATATGTATAATTCTAGGGTTTTTCCCCCCAAAAGTTAGAACATAGTAAAATAATAAAGGACAATTCAATATATACGTAACAAAAATGCATTATTTAGTTTTCTAAAAAAAATGAAAATGTATTGAGACCAATTAATCCATAATTATAAAATAATCAATATTTACACACTTCGACGATATATATATATAATTATTAAATAATAATGTCAAATACTATTTAAATAATATATTACTTACTTCGTAATTGTTTTGCACAGAAACTAACGGGAGAATGACTAAATGTGACTTGTTTCAGTAATTCGAGTGACCAAAATTGATATTAACTTTTTCTAGTAACTAAACATGACACGATTTAGTGATTGAGTGACCAAATGTGACATTTACTAGATGATAAAGGTCGTTACTCTTTACTGAAGGGACTAATCTTACCCTCTTCGTGGCCATTTTCTTTTATTTAACGAAAGATCGGAGCCTCTGTTTTATTTTACCCTTTATTGATAGACATATCACTATTATATGTCGACATTGCATATACATATCTATATATATGTGTCTGATACTAGCTAGCTAGTTCACAAATTAATTAAGAGTTTCTTTTTTTCATACGTTACACAAATGTAGACTGCAGAGTAATATCAATCACAATATTAATTTGAAACATTAATGATAATGGGGAGAAGAAACTGATAAAATTCAATACCCATCCAAAAAGAGGTTATGAGGAAAAGAGAGTTTAGTTTTATTTGTTTTCTTATCAAGCAATTATTATAACCAAGATTCAAGAAGGAACTAAGCAAGTAACGATTAATCGTGCCTAGCATTACATAGTAGGCACATAAACGTTATGAACGCCCAATTATGACCAAAGCCACGCAAAATTACACCTTAAACCTAGATTATAAGAGTGTATATCAACATGTGTTTGGGTAAATATACAAAAGGGTAATTAAAAAAATATACAAAAGGGTAATATCAAGTATCAACATGTGAAATACGAATTGAGTAAGCAACGAAACCAAGTTGGAATTAATCACGCAAAGGAGGGATGGTTCAAGTTGGAATTAATCACTTGGGCCCAATTTGATTGAACTTGTGCTCCAATTTGAGATCAATAAAACCGTTGATGGCCCAATCTGGGTCAACAATTCCGCAGACCTGTAGCTAATGGCAATGGTAACGATTCCACAGTTCACACTGCTCCATGAACACCCCTGCAATCATCTGCTGAGCCAAATTTCAACTCTCTCCTTCCTCTTCAATTCCCCTCCTTAATCCCTGGATTCGCCATTTTATCTGCTCTGAATTTCATCCAGCACGCGGCGAAGATGGCAGCTTTTCTTCAGACCAGAACACTTCACTTGATCAAAAGACCCAGGCTGTTAGATCCCCTGTCCTCGTTGTCGCCTTTCGCCCGTTACTTCAACACAATCGCCGCCGCCCATCAACATCCCGATCCGGAAGGGCAGTCGTCTTTCTCTTTCGGAGACGGTGGAAACAGCGGCTGCGATGCTATCCTTGTGAAGGGGCCTAACTCCGGTCCGAAACGTGAAGGCGGGTCGTCTTCGGTGACGATGCCGATGTCGTTCATGACGGGATCAATCGTCGGGAAGAGGTTCTACAAGCAAGTGACGACGAGACAGTCGGACGACGGCAATGGGTGGTCGGTGATGCTTGATTACAGAACGCTCAAGACTCCTTCGAAAAGGGCTCTAAAGTTGCCGACTTTGTCTCTTGCCAAGGCAATTGCTGCTGAGTGGGATTACCAGGTGGATGCATCTGTTGCATCTTCTGTTTCTTTCTGGAAATTGGCTTGATTTGGCATCTTATAGGTTGTGCTTTATGTTCTCCTCAATGAATATGGTTCCGAAGAATGTGGTTGAAGTGGAATTTTTTGTAGCAAACAGATGGAATCAGGCCTTTCACTATGCCCCTTATGAGGCTTGCTTGTACTGCGTTGGAGAGGGTTCCAGTCACACGCCCAAAGATTGTAGATAACTTGATGAGGAAATTCAACCAGGACTTGGTTTTCTGTCGTGCTCCATGGGATAATAATCTAACAAGTGGTGTATATGGTATGCTACTATGCTCTGTGGATTATGAAACATTTGTTAGCATATGCTTGCTATTTGCTGCAATTTGTATGTTAATGTGGAATTTAATTAATCTGACAATTGGGTTTCTGCTTTGCAGATCGGCAAGTGCAGAAAATCGATCCTTTGCTCGATTGGGTGAAGACAGAATTCGGGTTTAAGCCTGTGGTCTATTCAAGTTTCTTCGGTGGCAAGCAAGACGAAGGACTGGTGAAGGCCATGGAAAAGCTTCTGAAAATTACCAGTGATTGTGAGTTGGCAGCAATTGATGCTCTAGCAGCTGCATCACATTCGTTGGTGATTTCTGTTGGGATCTTCCGTGGGAGATTGGACATTGAAGAAGCAATTGAGTTGATTAGACTTGAAGAAGATTTGCAGGTTCTTTGTTCATTTTTGTCGTTCTGAACTTGGTTGGGCTATTCTGCCCTTTACTTCTGTTGGCTTTCCCTGACTTTCAAAACTTCTTGGCAGGTTCACAAGTGGGGTTTAGTTGAAGGAGGTCACGATTTGGATATTGCTGATCTCAAGGTACAAGTATCATCAGCAGTAGTGTTCCTTGGTCTTTCAAAATTTTGAGCTTTTGTGTATCTCTAGACTTCTATAGAATTTACCTTTTTAAGAGCCAGCTTTTCTAGGGGATAGTTTTGAGCTATTTTTGTGATTGCCTGAGAGTCTTGTTGATGTAATAATCCAGTTCTGGATCCACGTCACTTGCTACTGATGTACAATGAAGTGACTTGACAAAAGCAAATACAGATGCGAGCTATCCAGGAACGAAGCTTATGCCTGAATGGTCAAATCTTACTCTTGTCGCTGTTTCTGCTTTATAAGTTCCGCTGTTAGTCTAGCATTCACCTCCTTCAAGACGTGCTGGTTTCGTGCATGGGAGGCGAAACCAAATAATTACTCTATAATCTGTTGATCTATTGAGCAACTGCAGAACAATCCCCTGAGGGAAAGTAAGCAGAACTGCTCGCATAGCGGTGGTTGTTTCTCGATGGTGCAGTTGCAGCAAGCAGTATCACATTGATTGTTGCATCCTGCAGAAGGATTCAACAGAAGAGTCCCCATATCATAAGGCATGGGTATGATGATGCTACTATAAGAAGGAATAAAACCGGGTAAAAGGATGCATTGTTTTCAGTTTTTGCCAACATTACCTGTCACATTAAGAACCTGTGGTGGTCTTTCTGGATTACGAAGCTCCGGAAAGAAAGGAATGCGAGAGGGAGAGGCTACTGCGTTTGCTCCGAGAACGATGATCAGAGCTATCATCCAGCCAAATTCTGCAAGACAACTTCATTTGCTGTCAGTGACAGTGAACTAAATGGGAGCTGCTGTGCTGGGTTGTGGGCAGTGTGATGTTATCTTCATTTGCGAGGTTTATATACATCATCTGGGGGCAGAGTTCTAAATACAAAATAGTAGTTCTTGTACATTGGCCTGCAGAATATAAAGAAAGATGAAGCTGGTCATTGGATACTGCTGTATACCACCTCACAGTTTTTTCCAATCTCATAACCAGACGGCCATGTATATATTGTTGATTATAAGATCTTTAATGAGCAGATAAAACGTATCGAAAATTTGAAATTCATTGATCGATCGATCGACAAACTCTCTCTAAAGGCTTTGTATTGACATTCATGCCTCCACTTGAGAGGAAGGTTACGGATACAACTGTGATGATTTATTAAACTCAAATTTTATTTGTCACCATGGTAATAAAACACAAAACATCTTTCAGTATGGAGTAGTTACTTAATTTCCCCTGCCATCACTCTGCAAAGATGGCCATCTTGAAACCCAGTTGGCACTGGCCACCCATGCCAGAGAAGAAGTAGTTGTGGCCTCTGTGCAGGCGAATGAAATCGCGGCCGGACTGGTAAATCCCAAAGACTGGGAGCTTGCACTGGTCGTACTCTGTCTTCTTCGCCGTAGTTATCACGTTGACGAATTCATAGTTGTATGTAAACTCTGTCAATCCACACACAACCCAGAAAGAAAGAAAGAAAGAAAAAATTCAACGTTTTGGTTAGCAAATCTTCATCAACATTGATCCATTTCTGTGTAAAATCTGAATATGAACTCACTCACCCAAATAGTCACCAGCCTTGAAGGATTTCCCCTTGGGCCAAATCTTTGCCTGTTCCATCGTCCACCCGTCCAGGCCCCCAACCGTGTAAGTGGTTGCACCTGCAAATAAGCTCTGGCCATGGACCAACAGAAGCAGCAGTGCTGTAATGGCAGAGGACACAAAACAGGATTGCTCCATTTCTGTGATCTCTATGTGTTGTTTTGACAGTGATGAAGACGATGACAATAAGAGAGGAATTCTTGGGCTTATACACAAATAATTTCACGCGGCAGGGAGGGCATCTAGCTATAGCTTGACCATTTTATAAGAGGTCAAACTTAATTATAAACCTGACAAACAATGAGTCAAAAGGGTATTAAAGCGGTCGTTTTATTTTTTTTCACATGGTAAAAACTAAAATACATTCCATATGTTTTAAATAATTTATGGTAACGTAGACTATATAGTCTTATCGAGTACAGTCCTTGCTTGCATTAATAGTAACTTATATAAAAAAAGTAACTTATTTAAACGGTTTTACTTAATGATAATTGTCAATACGTTTTTTCTGAGTAAAGTTGAGGTGGATTGGGATTAATATATGTTATTGAATGGAAGTTTCATATGAGTCATGTGTTAGCCACATGCCGGTATGAACATTTATATAAATATTAAATACTAATTATCTTCATACAAATATAACTAATTGAAAAAGTAAATATAAAACATTCGAGAAGATTTTTAACATACAATGACAAAGAGAAATGAAACTTTTTTTTTGGGGGTAGAATAGATGGCTTTTATATATGTTGAAGGACACTTGTAACTTGTTTTGAGGCTTAATTTGGTATGTGTAGAAGATGAAGGCGGCTTATCAAGTCATTGGTTTTGATGAGTTAAAAATCACTGGGACTGGGATACAAACCAAACAAGTGTCTTTCTTCTCAACTTAAGTTTAAAGGTTGGAGAGTGTTTGCAGTTAGGTGTTTTGTGGTTTCGTTGAAAGCGCTTGTTTGTAGCCTGTTGTGTTGTTTCAATTTTATCGGATGTCCCCGAAGGGACGTTTGTAGCCTGTTGTGTTTTTGTCTTGTAATTTGTAATTTTTAAGTTCTAATTAATAAATCGATGTGACTTTTATAAAAAAAAAAAGTTTATATGAGTGTTCTATTATTGTTATAGGTGATAAGTATATGGATAACTATAGGAGAGTTTATTCTCTTCGGAGATTTGAGAGTTATATAACTTATAGTATAACTTAATATTTAGTTATATAAATTGAACAGGATACCTAAAAAATCTTTGTTTTAATGTTCTTTATTAATAACCTCATTCTATATAAACCCTTTCTGCTATCGTCTCTTTCTCGTCATCTCTCGAACATCTTTTTATCACCACAAACTTCTCACATAACAAAAACTTTTCTCATCAAGACAAGACGAATTGCTGGTTTGGTTCACAACATTCCTAGTTACCTGAACCTTCGAACCAATTGTCCCCAGATATCATAGGTTCCTGGAGTATTTCGCAGAGAGAAACCTGGCATTTGAGCTTCAACAAGCATATCCTATGGAATTTCAAGCTTACATGATCAACGTGATGTCGCTCATTGAATCTCTCGAATGGGAGTTCCTCGTCAGCCAACAACCCTTGTTAGCATGTCCAGAGGCTGTGAAGGTCTTCTACTCCAACATGGAGTGTGCGGCAACATGAAGTTACGGGAGACTTCGACAGTTGTCCCAGGGGTGTGCAAGTCATTTTACAGCTATGGCGTACTTTGATCTGACAGGGTGCTGGGATGTGGCGCTGGATGGAACACTTTTTATGGATAGGTTCCCTAAGGTGACCGTCCAGGGCCCACCGGTGACAGAGCTGTACATCATGTGACAGATCTGTACTACATGATGTACAGCTCCGAGAGTGACGATGACTACGATGAGGTGACCAACATGGAGTATGCGGCAAACATGAAGTTACGGGAGACTTTGACAGTTGTCCCAGGGGTGTGCAAACCATGGGGCATGGCCGTTTCAGGACCCTACTGTTGGACGGATATTGACATCGAGGAATGGATTGAAGTGTCCTCGCCAGAACAAATCAATCAGATTTTCCAGATGCTCATCACTCCGAGCTCTGGTTCCCTCCGCAATGATGCAATGTTCCCTTTCCTCGCCCAACAGTAAGCCCTAGCCAACTACAATTATTATTTTTTGCTCATTATACATACAAAAAAACAAGAACCTATCACCAAACCCTAAAACTCGACACACAAACAAGAAAAAACCCACCTCTGTCAATCGTCGTCGTCCTCCTCATTACTGGCATCAATCACCTTCACCCACACCAGCGAGGCCCGTGGCTCGCCTTCTCCCGTCCTTCCTCTCCGTTTCCTCGAGAAAAAACCCCAAGACAAACCAATAAGAATTCATCTATCTTCCTAGAAAACTACTCGCCATCTTCAGCTGAAGTTTGCATGTACGAACGAAGAAGTTATAGGCTTCAAAGAATTGTGATCCATTTACCATGGATGGATTCATTTCTTTGTGACATCGAGAATGAAGTTGAACTCTTTTGTTCTCAATGATCTATCTCTTTTTTTTTATAATTGAGAAAATTTTATTAAAAAGGAAAAAAATACAAAAAAATCAACCAACAGTTGAAAGGAGCAAGGTCTTTTAAACTATTGTCCACATCAATCACGAACAAATCTATATATTTGGAGATTAGAAATAGATGCTCGATCCTAAAGAAAATCAACAAGAAATCGAATAAGAAGGATAGACACACAACGACACAAGTAAATGCATTTAATTATCATTACAACAAAGATGTTGGGAAAAGATGTTGACAATACCATGTGTGAACTTTATCCCTCTTCACAGCTGGCTTTTACATTTCTCACTCTCACTCCTTCCAAAACTACTTAACAAAGAATTTCTCATATGACTCCCGAACATTCCCCCACCACCACTTAAAAAAAAGCCCCTATACCAGGGTTATGTAGCAAGGGTTTAACAAACCCCTACTAAGATTTTGGGAACATATTCTAACGGCAGTTTACACCGAGGGTTTAGAAACCCTTGCTACCGCCCAACTCTGTTTCAATAACCAAACTGGGAAACTTATTCCAATCACTCCGCTTCTCTATTTCAAGCTCAGTATTGTCACTGAGATCCGCCCACCCCCGCCGGCCACCACATCACTCCTTCGAGTAAATCACTAAACGAATTCAAAAAAAAAAAATACGAGTTCTCCGTTCTCTCCCTCGCCCCAAGCGATTCTTCAGTCTCTCGTTCACTCCGAGCAGCGGTTCTCCGATCTCGTTAACTCTGATCAGCGCCCAATCTCTTGGTCTCTCCAGCGGCGCCCGATCTCTCGTTCACTCCGTGCTGTGCCCAATCTCTCGTTCTCTCCGGGCGATGGCAGATCTCTCGTTCACTCCGAGCGGCGCCCGATATCTGCGATCTCTCATCCATTCCAAGCAGCGCGATTCCCTGATCTCTCTCTTCGATCCCTATCTCAGGCTACAAGGTTATATCTCTCTTCGATCCCTTTCTCGTTCTGGATATAGATAGGTTTTAGGTTTCATTTTTGTTTTGCACCGTCTCTATCTTATTTGTTCTTGTTGTTAATTTGGTTTTGAGAAGGTTCGCATGCAATGTCCCTGAGTTTTAGGTTGCTAAGGTTGTCTGGATGCATGGAGTTTGACTCCTTTATGTAAAGGACTGGTTGTTTTTTGTTTGGTTTTAGATGGTAGCTCTCACCATTCAATGTAGAAGTATTGATATATTGTGGTTTAGTGGATTAGTCAGTTTTCACCACGAACTCACCCTAGCTAAGGGATCAATCTCTATTCACTTGATCATGCTAGCATAAGTCGGTGATTGATTGTGTTTCGGTGTACTGCTTTTGGCGAATTCAGTATTGTATATCTGTGCAGTTGATGATGCTAGTGGAAGCTATGGAGCATGTACAATAGTTAGCCCTTTGCCTTTTCTGTTTAGTCTACACAGTAGCTTCGTGCTAACGCAGTTGATTTTCTTCTTCTTAAAAAGTAAGGGAAACAGAGAGGAGTATGATGTACTAGCGGGTGATATTCATTTGATTGGTTGTTGATTGTGTTTGTGTTGTGGATGGAAGGGGTTTTCCCCGATCCATACGAGCTGTCTCGGTGTGCTTTGATGAATTGAAATTTATCCCTTTGGTGGCTAGTTCTGCATCATTACATTTATGTTTTATCCTCCCTTTCACTTGGATATGACTATGAAAGGTTTCCTTCCAATCACCATTTACTATCTCTGTCTATTCTCTTTCACTCAAATAGAGGTTGATCCCTTTGGTGGCTAGTTCTGCACCATTTTGTTGAAACTTTACTTTGATTAAGCTTGTTTCCATTTTAACAAGCTGGTTCAAGTGTTCGATCTTCAGGAAGATCAACCCCTGAAGGCATGGATTCCACCTCTACATCTGCATTTGTCATTTGAATTCCAGAAGTTTATGAGACTGATCAATAGCAGGGACAGGGGAAGGAAACCCAAGTTGTTGAAGGTATGGGTTCATGATTACTGTTCGTCTATAACTTATCAGTTTGTCTCCCTGGCATTTAAACGTTTAGATGAGTTAGACAAATGCTCTTCTCAGCAGATATCTGCTGACCAGCCTTGCTTTGGACGTCCATGGTCCCTATTTGAGGATCAGGTATCATGCAACCTCTTTGATCTTGCTCTTTGTAACTTTTGGTACTGAGTAGGATAGCTTCTTAATTTGGCAATATATGATTTCTCTATTACAGACACTTTTCATCTTTGTACATGATATGGGTCCTAATTGGGAGCTTGTAGGCGATGCTATTATCAACATAGCTCTTCGTTTTAAGTTGAGTATTCATATCGATCTGTCTAGATTTTGGTTCATAGTACTGCTAGATGTGTGTCATGTTGTTCCTGCTACTGAGCTGCCTTTATTTATACATGTTATTGAAGCAATTTATTTAATAGTACTTGAAAAATGGTGATCTTTGATCTTGTATCTTCTGTTTGGTATTTCTGGGCATGAAATAACTATCAATATATTTGTTTTCAGTATGATGGCACTTACGTATTGGAGCCTCGGCCATGGGAAGCATGTAATAAGAACTATCAAGTTCCCATGGTATTTTCCCTTTTCTCATTATCAATCTTTGCACAAATCTTTTCATATTATGCTTAAGATTGTACTGGTTTGTGCAGTTGCTGATATGCATTGGTCTGCACATTCTGCAAACAGCAACTGAACATTATAAAAACATAATGTTCCCCTTGATAAATTTCAGGAAATTTTCTTCTAAATAAGGTAAATGAATTTTAACCCTTGCATATGTAAACAGGCAGTGAAATTGGAATCAATTAGCCAATTTTTGCATTCCAAAGGTGGCAATCCCAGTGCCCTGAAGCTCAATTTGTTGTTCATCTCATGTCATGATACTTAGCCATCACTTTGATTATTCAACTGACACAGTTTGCAAGCTTGCAGGGTATGAGTGCCAATGTACCTGCTCTATTCCTTTTCATTGGTGAGTGACAAGCTGCAGGGTATGGGGACAAACGGACTTGCTCTACTCTATTTCATTGGCAAGCCTTCAATTTATCTGTCAACTTGTTTGAGGTAATTGACCAGAGGATGAATCCTCTTCCTAATTTCAGAGAGGTTGAGGCTGAAATTAACTTCAGCACAGGGATTGCGTGAAGCAAGTCTACATTTGTAAGTTCTTTAAAGCTGTATAGTTAAATCTAGAAGAGGAATGGTGTCTAGTTCTGACTGATGAAAGTGGGTGTTATTGTGTAGGGGGATTTGACACAACACATGAAGCTGCTCGGTGAGATTCTTCTCTTCCTCTCCTTTCAACTTTATCTCTCTAGCATAGGGTGGTCACTTTCTTGGCATACCTTGGAACATTATTCTTCATATATAACATCTGATCACCAGGTAGATGAAAGCATCAACATGGGATTTTGTTTGTTGTTTGCTGCAGTGCCAATAAGGTAAATATGGTTGTGTACATATCTACGTATTTGTCAAGGTTTGCCATATTTGAACCCTTTTGTTTGATAGGATTTCCAGCTCATCATGATTGAGTTTATGTGCTTCTGATGCAGTCGATGGCTTTACCATGGATTCAGCATACAAGAGCACTAGTATGAACAGAGTAATAGCAACAAGTAAGTTCAAAAGGCAGCCTTGTTTTCTGTTAGGAACTTATCTGGTTTGCTCTCAATGAATGGTGATGGTAGCTAGGTATGTGAGGGTGACAACGGAGACAAATATGAGCATCTTCCTAATCCTATGAATTATATATTAAGTTGTTCATTTTCAAATTTATTTACTCTTTTATTTCTCATTGTCAGAGCTGAAGTAGACACTTAGCTAAAAGAATTAAAATGTGCAATATTGAATTTGTTTACAGATGAAAAGGGAGAATGCATAATGTGAGGCTCTAGGAGCCTTGCCTCTCTACCAGTGAACTATTCTATAAGTAGCTCTGAACTGTTATCATCTCCTTCAAAGCTAATTATGTGGGCCTTGCTAGATTGATGTATTGTTATTTGCTCATTGTCAGTTCACACTCGGTGTTAATGTTACTCTTACTAATTATTTTCTCTTATGAACAGGGTGCAACTAGTGCTCTTGCTCCGTCTTTGGGTTCTCGAGCTTCGCGATACGATGTCATTGTGAATGTTTTCTATAAAGGATTGGATCATGATCTACTCATGCAGCTTTTAAGAGCTTTTATAAACATACCATGCTTCTTTGGATTATGTTTGAATATTTTTGTTAATTAGCGTTTATCCATGTAATATTATTATTTTGGATCATGAATTATATTATGTTTATAGTATGAATGCTGAAGTATTGACGGGTAAAGTTTATGGAATGAATTTGGTTATTATTAAAAAATTTGGCATTTGGTTCAGGGTTGTCTATAGTGACCAAAGCATTTGCAACCAAGCTTAGCTTCCAGTTCTCGTCCTCGTTTCTCTTTAGCAACCATTATTTAATGACAGTATAGTTGGTTGCGAATGTTGGTTTTGCTTTAATCACGTATTATGTAAGACATGTAGCAAGGGTTTTTTCCCTTGCTAGTGTTTGCCACGTATTTATCCAAGGGTTCTAACCCATGCTATTAACGTATCTCTGCTAAAATTTACAGAGTTTTAGCAAGGGGTTTTAACCCTTGCTACATGTACCAGCGGTTCAAACCTTTGCTATAACCCTTGCATGGGACTTGCACCTAGGGTTGCTCAAAACCCTTGCTACACGTAGCAGGGGTGGCTTTGGCAAGGGTTGATACAAGGGTTGACAAACCCTTGCTAAATTGTGTAGCAAGGGTTAAAACCCTTGGTATAAGTGAAAATAACCCTTGCCATAGGCCATTTTTTTGTAGTGCACCGAACGTCGCTTTTAAGTTGGGGTCGTTTGGATGGATCAATCTAGAAATGAGTCAATTTGATCAATTGTCTCGTTTTATAAACGAGGCAATTAAAACGAGTCATTCGAATTACCTGCCCTCACTCCAGATAATTGAAATTGACTCAAAACGGATCAATTCAAAATACCTCAGGCAGATTGATCCATCCAAAATTTTTGCTAGCAAATGAGGCAATTTGGTATAATTGTCTCAAAACGAGACAATCATGTCAAATTGATCCGTTACAATTCTTCATCCAAACAACCCAACACAGTTTATAGCGCAATTTACAAAGATGATACTACTCGAAAGTTTCGTGAAAATGTATCCCAATATTCACATAAGAAAAATAAACCCAATAGTGGTCTACTAGAAATCACCACCAAATCCAAATGAGATTTAGTTGGAATTTACCACAAACCATAATAGCAAATTACTCATATATCTTTTTTTTTATTACAGCGTCGCGTTATTTAAACTAGTGATGAACTCCATTCTCCTGTATTCTTATGCCAAACACAAACATCCTAATCATACCAATATCAATAACTATATGAGAGTCTGTTTCTCTTGAGAGATTTGAGAGTTACATAACTTAATATTTTCTTGAGGCTTTGGATTGCTGAATTTCTTTATTGGTAACTTAGTATTTAGTTATATAGATTGAACAAGATACATCGAAAATCTTAGTTTAAAGTGCTTTTTATAAACAGGGTTGCAAGATATCATTCCCCCCATAGTGAAACGTCATCAACATCGATTGCTCAAAGCTTAAATTGGTGTTGGGAAATTATTAGTAGGAGTACCGGTGGGGATGAGAGGGACAGGTTACGGTGATTACTATAAATTAGTAATCACCGTGGTTACTAAGGGCAGATTGGATATAACAAAAAAATTATTAATTATATTTTTTAATAAATTACATTTTAGGAAATTACAAAATTATATTAACTATAATTTTCTCTCTCTTTCTCTCACTTCCACAATCTTCAGCCAGATGCCTCTTTCTTCTTTTTCTCAATCTTTCCATTGATTTCGTTCTGTCGAACTAATACCACTGCAACAATAAAACAATACCAATCCATTACAAAACACTACCATTGCACAAAACACCAATACCATTCGAGAAATGAAAACACTACCGTTCCACAAAAACACCAATACCAATGCGACAAAAATAATACCATTGCGACAAAATCAATACCAATGCGATAAAAACAATACCATTGCGACAATAATAATACCATTGCGACAATAATAATACCATTGCGACAAAATCAATACCAATACAATAAAAATAATACCATTGCGACAAAAATAATACAATGCGACAAAATCAATACCAAAACAAAACAATACCAAAAAATATATATATATACCAATCCCCAAAAAATACATACCAATCCTCGCACAAGCAAGCGTGCGGAATGGCCAGAGCAAATATAGAGAGAGAGGGAGGGGGAAGGCTGACCTAGGGCCGGAGCATATTGCCGGCACGGCATCACCATCTAACCCCTCCAACCGCCATCTCGTGAGTGAGAGAGAGAGAGAGAGGGGTTGCCCGCAAAGGTGGAGAGGGTAGCCGGAGGGAGGGTGGCTGCCGGCAGTGGGAGGGCAGGAGGCAGGATAGGTGTTGACGGCGATATAGAATAGGGTTGGAGTAGGTTTAGGTATAATATATAGAAATTAATATTTTAAAGGATAGAAATCAGGTGTGGTATTATTTTTATTCTCAAAATTACCCTTAATCTAATCTTCACCGTCAATTTAAAATTAGAATAAAATATAGATAATAAAGGGTCTAGATTTTAGTAGCCATGGTGATTACTCAATTTTGAGTAATCATCCTAACGCGTCCCGGGAATGAGATAATAACCTATATATGTATATTTGGATGGTTTTGGGATGAATATCTAAAAAACACCACACTCGAAATCATCCAACGTTTATTTTATTTTATTTTAATTTGCGAATCCAGGAAAATCCCGTCCAAAAATTCATTATCATCAGATTTAATTTTCCTCAATCAAATCAGTTGGAGTTTGGATGAGTAACTACACTGACGGTCTAGAGATTTTACAAGCTAGGGTTTTACAAAAATGAAACCACAATAAAAACTCAAGCCGCGGTAACCGCGATCTTCATTCCGGTTTGATCACAGTGTTGAGGGATATCGCAGATGAAATAGTTATTTCCCCGCTGGAGGGTGACCCTGTCGTTGCCGGAGGTGTACACTTTTGCCCCCGCCGGTACCGTGCAGGTCTTGTACCCGTTAGCATCCACCACCGCCACCTCGTGTTCACCTTCCGGGTAATGGAAAACTTGAACCAACAACATATATGATACCATGTCAAAAAACAATACGCGCGTTCGTCAACGAAAAAACTGTACATTTGTTCAATACTAAAATTTCAGTAGGGCATAAAACCAAACAACCAACCTATCACGTCGCCGGCCTTGAAGTGCTTGCCCTTCGGCCAATCGGTGACGCCGAACGACCACTCGATCTTGTAAGTGGCCGCCGCCGCCGTCTCGGCATGGAAGGCTGCTTGACAGAGGAACATGAGGATGAGGAGGCTAATACACCAAGCACCATTATTCTGCGCCATTTCTGCTATACTAACAACTATTAATTAAGCAAAAAAAAAAGGATTTGCTGGTACCTTTTACTTTACAGGTGAAGATATATATAGGTAGACCTTTCGATTTTGATGAAGGTGTCTAGATTTTGCTTGCCTTATTTTGGATCCGTAAAGTAAATAAATGTGTATATGAAAATAGGAATAAGAATGTAAACATGGCCAGGTGCTTTGGAGCTTTTATGTTTTTCGGTCGTTTATCTTTTTTGGCAAGAAGAATCTTCTTAATAAATTTAACAAGGTATTTTATTGAATTGTTTCCAGAGGGATTTTTGTTAATTAATCAGAGAGTTTGGATACTGCAATTGTGATGAGTTATCTACATAGGGAAGTTATTGATCATGTATGTGCGAGTTTGAATCTTTTATTCCTACTTCGATAATCTCTTTTAATACGAACAATATTAACTGCACTGTATCTCTATTTATAAACATATATAAACACACACGCACGCAACACGACAAATGGTGGTGCGACGCTATAGTATACGTGGTACAGGGGATTGTACTTGTACGTGCATTGTATCGTTGTAGTACAAGTGGTACATGTAGTCGTATTTCGAGGATGAATCTTGATTTTTAACATTCAGCTATCCATTTACTAACATTGACAACTCCAATTTTTTTTCATTTTAACTTGATTATTAAAAACTTGTCCTTAAAGAAGGGTTGTACATGTGTTGTATTTTTGTAGTACAAGGTGGTACAAGTAGTCATAAGTATGTTGAGGATAGTACTTGTTCTTAACATTCAACCATCCATTACTTAAACATTGACAAACTCCATTTTAAAAAGTTCAACTTAATTAAACATCTTTGTAGTCCTTAATGGAGGAGGAGGAGGAAGAAGAAGCTTTAGAGAAAATAAAGAGGAGAAGAAGATGCGGAAAAAAGAAGGTAAGAATTATGTGGATAATTTGCGGTTTAATTTTGAGTCAACTTCTATCTTTTCTCGGGTTGATTTTCGTTTCATTTGTCTAAAAATATATCCAATAGAAAATCAATCTTGTATATTAGAACTCATTAATTTTGTTATGTTGCTCAACCCTTTGTCACTCCCCTCTTTTACTTATTTCTCTCATTCTCATTCTTCTTCTTCTTCGTTCGATTTTGTTTATGCTGTTTTTTTTTTTCAATACGCCCTATCTAGAAAAAGGCCAGAACCATATACGTATAAACATAGGCGGAGCCAGTCTCTTTTGCAGGTGTCACGAGACACCCTTAAATGAAAATTATTAATCTTCGAGTAGGTGTATACATATGGACCGCTATATTTTATATGAGAAGTTTTCTAGACATAAAAAACTAAATTTAATAGGATACATGAAAGATACTTATTTGAATTGAGGTGACAATAAAATTATTTTACTCTTACAACGAACTGAAAACTTGGCTATGGACCTCAGATAATAAAATTACTGGGAAAATAATCATCATAGCACATAGAGCCTAACATTAAGCTAATCATCATCTGATATATTAATTAACCTCCATTAATTGATCATTGATCAATGAATTTAAGAAGCATTGACGGTCATTTTCATATTGGCTCGGCAATGGGCACCGACGCCGCAGATGAAGTAGTTCGCTCCCTTTGCCAGGGTGACTTGATCGTGGCCGGAGGTCAATATCGTCGCCCCCGCCGTATCGCAGGCGTTGTACCCGGCGGCGTCCACCACCGCCACGTTGTGCAGCCCTTGCGGGTAGTTGAAAACTGCCATTATCATTCACAAAAAGAGAGCCAAATTAATATATATTGGTATTGGATAATGTTCATCACATACACAAAAATTATCGTTGGTGGTTAATTAATCGTTATTCGTTTTTTTTATTTATTATTATTTACCGAGCACGTCACCGGCGCTGAAGCTCTTCCCGGCGGGCCAACTGTTGACCCCGAAGGTCCAGCCACCGGCGTCGCCGACCGTGAAAGTGGCCGCATCGGCCGGCTTTAGGTTTACGAGCATGAAAAGTACCATTGTTGTGGCTAAAATTGCAACTACGGATCCTTTCATTTTTTTTTTTTTTTTGGTTTAAAGTTTCGTTGGCTCTTTCTTTTCTGTCTTATATTTTACCGATCAATACAAGAAAACTTGAAGGGATTTTGTAAGAGGCGTGAAGAAATGTCTTGCAGAAAGTGGCCAATTTATATCGTGGAGGATGAAAATTTTAAGGTTTTCCTACCTCCCTTTTTCTTTCCCTGAAAAAGAAGTATTGCTTTTACTTTTAACTAAGGGTGATTATTAATTGGTAAAAAGGGGTAATTAATATCTTTTTTTTTTTCTTTCTTTCTTCGAGAAGGTAATAATTATTATCTTTCTCTCAAACCAACTAAAGTAATTTTTGTAAGGCTTCCTTTTTCCCTCAGTAATTCCCCTCATCTCGTGGCTAGGAACATCTGTAGGGATTAATAGATATACCTCTTTGCATGACATTTGGTTCCCATGCACGTGCACTTAACGCTTTTTGTTTGATATGGTGCATGTGATGTGAGGAGTGTATGTGTATGCATGCGACTGAGTCTAACGGGAATATCACTAATTATGACAAATAATTCAAAAAAAAAAAAAAAAAAACTAATAAAAAATAATGTTGACTTACAAGTACAATCGTGACTTGAAGAAAACGATCGATCACTTATGGTAAAACGATGGACCGCTTCTGAAAACGGAGAACTGCTTTCAGAAAACGTACGACCGACCTCTTCCAACAAACGGTCGATCGCTTTCGACATCTTAATGGTGTGAAGTTGTTCATCCGGTCGGTTGTTTTTTTAGAGCGGTCGTTTTGTCCAATTCAAGGGACTTGCAAGTTACCGTAGCAAATTCCTAAAAACATAACTCAGAAAACCAACAAGGTAGTCTCGTGCTATAAATGTCGATTTCAACAATAAGTTGGATTGTCAACAAGTGAAAAAAATTTATATAATACATGCGGATGATGACTCGGATTAACAATGACGTCGAATAATACCATGATAAAATTGCAGATGTTCTAGTTGTCAACCATAATTATCAAAGACGTTTGATATCACATTTTCCATCTCTTTATATATATATGGTTCAGGCTAGCGTACGCACGGGCGTACACTAACCTAGCGTACGTCCCATTGAGTTTTGCTATATAGATCATGAATTAGTCGGAGTTTGGGGCATATGATACTATACCCTAACCTCTAATGGGTGAACCCCGATCCCTAATTTTCTAACCCAAACCATGAGGTTCGTTTAATCTTAAAATGAAAACCAATGAAAATTTCGACGAATCAGAATCGTTGATTTTCATTTTTAAGATTAAACGAATCTCGTGCTTTGGGTTAGTGAATTGGGGACTGGGATTCACCCATTAGGGGTTAGGGTATAGTATCATGTCCCAAACTCCGATTAATTCTTTGTCTAAATAGCAAAACTCAATGGGACATACGGTAGGCTAGCGTACGCCCGGACGTACGCTAGCCTTTGTCATATATATATATATATATATATATAGTATTATTGAACGATCCAATATCACATGATACAATATTTATGCTTAAGACGGTACAATACATACTGTACCATAATAGTACGAGTCATACTGAGATGCCTACTATATATGTACTCGATCGGACTTTATATAACATTCAATAATCATCCATTATTTCCAAACATGGCTAGCTTCATTTCGAAACATCAGGAAATTATGGTTCTTAAGAAATCAATTAGAGTTCTTAAACATTTTCAACACCATTTCTGAAACCATGCGTGCTCGAATACTGTTATTATTAGACAGAGAGTACTGTTACAAGGAACAGAAAACTTAGCTAGCTAGCTAGAGACCAGTTACATCTTTTTTTCCACGTAACTAACCTTAGCTAAAAGTTATTAACTTGTCATCATAGTACAGAACTAGCATTATTATGGTTATGATGATCATCTTTTTTTTTTTTTCCATGGTTCGAGTTAAGACGCATTGACGGTCATCTTGAGATTCGCTTGACAGTGGCCAGGTATGGCGCAGATGAAGTAGTTTGCTCCCTTGGCCAGAGTCAGCTGGTCGTTGCCGGAGCTGTAAACCTTCGCCCCCGCCGCGCTGCAGGCGCTGTAGCCGCCGGAGCCCACCACCGCCACGTTGTGTACCCCTTTCGGGTATTTGAAAACTGCATGCAAACATGGCAATCAGAAGAAAGAAAAAAAAAAGAATCAAATAATAATAACGTTACACCTCGGATCTCATGGTGCATTTAACGAGTAGTTGAGATAAGAAGTATGTATTAATTGATTCGATTTACCGATCATGTCACCGGCCTTGAAGCTCTTTCCGGCGGGCCAAGAGCCGGCGCCGAAGGTCCAAGTGACGGTGTAAGAGGCTGCATCGGCCGGGTTCATCTGCTCGACGGCGAACATGAACAGTACCATAGTGGTGGCCAGTATTGCAATAGCTCCTTTCATTTTTGGTTTTTTTAGCTTTGTAATATTTAACTTGATCAATATTAGCAAGTGATTTTTTGGATAGCTGTGAAGGAAAGTGTTGCCTAATGGGGCCAATTTATAGAGTTGTTTGAGGAGCTGGGTGGGGTTGAATAGTCCACGTAGGAAATTATTTCTCTTATTTTATTTTGGAGAAACTAACTAGGATGTGTTTGTTTTGAGACAATGTGTCAGATTGATCCGTTTGACAGCAGAAAATTTGGATGAAGCAATTTAGTTGGGGAATTCTGAATTGACTCATTTTGAGCCAATTATAATTATCCGGGGTGGGGGTAGGTAATCTGAATTGACTCGTTTTATAAAATGAAACAATTGGTCAAATTGTCTCGTTCTACAATTGATCCATCCAAATGATAGGTTTGGATAATATAAAAGAATCTGAAAAAGATTTGGATAAAAAGTAGACATTACCCTTATTTTAATGGTGTCCTAACAAAGAAAGATGAGATGAAAAAAAATATTTCCAACTTTTCCCATTTGAAATATATAAGAAACGAGTTGGCTTTTCTTTTTGCAAGGAAGCATCTCGAAAGTTTCTGAATCAATGATTGATGCCTCATTAGATTATTTCTCGATATGTGGTCAATTTTTATTGTTTAACGAACTATTTGTTAATCATTTTATGAACTATATTTTATTACTTAAGTTATCTTATGTTCTCGTTACTTAATATATTTAGAAAAATCCCTATGGGCACCATAAGATCTATAAACTCAAATCAACTACTCTTATGAGTTAGTCGATTATTCATGCGGAACGAGAAAGCTATCCTTCTATGTATATACCAAGATGATCATAAAAGAAAAACAAAGACTTACACTTCATCAGCTGAATTTTTTTCCAATACCAAACCAAATACATATATTTTTCACCTCTACTTTTTCTTTGTAGAAAGTTTCCATTGTCTATAAAAAAAAAAATGTTCAAACAAACGCACCACACTCTGACGCCAACTAGTGAAATTTAATGAGTTTCAGACTTTCTGTTTGGTAAGATAGGTCACTATTAATTTCCCCCCTGACTGGAGATTTTCACCAATTCAATACCAAGGCTGAGTCAACGTGTATATCTAAAATTATTCTGACAAATAAAACAGAAAAAAGGTAGTACAGCTAATTATTCTGACAAATAGTTATAGTGATTCAACAGCCAACATAAATACGTGAATAAATGTAAATGACCTATCTCGAATAGAAATGAATTCGATATACAAATGTGTTTAGTAATAAAATACGAATGGAATATTAAGAAAATATTTTTACAGATTTACAAATTTTCATATCCATTGTGTTGTGCACAAATAGCATTTTTTTGTCACCGAATATTAGATATGTATTTGTACGACTATGTTGCAGACTTGACTTTTTATTTTAGTCGTTTATTATTAGGAGCCGGTGTGTCTTGCACTCTTTAATTTTTTTTAAAAAAAGGAGAGTAGAAATAAAAGTTTAATCTAAGTATTTCTCGAACCAATCTAGCGATACAACCCTCAATTTAATTACAAATAGACTCCAAATGTCCCGCATACACAAATCCAACCTGTTAGCAATCACACTTGAGGACGATATCTCCACGTTGCCTCCAAATCACAAGGAGATGTCAAGACGTCGAGCTAATAACCCGCACTAGTAATCTCATCTCGCATCATCAAGATATCGACAGCACCGAGACATGCTTCCACATCCAAATCCCATTAGCACATTCGAAGAGCGAGTACCGAGACCATAGTCATGATCGTTACTTCATCCGCCTAGCTACTCCATCACTTGATTACAAATAGAAAATATTGATTAATTGTTAAATTTTTACAATTTTTTCCCCCTGGAATTTATAATTTCATAACCATAGTTGTAGCATCGGGAGCACTCAAGGTTCTCCGTGTATAGGAGTAGAGTCATTAACTTAAGGTAGATTCTCGTTCTCCCATAAACATGAAAAAGAACATCAAATACCGTGGCTAGTGAAGCATTTCGAGTAACTATTTTTTCAGTTAATTAAACAGCACCAACACTTATTTTTTGCAGGTAATATTAAGACCTTACAGAACAGAACAGAGATAAAAACAGAGAAGAAATGTAGCCATAGTCGACCCAGCTGATAGCTAGTGAAGCATTTCGATCGATTCAGAGAGCAGTGATGGCTATCTTCATCCCAGCCTGGCAATGTCCAACGAAGTTGCAGATGAAATAATTCTGTCCTTTCACAAGCTTGATCCTGTCGGCCCCTGAGCTGAACACTCTGGATCCCCTTGGAGTGTTGCACCCGCTGTGCCCTGCCTTGTTCACCGCCACCACGTTGTGGATCGATGGATTGTACTTGAACACTACCAACACATTCGACAAATATCGCGTATTAACGAATGGATATTAGCCAATTGAACCGTTAGAACGTATCGAAAAATCGACAATACATTAGTATAGAATTACGTTACCAAGCACATCACCGGCCTTGAAGCGTTTGCCTGTAGGCCAGGCAGAGACGTTGAAGGTCCAGCCTGCGGAGCCTCCAACAGTGTAAGTCGTGGCTGCTGCACTTGCTACTTCGAAGTGGAGAGCGGCAAGTAACATGAACAGGCACAATGTGGCCGCCATTGCTGCTGCACTGCCTCTTCCCTTGGTCGCCATTTCTCTCCTCCTCCTCTGCTTGCTTGCTTGCTAGCTATCTTCAAATGTGGAGAGAAATTAAGCTTCTGAGAGATGGAGTGGGTGGAGTGGATTGAAGGAAGGGGTTGGACCTTTTTAATGAGAGAGTTTTGGCGTGGAAGATCGGTTTTGGGGCAAAGAGTGGGTGATAGGTCCCACGACATTGGAGAAAAAAAATGTACAGACAGCAGGAGATGGGTTTGGGGCAGAGGCGCAGAGCCATTATATTATTAGTTTTTTATTTTTTGCTATATAAGTCGTAAAGGGAAATGATCTCCACAAACGTAACATAGAAGTAAATATTTTTAGCAGCTTGGGTGGGTTGCTGGGGAAATAAGTGGTCCGGGAGCAAACTTTGACTTATTACCCGTTTGGGAAACTGCGGTTTGAAATTCTGAAAAAGATGATACAAATGATTTTAAGAAAATTGAAATATAGAGAAGACATTGATGTGATTATTGGGTTGACCGAGTCAATCTCTCTTTTTTTCTTAAAGAATTATAACTCAGTTGCAAAAACTCGATCAATTTTGGACGGGTAATGAATATGCACCATATACGTGGTCTAGCCCATATTTCACTTCATGATGTACCCATAATGGGCCTTGACGGCCCAAAAGAGAACTAAATGCCATTGTTGTTATGATAGGTAGGGGGCACACGAGGCCCAATCATTTAGGGACTAGTTTGTTAGGATTACAAAATTCAGGTGCTATTTATTTAACTCTTACTGAAAAATCCCCAACTGCGTCCTTCTCAGGCGCGTAAAGCGAACTCTACCGTCCACCTTTCTTCTTCACCGACAGCGATTTTCGCTTCACTTCCACTCCTTCCTACTTTGGCATCGCCGTCTCAACTTCGCAGCCCACAACCATTCGCCTCTCCAGCTCTCTCTCCCCCTTCGAATCCGCGGGATTCCCTCCGTTGGCTGCTCTCCCGCGTCTCTTGTGGACAGCCAGCCATGGAGATAACCTACCGAAGTCGCCTTTTCACCCTCCTCTTTCTCGGGCATTCCTTCTTCTCAGCCCGGGCCTCCATCCACATCTACGACACCCAACCCTTCAGCGAAGTGGGAAATGCTTTCCTTCTCTCCGGAGGCAGCGAAGGCATTGTCGCCTCCTCCGCCGCCGCCGGTCTTCCTCCTTACACTGTCGATTCTTCGTCCTACGCCATTCCGCGATCCATCAATGATGGCCGCTCCTACATCCGGTAATAATTGATTGCGACAGAGACGCTGTTAGTTTGTTTGAGATTATTTATGTTTGCTTGTTCTTCAGTTGTTTCCCTCCTGGTGATGGTGACTGAACCTGAGTGGTTGAATTTGGGATCTGAATTGTGTTGAGATCTCCTGCATTGGTCTTTTGGTTTGGTGGGTAATTGAATCTTCATTGAAGGTTTGTTTAGCTAGATCTGGAAGGAAAGTTAGCGGTTTCAGGCATCTTAAGATTGGGGAAGAGGTTTTTTTAGTTGATGGGTACTGTGTTGCTGAAATCATGATTTTCTTGTTGCATCATCTTAATTGGAGTAAACAGCCTCTCATATGGATCCATGAACTGTGGATGCATTTTGTGTTACCCTGAAGAGTTCAGTAGGATGGTGCTATTATGGTGCATAATTACTGGTAAACAAAACAAGTTACCCTTAAGCAAAAGGAAAGAAATTTATGCCTTTTGGGGATTCATCTCTACCAAACAGAACTGAGTAGCTTGCATGGTTGAATTCTGCATCGCCTTTTGTTGTCAGGTGTCTAAAAGATGTGACTTCTTTTTCAGGTTTGAGAATATTTCTTTCTGGAGGACTAAAGACGCAGCTGATGAGGATCCAGATATGGATCACGACACGGGACTGGTTCAGGTTGTCATTTTTGAGGCTGCTGATCGGAACAGTATTGGTGGTTCTGCGTATGGTGGACAGAGGTCCATCTGTTGCACCCCTGACCTTGCTAAGCTGGAAGGTTGCAAGGAAGGTCGAGTGATTAGGATGCCTTCTGCAACTGACATCAACTGGCCAATAGTTTTGGATGTGAACTTCAGAGGCGACGACTTGTTTACCAAGCTTAAAGATGAGGATGTGTACATCACCAAAACAGGGATGTATAACTTGTTCTTTGTTGCATGCGATTCAAAGCTTAAGGGACTTGTGATGAGTGGGAAAACGATTTGGAAGAATCCCGATGGTTATTTGCCTGGTAGGATGGCACCTCTAAAGAAGTTTTATGTGCTTATGTCTGTTGCATATTTGCTGCTCAGCTTGACTTGGTTCACCCAGTACCTGAGGTTTTGGAAGGATATTTTGCAACTTCAGCATTGCATCACGGCTGTTATAGCATTGGGACTATTTGAGATGGTTCTTTGGTATGCCGAGTATGTGAATTTCAACAGCTTAGGTGTCAGGCCAGTTGCAATCACTACTTGGGTTGTGACCATTGGAGCTGTAAGGAAAACGGTTTCGCGTCTTCTCATACTCTCCGTTTCAATGGGTTATGGTGTTGTGCGCCCAACCCTTGGCGGTCTTACCTCAAAGGTGCTTCTTCTTGGGCTAACTTACTTTTTGGCATCTGAGTTACTGGATATAACCGAGTATGTTGGAACCATTAATGACATATCGGGAAGAGCAAGGCTGCTTCTAGTACTTCCTGCCGCCTTCCTTGATGCATTCTTGATATTGTGGATATTCACTTCTCTTCAGAAAACGTTAGAACAGTTACAGGTACGGCTTCCTCATCTGTCTCTTAAGATACAACCTTCTTTCTCTATTAAGCTATTCGTCACAGCTTATTTTATGTTCTCCCCCTCCCATCTTCATCTGTAAATACACAATGCTTCTACATTTTCCCCTTGAAATTGCTGGATCATGTAAACTAACTCTGATATTATTCCTTGGCCCAGTCGAAGAGAAGCTCTGTCAAGTTGGATATCTATAGGAAATTCTCCAATGCATTAGCCGTTACGGTTATTGCTTCAGTTGTTTGGATAGCTTATGAGGTATGATCCCTTAGCCTGATACAATATTTTTTAGTTCTGTAATTTTTTAATGGACTTGGAAGTTCTGACCTAAAGAGCTTATATTCTAGGTATACTTCAAAGCAACCGATCCATTCAATGAACGTTGGCAAAGTGCCTGGATCATCACTGCGTTCTGGGACCTTCTTACACTAGTACTGCTCTGTGTCATTTGCTATCTGTGGGCTCCATCTCAAAACTCTCAAAGGTACGATAATGATCCAGACTCTTACAGAATACAAGTCTTCCATCTGGTAGCAGAGTGTTATCTCGTATCCGATATCATGTCTTTGCATCATGTACTGACCCCCCGATTCAAACAATGGTCAGATATGCTTACTCAGAGGAGGCAGGAGAAGAATCTGACGAGGAAGCTCAGTCTCTAACCAGGGGAATGCCGGATGGCGATATAAGTTTAGTGGAAAGCAAAGAGAAGAATGGTAACCACCACATAAATGCCTTTGATGAGGAAGATGTGCTGGAAGAAGATAAGAGAGAATGAATGATCAAAATTATACACCATTCTTTTGCCTTCAATTACACCTAGGCAATCCTCTTGAAGCCATCTTTCCACTTGAATCTGCCAAAAGCCCCCGATAGAGAACTGTTCAATAGTATCTATCACTATTCTGTAGCAGACGGTACCCACCCCTTCCATCTCCGTGTACCATCATGTTTGTTGTACTTGTACTCCAATCTTCTGAGCTGGGATTTGGGAGAGTTGCCCATTCTGTAAATAACCTAAATATCAGCATTCTGAGATGGGGGTATTCTGCTCTGAAAATCATCTGTAAAAGCTCCAGAGGTTCATCTCCCCCCCCCCCCCCCCCCCCCCCCCCCCCTGTTGGATTGTACCATTTTGTCACCTAGCAGCATTGTACTGTGTTCGTCGCATCATTGTTTCACCAATCATCTTAGCAGATTGTTATTCCATCCACTTCATAGATCTGCAAGAAATGTGGTATGTTTGCACCATTCAATTCAATGCAATCCTCCACCAACATTCATCTGCTAAAAACTAGATACAGGCAACATATTTTTTGAATTCCAGTTACCTAACTAATCAGCAGATTTACAGATTTCTACAATCAGCAGATTTACAGATTTCTACTTCAAGCGTTCTGAAATTCGGAGCGATTCAATTGCTTTACTTGGCAAATCCTCCATCATCCTATGTGTGTGATTTTGATGGTCTTATTTTTGGTGAATTATGGAGTGATCAAATCGCTTTAATCGATAGATTTTTTTATCATTGTTTAATTTTGATGGTTCTTGTTTTGTAATTGAGTTAGGTCGATATCTGCGAATCTAATCGGATTGATGACATGGATTAGAATGGCCCTTACATATGTCTTTTGGCTGTGAAAACAAATCTTCAAATCATCTATTTTGAACTTTTGTACGAATATTGGGCGGGAAAATAAAACAAAAGAGTGATTCATCAGACGCTGAAACTCTACTTTCTCAGTGAGAAACTGAGAATTCAGAACCGCCCAGGGAAAGAGAGAAGCAGGACACAGGCGGAGAGAAACCAGAGAGAGATTTTGACCGACGCCGGGGGAAATGAGAGGTCCTCGCCGTGGGCAGAAGGATTCCTTCATCCCACAGCCGGCACAAGACCACCGCCACCGCCAGTTCCCCTACAGCAACGCCTCCCGCGACTCCGACGCCAGCTTCGCCAGCAGCCGCCCGTCCTCCGTCGGCGTAGGCCTTCCGTCCGTCGCTCTGGTCGATACCTACAAAGACCGATCCCGCCAGGCGGAGACCCTTCGCGCTATCAACCACTATCTCTCCTCCAAATCCTCGCCCTCGCTTCCGACCAACCAAACCCCCTCCAGCAAACAGATCAAGGAAACCCTAAAATTCCTGCTTACGAATCTCGGTTGCCCGGTCGATAAGGTCGAAGACGATCTCTTGAGCATTCTCAAAGTCCTCGGATGCCCAATCAAGATCAACGGGTCGACGCTCCGCGCCCCCAACACTCCTCACAATTTCCCTTCTTTCCTCGCCCTAATGCACTGGCTGGTTGACATTGCCGCGTGTAATGAGCAGCTCGCCAAGAAGTCAGGTCGGTCTCTTGAAAGTGACATGTTTACTTACGCCTTCGACAGTTACTTGAACTACATGACCGGCGAAGACAATGAGGTGGAGGCGTTGGATGCGGAATTCACAGCCAGGTTGGAGGAGGAGAAGAACGGATTCAAGGAAGGGATTGCGTATTTGGAGAATGAGTGTAATGAATTAGCTGCCGTGGCGGAGAGGTTGAAGACTGAGCCCACGAGAAGGGAGAAATTGGAGACTGAGAAGAATGTCCTGGAACAGGATGTGGGAAAGTACCATGTTATGATGGGGGAGCTCAAGCAGAGAATCGAGAGCACGGAGAAGCTATTGGAGGACAAGCGGGCTGCCATACTGGCCAAAGTTGAGGAGATAGAAAGGTTCAATGCTGAGAATGAGGAGTTGAAGAAACAGGTGGAGAGCCAGAGCTTCAATATCAGGGATGCTGAACGGATGAGGAGGGATCTGCAGGCGGTGGAGAGAGATATTGCGGAGGCGGAAACTGATAGGAACGCCTGGGAGGAGAAGATATGGGACCTTGAAGCAACGATTGGGCAAAAGTTCAAGGAGCTTGAGGTGATGGCCATGAATTGTAACCAGGAGGCTAGGAGGTTTGCTACTTGGACTTTTTCCCATTCTGTGATATGGGTACTTGTTACTCGATATCTTCATGTGAACCGAATCTCTTCATGTTTGCTTAAGTTTTTACTGTTTGTGCATAACAATGTCATGGGAATTGGGAAGTACAGTCTACTATTTCACATGGTGGCAGCTTCCTCCTTGTCGACTGCTAGGCTTTAGATGTAATCTATTGCCTGTTCTTGAAGCAGATACAGGTTTCTGGTAACTCAACAACACAGCAAAAAATTTCACTGTAGCTCTTACCTAATCATACAATATTTGACATTAAGGGTGGTCAGGATCCTGTGATTGTTAGCATATCTGTGTTGTGAGAACATGTGCTTTGAAATAAGTGGATCATGATAAAGGAGTTGATTGTTAGGATGAGCCGTTTGCATGTTGCGATGATCAACTAGAAAATAAAAATGACTCTTTTGCATTAGGGGCCACTTTTTGAGATGAGCATGGATAAAACTGAAATTATGAACAGAGATCTGAAATGGTTTGGGGTAGAAGTAAGTTAATGTAGTTTCTTATGAGTCTAGTCTGTGTAGCATTTTTCATTAACGTTTGCCACTTTCTTGTTGCTTTCTATTTCTTTTCTTTCTGATGGGAGTGATGTTGTGCTTGTGATTCTAGATTGAAGCTTGAGAACATTTTTCAGCACGGCTTGAATGCCAACGGTTCCACACCTGCTGAAGTAATGGGGATCGACTGCAAGTCTACGCTTAAACCTAGACTAAATTCCCTTGCTGATGGTCTAAAGAATAGCTTTGTGTTAAAGCTGGAGGAGAAGATGTCGCTTCAGCAACAATCATCAGAAATGGCAACTAAGATTGACATCAAAAGAAACGATCTTTCCCAGATCCAGTCTCAGATTGATGAAGTAAGTGCATCATACTCGGAGCTTCTAACTGTAGGTGAAAGTTCATTGTTCTTATTCATTTTGTCTGCCATGTCCTAGAAAGCTAAAAAGGCATGAACCTTGCATGCGCATTGCCACTTGTGACTTGACAAAGGTAGCGAAACATCTGTTGGAAGTGGAAGTAAGAGATAATCAGTTGTGTTGCCTAGGTACCATTTGATTGGAGAACAGTGATACTTATAGAGAATATTAGACACTTCCCACTTCTTGATGTTTACAAAATCAGTAGTTAGGAGCAGAAAGCTAATTGTTAGAGTCTGTTTGGATTGTTTAAAAGGTTAATAACTTTGCAAACTTGATGGAATTCGAACTCCTCTTGATACTGAGACTTGGGAACTTCGTCATGTTATCAATCACGTGCCTGTGCAGTGACCATAAGTTCTTACTAATCAGGAGATGGTTAAGACAGTCGGATCGTTTTAGTTGTGATCGTGAATTGAACATGAACATGTTTTGGTTAGATGGAAGCTCAGCTGAATCATACCAAGACAGAAATTGAGGATTACCTGAGCAAATGTGCATTGGAAACAAAAAGCATGATGGAAACCATCACAAACGAGGCCCATACCTTGGTGTTGTTGGAAAAAGAAGCAGCAGCTATTCTACAGGTACATTCTTTTCCCATCTCCCATATCTTTTTAAATGGCTGGTAGATCCGAGAGCAGAATACTCACTGTACAAATTGTTAGATCTCCAATCTGGGCATTACAGCGAATCCCCTTAATGTTTTCTAAGTATGTGTTTCTAATGTATGCTTCTTGGTAATTAAAAAAAAAAAAGGATAAGAAGGTGAAGTTAGGAGAAACTATCAAACAAAGTGAAGAACAGGTGCAAGTGAAAGCTCGCCAACTGTTCACCCTGGTGGATTCAATCTCAAACTGCAAGGAGCACACTGACTCCTCTATCTCTCGCATGAAGAACAAGCTTGCAGAAACACAAGCTGCTGTCTCAGATGCCAGCAGTAACGTTTTACTCCAACTGGGTACCAATTCTGCAGCCCGCTAAGATGGGTCTATAAGGAAGATCACTAAGGGCAGAATCTTCGCGCCTTTCGGCATATTTCTTCTCCGTTCCGTTGCTGCTTTTTCTTGCAATGATCTCCATTCTAGCTAATATACATTACGCTGTATATAACATCCTCGTAAGATGAAATGTTAATAAACTGTGATGAAAGCCTTTCGAGCGTTGAGTGGTGGTAGCTAAAGCTATGGGTCTGAAGTTCAGCTTGTATTTGATCAATTTATCCATGTTATGTTTGAATGATTGATTTATTCGTAGTAAGCTCATAATCAGTAGAACTTAAATTCAAAATTAAATAAGATAGTTCTGCAGTCTCTTGATGGAACTTGTGGAGCTTGCTGATAGTATCAACCGTACTATTTAACTTGCCTTCATTTTTCACTCATATGGCTGTGAACAATCCCCTGTGGAAAGGATTATGGTATCCACGTCCAAACAACCACCTAACTTCGTTATGGATCAAATGGATTAACCATGAATGAATATACTTAATCTGAGTCAACATACAAGTAGGGAGGGTTGGTCGCCAAAGGTAACATATCCTGACTGGTAGGAGAGGTGGACTTGGGATTGCGAGGTCCTCGGTTCGAACCTCACCGCCATCGTGGTGTTCCCGGAGGCACCTGGGCCCGGCCGAAGGTCGCGAAAATGGGCAGCCCGCCCACCGGTTTAGCCCGACTACGGCATCACTGAAGTGGTGACCGTGGAGGGTGTTCCGGTTTATCAAAAAAAAAAAAAAAAAGTAGGGAGGGTTGGTCAGCCGCTAAACCCATTCGAATTTACAAAATTATAACTCATCCAATATGTGTTTGGGGAATATAATGGTGGGTGTGAGTTATTTTTTTGTGACCCATAAAATTGGGGTGGATGATGGATGGGTGATAGGTCATTGGCCTACATAACCACCTGATATTTTTTTAAAGATAAAAACCCACCTAATATATTGTGTCTCTAATATACATTCTGTAATAATACACTTCTATTTTTTTTCTATCTAAAAATATTAATCGTGATTGATTCAATTAATCAATTAAATGATAATTGTTTTATAAATTTTGTTTGACTTACAACCTAATCATAGGTAAATTATTTGAAAAAATATCATAAATATCTAGAAAATATTTTTATTTGTTAATGAGATGTTAACATTATATTATGTAATGAAGTGCGCTTAATGATTATCGATTTTCATCAAATTTTAATTTTGATATTCAATTAGCTTACTATAGGGCAGCTAGAGATGGCGTCGTTTTGGAAAAATTAGCTACAATTCTTTTAATTCGTAGTCTACTAGTGCAATTAAGTGCGACTTCATTCAGTTAATCACGCGTCACGTCGATTTATCGTGCATATTTTGTCCAAGTGTCACTTAGGCATTATGAACGCTTAATTGTCTGCCTAGAACTTAGACAAGGCGTTTTGTCATTGTCCAATGCCTAGGCACACCTAGGTGTATGCGGAATTATGTCTTTTTAAACCCTGCCCACAATTAAAAAAAATTAACCCGTCAAAATTGTCAAACTCGCGCACTATCCGCTAATTGCCATGATCCACCCAACACATCCACAATAATACAAATAGACGGGTATGTCATTTTTTCATCACCCACCAAAACTTTCTATGAGTTTAAGTATAAAAATCATCCAACAACACATTCCCCATCGTACATCCTACGAACAATCACAACTCTCGTCCCAGTAGGAAACCTCATAGGAATATCTCCATGCTTTTAGTGCTTGCCTCCATGATCATGTTGACAGAATGACACGTTAGAGGTCCCATTTGCCTGCTTCCAACATATATAACTCATTCTCCTCACCTGTTGTTGTTACATAATTTGGTTGTACTTGATCTTTAATGCATTTGTATTGTGATTTTTACAATGTCTCTTTGTGATATTGGAGAAAATTAAATTTTAATAGAGGATAAATTTGAGGTGAGGGTATGTCTATGGTGATAACTTGCAAAAAATGGTCCATCTCTTTCACAAGACAGTCGACCATGTTCCAACAAAATGGTATGCTTCTTTCACAAAGTTGATGGTATTTTCTTGGAAGAGTGGTCTACCGCTTCCACCAAATGGTTCATCGCTTAAGGCAAGCGGTCGATTTGATGACACTTACTTTCAACTTACACCCCCCTTATTCTCGGGGACTAAAACGGAACCCAATTTGTCTTTTTAATTTTGATTATTGCAACTAATTGTTGGTAAGTGGAACATAATGAGGGTTAAGTTATTAGTCAATTTGGCATGCAATTAAGAGTGGGTGATGATTTTGTCTCTCTCGCCAAACATTGATTGAGTTACGAGTTGGGATTTAGTCACATACGGTCAAATAGAGCAGAGTTGTCAGTATCTCTGTCCAATAGTTCCCGCGCTTTTATTTTGGGCTTATAATACGAGCCCTAACGACCTATTGGTTAATGTTGGATTGTGGGCTTTATAATACGGGCTCTCGCAACCTAGTGACTAATGTTGGATTGTGGGCTTTATATACTAAAACAATGTAATCATTTCCATTCATTACCCTTTACCTCCCGTTGTTACTTTTATCGGATTGCTCATCAATGGACATGATTAAAGACAGGTTACTGGATCACTCATTGTATATTAAGTGTTTAAGTGGTTCGCTGAGATTAAATTTTTTCGTAAACGTTATTGTTTTCATTGTTCACACATGTAGCTGCCAAATCGAATTCATAGAAAATTTCCTATATTCTCGCTACACCCATAACTGCGGATGATCTCAAAAATGCCTTGATTAGTTGCTAGAAACAGGGAAGATCGTCTCTCTACCCCTCTGCATCCATCAACCATCATCCCTGAAAAAAGATGGAGGTTGACAAAAAATAGACAGAACACAAAAAGGAAACCAGAAAGAACAAGTAACAGACAATAAACAGCAAAACCAAAAACAGAATTAAGGGAGGGACTCCTACGGGAAAAGGAAGAAGGAAGAAAAGGGAGAAGATTGATACCCATCAACCTTTTTCTCCCTTCTCTTCCCCCTTCCCTTCCCTCCTTTCAGCCCACCATTTCCAAACAACAAAGAAGGTGAAGAATTTCCCATCATTTCAAAAGAACAGAGAAGATAAACAAGAACATAGAGATTGACAAACAATACACAGACAAAATGGGACCAAGCAAGTTACGACGAGCCGTGGGAGCGGTGAAGGATCAGGCGAGCATAAGCCTAGCCAAGGTGAACAACAGCAGCTCTCTCTCGGACCTGGAGGTCGCGATCGTGAAGGCCACACGCCACGAGGAGTACCCCGCCGAAGAGCGACATATCAGGGAGATCCTCAGCCTGACATCCTACTCGCGCTCCTACATCAGCGCATGTGTCAGCACGCTCTCGAGGCGGCTGAACAAGACCAAGAACTGGACCGTGGCCCTCAAGACTCTGATGCTGATCCAGCGACTTCTCAATGAAGGGGACCCGGCATACGAGCAGGAGATCTTCTTCGCCACGAGGAGGGGCACGCGCATCCTCAACCTCTCCGACTTCGTGGATGCCAGGTCCGAGTCGTGGGACTACTCTGCATTCGTGAGGACGTACGCAATGTACCTGGACGAGAAGCTCGAGTTCAGGATGCTCGGTAGGCGAGGAAAGAGGAGCGCCTTTGCGATGGAGGATGACGAGGAGGAGGTGGAGGAGGAAGGCAGCAGCCACCACCGCAGAAGAAGAGGCCGTGGTGGTAGTGCTGGTGGAAGCAGCGGTGGTGGTGGAGGTGGTGGTGTCAAAGCCACGCCGCTTCGTGAAGCTAAGAATGAGAAACTGTTCTCCAGGGTTCAGCATTTGCTGCATTTGCTCGAGCGCTTCCTTGCTTGCCGCCCTACAGGTTCGTTGTAATGCAGCAAAGAGGCTTTTGTTTATAATGCAGCAGCAAAGCATCATCTCATCTTATATATGAATGCAAATATATAGGTAATGCAAGGCATGACAGGGTTGTACAGGTGGCTCTGTACCCGATTGTGAAAGAGAGCTTCAACTTGTACTACGACATCACCGATATCCTTGCCGTGTTGATCGACCGCTTCATGGACTTGGATCTCCCGGAGGCCGTGAAGATCTACGAGATCTTCTGTCGTGTCGCCAAGCAGTTTGACGAGCTCGAATCGTTCTACAGCTGGTGCAAGACTGCTGCAATTGCTCGGACCTCAGAGTACCCTGAAATCGAGCGCATCTCGCACAAGAAACTCGAGCTCATGGACGACTTCCTCCGCGACAAATCCGTCCTGTCGCAAACGAGGAGAAGTCCCGACGCTGAGTCAGTGGAGGATAACGAGGAGTTCAAGGATGCTGAGGAGGCGGGCGAGGAAGACATGAACACCATCAAGGCGTTGCCTGCTCCAGAGGAAAGTTATGCTGCCCCTGTGGTGGAAGAGGTGAAGGAAGAAGAAGAGGTGAAGCCGGAGGTTGCTGTCCAACAAGAGGCTGATCTGTTGAATCTAGGACAGGATGCAATGTCGAGCGACGATCATGCGAATCAGCTAGCTTTAGCTTTGTTTGATGGGGCTCCTCCAGTCGCAGCCAACTCCACGAGTACTCCTGCCCTAACGTGGGAAGCATTCAACGATGAGGCTGACTGGGAAACTGCTCTGGTTCAATCAGTAAGCAGTTTAGCTGTTCAGAGGCCTGCACTGCCGGGAGGCTTCGACATGACGTTGCTCGATGGGATGTATCAGCAAGGAGCAACTACGTCAGCAATGTCTGGCGTGGCTGGCTACGGTACAGTAAGTGGAAGTGCTAGCAGTGTTGCTCTTGGCTCAGCTGGAAGACCTGCTATGCTAGCATTGCCTGCTCCTCCGACATCAATGATGAACACCTCCGGTGGGTTTTCAGACCCGTTTGCAGCCTCAATTGCAGTGCCACCACCGCACTATGTGCAAATGTCGGAGATGGAGAAGAAGCAGCACCTGTTGATGGAGGAGCAACTGATGTGGCAACAATATGCAGCAAATGGTATGCAAGGACACGTTGGGTATGGAAGGGTACAGCACAATACATACAACATGGGGGGATACACACATGGTTACTAATCTTAACCAGTTTGTTTGAATAGGTCTTTTTTCTTGTACTCTATCAAATCTTTCTTTTCCCCCCTCATCTCTTGTTCTTTTCCTGGGAAGGAAACCTTCCCCCTACAATTGTAAAGCATACAACTTTCGCAACAAAATAGCTCGACACTTTTGTTCAAGTCCTAACAATCTAATGATACATGCCAAAAATGGAATCACAGCACCCGATTTTCAGTCAAAGGTGCAGAGTGAGTGTGTACTAGACATACTTGCCTCTGTATTTAGGTTTGAGATCTCTAAGTGGTTTGGTATCTCCGGACACAGTGAGTTGATCAGCTGGAGTGAAAACAGAGGAATGAATATTGCCATCTTCTAGCCACTTGACGTGGTTTTCTCGAAACTCTGTGTGCTTTACCCTAGCTGCCTCGGCTATCTCCTCTGTGTAAGGGCGTCTCTTGACCATGGTTAGTAAAACCCGACTATAACGTGAGCTCAGGATCTGCTCCGAAGATGAAATCAGTTCAAAACAAGGGTGCTCTGGGAAGACGGTATTGCCTACATTAGCTTCATCTTCTCGGAGCACAGGGAAGAAGTAGACTAGCCTGCCACCGATCACAAGCATCCTTGCAGCAAGGTCTAGCAAATCGTGTACACATTCAACTAAGCTGTATGGTGCAGTTGAAGGTATGTGGTCTGTTCTCTTGTCATCAGGAACCGTGTATGGTCCCACAACTCCCTTCAGCAGCTTTCTGCCACCTGACTTTCGTCCACCAGCACGGACTCCATATGGTGGGTCGCAGATTATAGCATCGAAAACCTTATCAAAAGCCAAACATAAAAAGTCAGAACATAAGACGACACTAGGAAACAGCCTTGAAAAATTTACCAGTCAAAGGGAATCATTGACAATCATTGGGAAATTGTCTAAGTCTCATTTAGCTGCCTATAGAGCTCTTGTACTACATAATCCCCAGAGGAAAAAGGAAGGAGAGAACATAGGTCTCTCTGATGCAGAAGGTCCATACTAGATCCGGGGAATTCTAGTTAATATTCAAAAAGGAGATGAGAATAACCTCTTTCCTGTAGGGCTTCATTCAAATAACTTTCTAAAAGGTTACAACCTTACAAGCATGTGCATGACTGGAATAACCATTTCGATGCAATATAAACATCACATCTGACCTATTCTAAAAACTTTGCAACCACTAGTCATTTATACAAAATATTTTTAGACAAAGTTATCCAGCCTAGTTTTCATTATTCTCTGGCAGACTTAAATTCAAATACAATGCAGGTTAAAGAAAACTATGCACATGAAGGAAGAAAATCCCAGAAAAAATATTTACCTCTTTCAATCCAGGACGCCAAGGAGGAAGGTTATTATCAGCCCGTAGAAGGCCAACAGGCATAGGCAGTCCATACTGCATAAATGATTAAATGCAAATTAAATTAGCATCAGTTTGCGTATCAAAACTATATACCTGAGATTATGAGGAGGTATTACTGCAGCTCTCTGCATAAGAATCTGGATTTGGAAGCTTCTTCTTTTTGCAGCATGTTGCATAGAAAGTACCTTAAAGAAGGAAAATCCATAATTACCTGCTTGAAATTGCTCCAAACATTGCGGTCAGGGCCACGTCCATCTCGAACTACTCTAATATCAATGTCAGCACCCTGCAACATTTAATGATGTGCAAAGAAGAGGATTACACATCCAGAATGCTGATGTCCACCCAAAGCAAAAAAAGTTAAGGTAAGGAAACACAAACCATTGTCATTGCTCCGAAATGAGCAGCACCAATCAGAATGCTGCCAGTCCCAACAAAAGGGTCATAGACAAGTTTCCCAGGCTTGACTAGCGCTTGATTGGCCATCAAAAAAGCCATTTCTGCGTCCATTGCTGTTGGGCCAAGATACTTTCGGCTTTTTAGCTGGTATGTGGGAATTAGCGTCCTGTCAGAACCACCTATCTCACGGCCAAAAAATATTCTTTTTTGAACAACTGGTGGCAGTCCATTGTTACCCCCATGGTCATCAGTCTCCATGAGCCAGAACTTATGATCTGGATGTTTTAGGTTAACTCGACCCTGTACAGACATGAATCATAAACCCTCATAAGACACTTCCACATTATCTATCAGTTCTTTAGTGTCAAATGTCAATAATGAACGATGTGGCTATTTAAGTAGTCTTAGAAGCTCTGTCGTCCAAATCATAATGATGGACCAGCAATAATTGTGTTATAAACGCGCTGCTACGGATCGGGAAATCGCCGGAATCGACAAAGCAAGAATACGAGAGCGAGAATCGAAAGACACAGACACACGATTTACGTGGTTCACTAACACGATGTGTGTTAGCTAGTCCACGGGCGAGAGAGAGCCAGTTTCACTATATCGAGGAGATTACAGATTACAGAGGAGTATGATCGTAGCGGCTGATAATCCGATTCAAGTCATATCAACAAATTGATACAGACTTAGCATCTAAAGAAGGAGCATACCTCGAAAGGAATGTAAGCAAGTTGATGAATACGGTCATTCTGCTCCTCAAAGCTCATCACCTTCCCAAAGCTGTCTACGGTGATCCTAAAAGTACTTTCAGAACTCAAGTATGGTGACTTTCGCTCATCCGGGTAGCTCTTTATCGCCTGTTCCAATTCTTCCAGTGTGCTTCCTTCGCCCCACAGCTCATACATTCCTTTCACTAATAAACCTGAAAGTGCCACAATTCCGATCTGAATCAGCAAAAGCTTCCAGAAACTCTCCTAACAGAGCAATTACAGTTAAATTCGTTGCACTCACTTATGCTTTCCCAACACAAAGGACGCAACTTTTCGATTAAATAACCCAACCAATTTAGAAAGCACAGTATAAAAACAAAACAGAACAGGAACTGAAGCATCATGGTCAAGCAACTGAAGAAGAAGACGAACAAAAATGTGAGGAGAGAATAAGAGTGAAGAGAAGACAGACTTCGATTGGCGATGTCTCGGGCGACGTCATCAGAAGACAGATTGACGAAATGGAAAGGAGAATCAGGATGGTGATCTTCGGGAACCCTCCATTTCAGAGGCTCGTTGCTTTTGTTGGGCTGGAAGAGCTCCGCAAGAGCCTCGACTTCTGGTCGCCTGTAATCCAACAGTCTATGGAAGAAAACGCAAAGATACCACATACTTTTCCCCTGTTTTTCTTCTTCTCCTTCTGCTGCTGCTCGTCTCCTTCTTTCAGTTCCAGCTCGAGCAGTGTCAAAAGCAGACCTCAAAGACGCTGCGACGGACTAATAACCTTCTTACGCCGCCGATGGAGCAAAACCCTAAAGCCCTTGGAGATCGGTAACATCGGAAAACGACTGCAGTTTCGAACCCCGCCAAAAGCTCTGTTTCGTATTAACTTAACAAGTAAAAATACGTTTTTAAGTTTAACCACTTATTTGGCTAGCAACACATGGTTTACCTTACTTCACACTAGGTGAAAGTTTAGGCTCGTGTTAGTTTATGTTGGTACTGGGCTGTCGTTGAGAGAGCACATGATTACCTCACTTTCCGTTCGACGGAAGTCTACGTTTTCTTGTTATGTCTTCTCATCATGTGAAAGATCAGGTTCATGTTAGTTAAGCTGAATTCGAGACCTCATTTCACAAGAAAAGTAACAAGAATATTGTACAATGTATTAAATGAGCATGTTTATTTATCCAATAATGCTTTAATGAATTATTGATCACGAGTAAAACAAAACTATGAGTAAGATTAACCCTACGTTTGCACTCAAGCATTGGAGGAGCACTAGATTCATGTCCACCTTTGTTGTAATCAACTGTACTTCCATTGTTTCGATTTAGAATTAAAGTGCCCCAATTTGTAAAAAAAAAAAAAAGATTTAATACTCAATGCATGACAACATAATGACTTTTGGCTCCAGAGGACTTTCGCTTGATGAATTTAATTCAGTAGTTTAGTAGGACATCATACTTGATATGATTTTATGATTGAATATTTATTATGCCTAAATGTTTCAATGTATATTAACCTTAATTTTGTTTGATAGAACGTTTTGTTTATGTTATTTAATATATTTAACTTTTATTCATTATCACTTATCAAGGACATTTTGGTAAGTAGTATCGGGCTAGGACGGTATATCGAGTCGTGGTCTAAGAACTCGTTGGTTATATATAGAGGGGTTTTTTTGTTAAGTTTGTATAATATGTGGACTTATTTAGCTAGGAGTACAAAATTATTGCAAAACCAGGGACCAGGGTGGGCGGAAGTGCGAGTGAGCGCACCATAAAAGAAAGGATTGGTAGTCGTCGCACGGAACCAGAGAGCTGGAATCCCAAACCACTTTGAACATTTTTAATAAAAGAAGAACAAGGAGAGAAAAGAAAAAAAAAAACAGTGAATCATTAGAAATCCGTGAAAATTTCCCAGTAAACCCTAACGCCAAGCCGAGGAGGAGGAGGAAGAAGAAGTTCGAGGAGAGAGCAAAGCAGGCAACGGTTTGAAAGACTACTAGACATTGAGAAACCTACTTCTCTCTGATGCGCCAACGCTGGCGCATGATCGGTTTCGCAGCCGCCGTCCGCTCTGGTTGGTTCGGTGAGTTTTTGTTTTTTATTTATTCCGTTCGCTTCTTGTGGCGGTCTCGTTCCGTCCGACGGCTGTAGTGTTGACGGCATCTTGTTTTCGCTTTCATCTGGCTTGTTAGTTTTTCCCGGGCGGAATGTGGCTCTTGTGATTTGAATTGAGAGGCCATTCTTTCGGGGGCAAACTACCTGCATGGCGTCCAAAGGTCCGAAGTCCAAGCTCGATCATGAAACCAGAGCTCGGCGCCAAAAGGTGTACACTCCCTTTCCGTTTTCTCTTCCCATTTGTTGTCCCTTTTTGGTTCTATCATTGCTGAACTGTTGACGGATTCCGGGGATGTTGCTGTTTTGAGTTAGAATAAGCTGCTCTCTTTGGTTGTTTGTGCCAATGTGATGAACATTTCTTTGAGCTGTAATATCTGAGTTCCTTGAGTGGCCGAGGTTTTGATATCTGATCCCCTGGAGCTACTGTGTTGCTCTTGCCTAGTAAGAACACAGGCAGTGGCTTATATGGGAATATGCAAAATGTGTGATAGATATCTTGCTAGTCCTGATCTATAGATGAACGTGGAACCCTTCAATAGTTTCTATTGTTAGAGATGTACTGTTCGCAGTGGTTGGTGAATCAGGGGCTTAAATTGTAGGGTTGCGTACTTCTCCTGGATTAAAGTACTATGAGAGTCTAAACCTGTTCAAATTTACAGTATACCAATTTGGTAGCAGCGCCTCTTTCTGTTTTGATTTAGAATAAGCAGCTCTCTATGGTTGTTTGTGCCTAACGTGACGAGCCTCAACAGCTGGTTAGGCTCATAGTACGCCAGTTTTGTGGCATCAGTAATGTTGAGTGTGTGGCATCTTGGAGCTGGAGAGAAATGTGGGATACTGTGAATTGTTCTCTTAGTTGTTTCTGAAAATGATGTGAATTACTGATACAATTATTTCTCAAGGCGCTTGAGGCTCCCAAGGAACCTCCCCGCCCAAAAGCTCATTGGGACCATGTTCTCGAAGAAATGGCCTGGCTGTCAAAGGTAACTCACTTGTCATGCTGTATGATAAAGACATAAGATCGTTATCTTTCATCCCACCACTAAATATGTGCTGGTCCTATTGCAGGACTTCGAGTCTGAGCGAAAATGGAAATTAGCACAGGCAAAGAAGGTTGCTTTAAGAGCCAGCAAAGGCATGCTGGATCAGGCTACCCGTGGAGAAAAGAAATTGAAGGTTGTGGTTCTTTTTACCAGTTAAGATTTTTAGGGAAAAAGTAATTTGGAGAGCAACACAGATTCATAGTGAAGTAGCATAAGTTAGATGTGAAGCTGAACTCAGTTGCAAGTATGCTAAAGTAATTTTTGCATTTCGACCAGGAAGAAGAGCATCGGATGCGGAAAGTTGCACTTAATATTTCAAAGGATGTGAAGAAGTTCTGGATCAAAATAGAGAAATTGGCAAGTTCTGATATTCAGTCATTTTTATCTTCACGATCTCCCGTAGTCTCACAAATTATTTGGAAACTCTTATGAAATTGGCTATTCGTTTTTCCAGGTACTTTATAAGCATCAGATGGAACTTGATGAGAAAAAGAAAAAGGCCCTAGACAAGCAGCTTGAGTTTCTTCTGGGGCAAACTGAGAGGTTCGACTTATCCAGTGGATTTTACTTCACCATTGCCTAAGCTTGCTCTTCAGGTGTTTCTGAATGACTGATTTTCTGGGGGCCATTTTAGGTACTCAACAATGTTAGCAGAAAATCTTGCGGACAAACCTTCACAGCTGTCACTGCTGGATGAATCACGTGTTCCAACTGTAAAGCCGGAGAATGTTACTCAGACACCCTTAAACACAAATGAGGGTTAGTTGGTGGTTAAATTTAAAAATAGCATCATGCAAAAGCGGCATTTGTTTTGATTAAGATTTTCAAATGTTCCAGAGTGTCAATTGGATGATGCTGAAGATGGTGATGGTGATTATGATGTACATTCAGAAGATAATTCTGTAAGACCTTTTTCCCTTCTATTCTTTTTGTTTTTATTTGTATGGTTGTTTCTTGTTAGATAGAGAATTCTAACAATTGTTAATAGAACAGTTTGATGCATATCTATATATGATTGTATTAGACTATTAGTTTGAATGGTAGAGATAAGAGAATCACGAAGAAGCAAAGAGGCGGTCGAATTTAGCATAATAGTATTCTGAAAGCCTGTTTTCAAGCCCATAACTTTATGAGGAAAAGTGAAAACTAAAGTGTTGACAGATTCATGGTTGCTTCTATGACACTAGTACCAAAAAGTATGCCACAAGCACTGAGACATTATTCATGGAGAGCCCTTAATGTAGTAGTTGACAGTTCTGACAGTTTTCTCCACGCGACCTAATAGTAAATGAGGCTTTTATTTAGGTAGTAAATGGGTGCTTGCCTTGTTACGTATACTCTCTTTTGTATACTTGATGTTATTTTGGGGAATGGTAGTGGTTGCGAACTTTCTGTAGGATAGGTTTAGCTGTCCTAAGTTGGCTGCCTTCCTCTTGGGTTTGTTGTTAAACAGAGACTGAAGGTGGCTATTGATGATCAACACTAAATTTGTAATTCAAAGACATTAGTTACCTGTGATCTGGCAACTGTGTGAGGAGAAATATTGTACTGGTGGCGGAATTGAAGCTGTTCAGTAACCGTGTGTGATAATGAACAGTATTCCATGGGCATCACTACTGTTGGCTGTGATGAAAAAGAATGGAAACAATAGTGCAGATGAGAAGACACTCCCAAACACAAACATACACACTTATGCTTATATAAAGGCAACAATTGAACTGTAAAATCTACGGCAAGGACATTGTATCAGAGTTTCACCTACCAATACTGCTCAACCAGACAGCGATTATAGCTATCAATGCCTTAATGCCGCCACCATTATTGGCCATCAGTTATCAACTCTCAGTTGTTAATCAGTTGGAAGCTGTCTCTAGCAGAAGTATTAATATATAAATCGAAGTTGTCTATATTTTTGTAGAAAGATATATACATGCATGACCGGCCTGCAGTTCAGTATGTGATTCTAATCAGAAAAACTTCCTTGGAGGAAACTGTTATATGTGTAGCTTAGTATAAGCATAAGGCACAGAAGTGAAAGTTTGCTTAATTTGAGGGTTATCTGATATCATGCGACCCTAAGTTGTCTTGAAATCCATTTTTCTTTTATCATGTGTCTTTTGTATTCCATTGTTCATGTCTGTCAAACTCATCTGCAACAGCGTGACATCAGCTAGAAAAATATCAGAGACTCATCCTGTTGGTCATGCATTTTGTTCAGAGAAAAATCATTTGGAAACAAGTGGATCATGTTTCATGTTCTTTCAGGAAGACGATGAGCGTACTATTGAAGAAGATGAGGCACTTATTACAGAAGAAGAACGCCAAGAAGAATTGGTAGCTTTGCAAAATGAAGTTGATCTTCCACTTGAGGAGCTACTAAAGCTTTATACTGCAGATGAAGGTAAATTGGCAAGCAGTCATTAAACTAGGCAAATCATCCAGTATTGACCTGGGCCCCATTTGTGTTGTCCATATATGGTTGCTGTGAATTCGGCAGTGGGTATGTGCTTCCACCCATTGGTCTTTCTTCTTTGATCTTTTTCCTGTACCTTTGGATATAGATGCTGCCGGTGGAAGCGAAAGCAATGATGGTGAGGACGAGAATCGCTCCTTGTCTGCTCTGAAAGGGAAAGATGAGGGTGAGCTTAAAAGGATGTTGCTTGTCATGCTTATTGGCCATTTGATTGTTGCTGACGCTAGAGTTTTGAACCTCTCAGG